ATAACCGGTCAGTACCGTGAATAAAGTTCGCCCGAGCTTTACCCCCTGACAGCCTTTACTGACGTGGTGCTAGTAGTCAAGACAAATTATGCTAACGGCGGTGGTTGACCTACTGTAAGCTGGTCCCGGACCAATGCATACGTCCGTGTTCAGGTTCGGTGCCTACCGGCCTGCTGACAAGGAGCGGGCCTGGCTGGTGTCCCCGTCTCGAGAAAGGGCCACAATTTGGGGCATGGCTTCCGATTGCCGCACCCGAGAAGCAGCTTTAGCCCAGCTGTCTCGCTCGTTGCGACCCGGTGCCATCCAGAGGGAACCTCGGATGTCGGAGCAGATTGTTGAGTCAGTGATCGTTCCGAACAGGGGTTTGCTCTTTCCGTTGGACGCTCTTCATCGGCGCTGGGCCGGTCCTGAAGCAGTTCTGCGCATGCTCTTGCAATATCATCACTGCCACACATGCACTCCGAAGTGTGACTCTTGCCACCGGACGATGCGAAGCGGATACCTTCAGGGACAACACGAAGCTTATGCAAGTTTCGAGACCTTCCTCCAGAGACTCCGACGCACTGCTAGAGGTTCCGGCATTAGCCAACGGCTTAATGACTGATGTTTCCGCCACAGCATTCCGTGGCAGAGTGCCACATTCACCACGACTCACTGTGCCAGCAAGGCACTTCCGCTGAAGCTTTCCGCCATTGACAACTGTATACGCTATGGTCTGTCCAATAGGATCTTGTCATTGCCAAGCAATCAAGGCATCGGTCGCTACAAGTACCTGCAGTGTGATGAAGAGGAACGAGGACCAGTTGGCATGATGTCGAGACGCAGTGGTGCAATCGCTCACTCTCGAGTGTCGACCCTGAATGGGTGAACGAATGGAAAGATGAACCTGCTTTGACATTTGGCGCGCAGTGCATCACCTTCGAGTATCTTCGCTGAGGGAAAGACGATTGATCGTCCGTCGCGCGCAAGGAAGCGGTTCCAGGATTTGAAATGAATCCATGGCTGATGGGTGGCGGGCACTCTTCCTCGGAACCTGCCGCCCGATGAGTATTAGCAGGTCAAGCATGTCGATCCAAATTTGACGACATACCAATCACACCGGCACTCGGAGTTCCAGCAAAAAGTGGTCGGTTGGGCGGGCGGCGCCAGCGGCTGACACTCGAGGCTCTCACAGCACGCCGGCGCATGCGTGTTACAATTGTGACGAAAGAACCTGTCTTCGGCTGCCAATACATAAGCAAGCGCACGATCTGCAGGACAAGATCGTCGTAAGGTGAGTGGTGAGTACAGGGTCGTCCATCAGACAGCGCGCCCAGGCGGTTGAGGGAGATCGCGACACTGGGGAGGGAATCTTGGCCAAGACGGAGGAGCATCCCGAACCTCTGGCTGCATCCAGATACAAGAATGACTGGCGCGATGCGGTCGCGAACGTGGTGCCACTCACGACATAGGCTACCGGTTAGTCCCAGTGTCACCAGTGTCCATGACAGGTCCAGACTGGCTAGGCCGGCTACGGTTGGCGGGACTTTGTGCAGCTGAGATCTTATAGCACCGGCTGAAGGTGCCCAAGCAGATCCGAGCTAAGGGGTGTGTCATCCGGCACGTCGATGGGCGAATCGAAGCACTTGGTAGACGCTGGAGAATAAGGTAGGGCCCGGCCTATTCGCTCCCGTGAGCTAAAGCCTTTTCGCTGTGCGACCCGCGCGAAGGTTTAATATCCTGACCCTCACGGCGCATGTGCAGACCTCACTGCTTTCGTCGTTTCTCTTCCACCCAGAGACCATGTTAATCCATTTACTGATCGGAATCATTCCGAATGCCTCGGAGACGGACAATGGACAGCCGATGTGGAGCAGTGTCGTGTCTTTTCTCAGGCAGCACTCGTGCGGAGCCGAGACGCGGAACCCACCACGGTGCCTCGCCTGTCCTTTGATACATACGTTGCAATGCAGACACAATCATCGCCAGGCTGCAAGACACGCTGGGTCAAGATGTAAGTGTCTTGGACCGTGGGCTACCACCACTGCTGACAGCGATTTGTAGTTATCTCAGCCGGGGCGGCGCCGCAAATCCAGGCCAAGGGCCCCGAAAGACAGAGGCTTTGCGTAACACGGAGCTCGCCACTGCCACTAAGACAAGGTGCAGCTCCCAAGTGCAAACCGCAGGTTCAGGCCAAAGAGTTGGGACCGAAACCCAAGCCTCAGCCTGAGCCAACAAAACCCCGTCCACATCCGGGAGTGTCATAGGCACCTGGGTGCCCGAGACTCTAGAAGCTACTTGTCAAACGCGTTCAAAGCTGAGAATTATAGCTCTGGTAGGTGTGGAGCGTAGGCTGGGGCTATTTGCAGTACTAAGTATACCGGCGGTGGCTTGGAGGCTCGGCCGGGGAATGGGTTCTGTGCAGAGAAAATGGCGGATTGAAGTCTGGGCCTCAGCTAGGCCCTATGCTCCGCCATGCTGGACTCGTGAAGGCGCAAGGAGGAATTGTGGCTTTGAAGAGCAGACTACATGCGAGAGACGGACGCCGACTAACATCTTTCCGGTACTGTTAGTACTCATTCGAGTCCATTCATTCTGTCTAGGCTTCGTTTGGCATTGGCAAGTCTCACGACTGCAGTAGCATCAAATCTGGAGCTGCGGTGTAGAAGGGAATATCGCAATGTCTCCCGGCGACGATAACCGCCCGAAGACATTGATCATGTAGAGTCGCGACAAAGTCTGCTGATGGCACGTCCTTGAAAAGGTCGTAAGGTGACTCGAGACTACCAGCATCAGAGCGCAACGGCGCGGACTTTGTACCCCTTGGCTGAGATCTGGCGGGGCAAGCTAAGGGCCTGGCGGCTAATTCAGATTGCCGGTGGACCGTGAACCGTGAAAGATCGGAGGTCTGTGCCGGCGCTGTCGCGTGCTGCTATTGCTGCGGAAATAGTGCCCCCACTGTCCGCGCTCAGCCTTTCTTACCAGGTAATTATGATTATTGTCATACGACGGGCCGGAGTCAGTTCTGGTCGGCACCACCGGCTGACTTGAACACGGAAAGATGACGGTCTGTGGATTTGCGGCCCTGAATACATCTACGCCGTGAAGTACGCCCAAATACACAGTTAACGGGTCATGTAGTGCCATAGCCGTGCTCAATACCCTTGGCCTCAGCGCGAATAGTAGAGACTTGAATTCGACCACCCGTTTAACTTCACCATCACGTATATCTCGATTCGACTTAAGACTAATCTCTGCGGTTCTTACTCAAATCTTCCCAGATCTAGATGCTTCTTGTGCACTGCCCACAGATGCAGCTACATGCACACTCAGTCAGCTCCTACAACCGGATGCTTGCGCCCGTCCATCCTCCAAGTCGTCCCATCTACAATGTACCTACGACTCTACGGTCGAACCCTATCCAACCTATCCGGGGGGAATCGAATCCGCCTAATGTGCGAGCCTGATCTGTCATCGTGACAGCGGGAAGAAAGAGACAGCGCAGAGAAGAACGTGGCTCGGGAGTCCCGCTCGCGTGCCGCCTGCCACGTCTCTGAGGGCGCGCAGAACTCCAAGCGGTTAAACGGTGACCGGAACTGTATGCCTGACGCCTCCTTTCAAATGAATGTCATAGACGACGCAGGCGGTCAGGTGGTCCAGAAAACCAGTGGACCAGCAACCCGTGGTTACACTACGGAGTACTTTAGGCTGTTCGCCGTCAACAGCCACCGCCCAGACCAGAGCCCCTGTTTTTACCAGCTCTATCGGTCAGAACATGCAATTGTTCAAGAGTCGCATCGAGATCTGCACCAGCATACTCTAGTGTAGCCCCAGCTTATGAGTCGTGTAACGTGGCAATCGTCTTCACAACTACTCGATGCTCGGGGCCATCGAGTATGCAGGCTGAGTGCTCTGGCGTCATCAACCCTTTCTCTTCGACTTGGGGGGTTGTTCAGGTTCGAGGCCGAGCCTGAGCCCGGCAAGGGCTGACGGCCCGTCCATTGCTTCTCCCCGCCACTGGGCGCACCCTCCTCCTTCAGCAAGGAACACTACTCTTGGGGCTCACTTCCCACTTCCCTGGCCTTTAGGGCACATTGTTTAGAGTTTTGCGCTAATGTCAACTCGCTAATGCTCCTTGCGCTTCATCCTAGGCCGCCGTTCGAAGTGTCTGTCGGACCACATACGGAGTATGAAGACCGGAGCCGCCAAAAGGTTCTTCGTCAGCTGCCCCCTATGGGGCTCTGCCCCTCTGCACATCGAGGCCGGTTCAAATCGACGCGAGTAACGTTGCTTCCCCACCCCTGGATAGTGCCTGCTTGGCCGCCAAACCCTTCGGCTCCCTGGCCCCATCGTCACCGCCGCCACATTGCCCTCCTAGGCCAGGCCGATTTCAGGCACGTACAGACTCCGATACCGATACCGTCATGGATTGGTGTTTTGAGTTCGACCTGCGTATTCACATCATTCTCAATTGTCCCCAGCAGGGCCCCCCCTCCCCTCCCATATTTTGCTTTGATACCTCTTTGCATTAAACTTCAGTCCCTTGGGATCACCCTCCTGCTACTCCATATTCGCAGTGGGCAGCCAAGCTCGTGGTGACACATTTTCGCTGTTGTGCATCCGCAGTACTTGATGCATGAGACATCGCGTAGACTTTCCACCAACCCTGCCCAATCTCCCGCTTGGTGCGATGCAGGCTTTGTGGCGATAGTCGATACTGCTCCACGATCTATCTGTACTCCGTACCGACTATCCCTTTAGGATCGTGACCCAAAGCCAAAGACCATGCCCAAACGATAACCCCGGCCAGGAGTGTGGAGCGGTCTGTGCGCCTTTACGCATCCACTCGGCCTTGTACTTTGAACGCCAGTATAACTTTAGGCGCCCCCATTTAGGTTCACTGGAGGGAAACTCAAACAACTCTTTACCTAGTACTCATTCATCGTCTTTGGCCTCGACTATCTTTGTTCATCTCAACTACCTGGCTTACGGTAGAATGGTCCCGTCAGTCATCAGTAACGATGACTTCAATTCCAGCCGCCGTGAGGCGACCTTCCGATGCCGAGTGGGCAGCTCATCTCCCACGCATTTGTGAGCTCTATTACGGCCAGAGATACACTCTCGAAGACACACAGCGTGTCATACACCAGGAGTCTGGCTTTTATGCCACTCTGCGTATGTACAAGGACCGAATTCGCAACATGGCCGTCCATCCCAAAAAAATCTGCATGCAGAAGTACCAGGCTATGAGCATCGTCGCCGAGGACTTCCAGCGCCGTGGCACCAGCGTGCATTTCATCGGCCCCTCAGGTTTTCAGATCTTTAAGCGAACCCCAGCTCAAATCACCAGGCAGCTCCGCAGACCACATTGTCTACAGCCTATCACCCTCGAACAGGCCAAAGACGTACTGCAGCAATCCAGCATTCAGGCTATCGTTGAGCACGCCGTCGTTGGTCCAGCTAGTGACGATCATGTCCCCGCGGTGCCGTTCCCTGAGTCAACTTCAAGTGCCCCAGGACCTCCACATCAATTTGCGGAACACCACCTGTCTCAGATTCCTTCCACCTCGAATGGTCTGGCCGGGGATGCACCGCAAGGCTTGTCCGGTCCAAATGGACCGCGAAACGCACCACCGTCGGTGGCCTGGAATTACCCGCAGGTTACTACTGCATTGCCTCGCCCTGGGCCCCCTTCTCGACAGGCATCTCGTGAAGATGCTCCAAGGCTTCCAGCATATGCCCCTGCCCCAGCATCAAGACCAGATAGTCTGAGCTTGGCCGGCGTGAAGTTGGTACCTGAGCGATTACAGCAGCCGATGGTAGTTGGCGATGACAAAGACTCCTACGACTTCAATGCCGACTTTGATGCACTTTCATTGGACAATTCGAGCACGCCAACTCAAGGGCCTTTGATGACACCTACGGCTAGCCGCATGCTACCGCCGCCATCGGAGCGCCAGCGACGCCGCATGGCCACTGAGTGTGCCGCACCCTTTTTCCTCGCCTGCTTCCCTCCAGCCAATGTTCCAGAGTCCTTTGCCTTCTCCAGGACGGCGGCGATGGAACGCTTCAGATACATTCTAACGGCGAATCCGGAAAACCAATATGTCTTGCCATTGTTAAATTGGATGACTACAGTGCTTGCATCCAACGACAAGGCTAATCTTCTCAAGGACTTCGTATTCGAGTGCTGCCAGGTTCTTGACACATGTCGAGACTACGGCTTTCCTCTGTCCACGCCATTTCGATACATGCTGGCGTTTTGCAACGATGACAAGACTGGTATGGAATTCCACGGATCGCACTTTGCACATGGCACAGACCGTTTGATTCAGCTTTATGGACCAGATCATCCGAATATCCTCGTCAACGAATACTATCGGGCATGGCATGCACTTATGCGGCCAAATGAATGGTCGAATGCACGAACAATACTCGAGAAATGCCTGACACTGTCGGAAAAGGCGATGGGGCCGCGCAATCTGATGACCATAAACTGCTTGGTCGTTCTAGGTCGAGGCTTTGCAGAAAATGGTTATCACGAGCAAGCACACTCGATCTTTGAAGACGTCTTGGTTCGGTTCGACGACCCTGCACGGCCTTTGCAGGCCTATAGACTCTTGATCGTGGACCGTCTTGCTACGGAAGAAGAGCGGCTGGGCTATCTGGTGCCAGCAGAACGTCATCGGCGAGAGGTTTACGAGGGCCGCCTGCGGCTGCTATCTGCCTTTAGCCCCGAGACAAAGGCTGCAATGTGCTCCCTCAACGATGTGCTACGTCACATGGGGCATGAGGACGAAGCCCAACGAGTGCAGCGTCACTACGACCTTGAATTCGAGACGCTTTGGAGGCGGGAAGCCATGCTCAATAATCAACCCCAATCGTTGTCGTCCGCTTCGTCGGCACAAGACTCGCCACAACTCTCACCGCCAGCATCGAGCCGGCTGTGAACACTTGATCGACATGATGCCATGAGCAGCGTCATTATTATCACCGTTGACTACGGTGAAGCCGACTATTAGGTCTCATTTCGGGAGTACTTTTCAGGGACCAGCGTGAACGACGGGCACCAAGTAAGAGAAGCGGGCGGATGGCGTTCGTATTGGCCTCCTGAAATCATGATACGTCATACTCAGTGCATTCGAAAACCGGTCTTCTACGTAGTACTTTAAGATAAACAAGACATGCGAAGCGAGGCTCCTGGCGCGGAGGCGAATCTGCATCGCATTGTTCGTCAGCAGGACCTTGCCACGAATCAGAGCTTTGGTGTTGACATGCTGGCCATTACGACCTCAAATGCTGTCTTCCGGATGTTTGGACTATTTCCTTCCGTTAAACTTTGGCAGGAGATCCCTTGTTCTCTTACGAAAATCCACCCTGGGAGCGATGTACCCCTAGCATCATCGCAGCCCTTTTCTCTGAAATATCGAGAAAGCCGAAAAAGCCAAAAAAGCCAAAAAAAAAAATCCGCCCTCCGCAGAGCCTCTCCGGCTGGGCGTGATGCAGGCCCGTCGAGAGGATGGAAGCTGAATATGCAGCCTTGGTACCTTGGTGCCAGTCATAGAACCCGGCTAGCCCACCTTGACCTCATCGAGATACCTGAGTCAGGTGCGACAGATGTACTCGTAAGCTGCTATTGGATGCCCCATGGAACATCAACATACTGTAAGGTGCGTGCCGGCAAACCCCTTTGAAGTCCCAAAGGATGAAAGTCTAATCCCAAAGATCCTTGACGTACGCATCGGTTAGCCGCTCATCTGAACCATAGCGGGCCTGCCACATTCCAAAGCCTCCCTCCAACACGCACACCGCCGGTCGTTGTGCGGTCGTCTGCTGGGCCTGTCCCTTGTTTGCAGCTGCTTCCAATGCTCGCGCAAACTTTATGGCGCTCGCCGGCCCACGCTGCTGGCTCAGCATGCAGTGGAAAACAATGGTATCCTTGTCTTGGTGCATGCGCATCAGCTCGGGGATGCGGGCATCGAGCTCCGCGGTGGGGACCCAGATCGAGCCTTTGATGTGACCGCCTAGATGGTCGGAGTCGCGGACGTCGACGACGACAACTTTGGCTGCACAGGCTGGGTCAAGTAGGAGTGCTGCAAGATCAGTTGGAGTGATGCGGGCCAGATTGCCGATGTTGATTGCACTGGCGGCGGCCATTCTGTACGTGACCGGATTTGTCTGCTCGCTTGCAGGAAAAGCGGTCCAAATGGTGTGAGGGCGGAAACGGATTTATGTAAGGCTACCAGTTGGGCCCGACTTTGACAGGACGGGACATATTAGGCTACCGTCGGGAATACAAACCCTGTTACGAGGCTGCCAGGCTGCCACGCTTCCAGGCTTTCAGGCCACGAGGCTGCGATGGTCGCAAGTACGGCACACCTGATTGGTCAGATAGTTCATAGCTGGAAATTCCAACCTCGCTTCCAACGCAGTTTGCATCTGCCATCGTCGAACCGACGCGCCCATCAGCACCCCCAGTTCTTCAGTGCTGCAACGAACTGCGGCCATGGAAGTCTCGCACGTGTTGCAGCGTAGATTTGTCATTGCACTCACACGGGCTGCACGGTGCGACTGCACGGTCTCTACATCCAGGCTGACAGCGGCATCGCGAGCTCTACAACACATCCCTCATTCGGTGCCACGCGCAGCCCGGTCATTCTCATCCTCGTCTCTACGACGGCTCGATCAAACGACAGACCCCGCGAGAAGCATCATTGGTAATCGACCTGCTGCGGCCTCGCCCCCGCGAGACACACCCAGGCAGGCATTGCAGAGCTACATCGATACCCTGCAGAAAATCATCGATGGCTATCGACTGGCGGACCCCAAGATCATGCACTCGAGGTCATACAATTACATCTTCACGGCGGTGACTCGGGCGGACACTGCGATGCTGGCTCCTGGAGCTCACGCGGAGTCGTTCGATCCTCTGCTCAAGTCGTTGCAGAAGGAGGTACAGCCAATACTCAGCATGCACTTTGGGACTACAGACCTCGCGCAGATTGTTGGCGACATGGACAAGCAAGCGCCAACACCAACGCCGGCAGCTGCTCAGCAACAACGTCCAAGTATTGCCGAACTGGCAGACCGAGCGCTCGATGGCATCATGGGCCCCCCTGCTGGCAGGCCTCACAGTACTGTCACAGATGCGGAGACCAACAGCAAAAGGTTCAGCGGGATGGACCAGATGAATGCAAGACGGGAACAACGACAGAAGTCGGCCCACTGGCTGAACACAATTCTTCCCGACCCCGATCCTAAGCTAACGACGAGTTTTCAGCGTGCCGACTATGGATACACGCAGTATCAGCGGCAGAAAGAACATGGGCCAGTGTTGCGGCTCAGTCCATCCATTGGCAAGACCGAAGTGGTAGGTGGAAGTGTCGATGTGACCAGGGCTTTCCAGAGGATGGAGTCCAATGTTCGACAGAACCGAGTCAAGATTGACACGCAACGCCAGCGGTTCCATGTGCGCAGAGGCCAGCTCAAAAAGAATCTACGGATCGAGCGATGGCGCAAGCTGTTCAAAGAGGGCTTCATTGCGGAGTGCGCTCGAGTCAGGAAGATGAGAAAACAGGGCTGGTAAGAGGTGGACATGTTCCGCCCGAGCAAATACCACTACTTTGTGCAGCGCGGTGTGTAAAATCATTAGTGCGACCGAGCCTGCTGCGAGCCTGCTGCGAGCCCGCTGCAGGGTTATCCCTCGCCATCCACCTGTACAACAATTACAGTTTGCCAAGGTAGAACAGTCCCGACCTTGTGCCATCTCCCATCTTCCATGTTCCATGCCGTGTGTCCATTGTTGAATTGGCGGTTTCTTGAAGAACGGCATTTTCCCGTAGCTCTCAGCGAACCGTTGCTACATCATAGCTCGTACTCGGCAAACGCTAGGTACCACAGGCGGGGCCCGCGAGGCCTGTCTTTTTGCACTTTCGACGACTTGGGTCGGAACGGCAACATCGCCACCCAACCCGGCTAGTAGGGCTAACCCGCCTGTCAAGTGGTCTCTAATGTCGTACGACGAACCCTTGAGCCCTGCATAACTCCGTGCGAGGGCCATGCTTCACTGTCCCGCTCCCAGGATCGTCGTGCGGCAGGGTACAAAATCAAAAGCCACGCGTCAACACGAGATTGAGTACGGAGTACATGTACCATTGATTGCTCACAAGTCTCCAGGGCATTCGAGTCATCGCATTCGCACTGACTCGACGGCCAGACGGCCAGAAAGTCTAAGTCGAAAGTCGGAAACTTCGTACGCTTGGACTTTGCCACAACCTACACCGTACTTGTTACAGCCTGCTAAGGGTCGCCGAAGCCCCCCACAGGCTGAACCTTGGTCCGCCTTTGGAGCACAAGGTTTAGGGCTGTCAGGAACTAACCTTTCACTATCAATGCTCATTTCGCTGAAGAATGCCAACATGGCAGCTGACATTTTGACATGGACACCTGCGGTCGCGATTGCGGATATGCACACGTCGGCGTCTGAGGTCATGGACGCGGCACGGATGCTAATGGTTTGCCCTGCCCTACCAGTACTCCGTACTATTCATTTCTAGCCGCCGGGACAATGACCCTGGCCAATAACCAGCTCCAAGCCCCGGCCGGCCATCTTCGATTGCTCTGCACCGTCGTCCGTCCAGCATTATTCAGCTCGACTGTCCGGCCCACGATCTAGTCCCGACCACTACACCACTTTTCTCACCGGTAAGAAGCTGGACTGGCAGATGGCCTACAGTGAAAGAAAAATATGCGGGCAGGTGCGACTCGCACATAGTCGGTCACATGGGCATCTCGCTGGCAGTCACCATCATGCGGAGCCGCAAACACGAACCCCTCGCTATCAATCTTGTGACCAACGCAAATCCTGAAGAACCACATCGACCGGGCAGTTTGATCTCCTAGAATACGGGGCCATCTTCCAGCTATCGACAAGTCACCAGACTGCCAGACTGTCCATGCATCTGTCAGAGGCATATACTGGGTAGAACGGGCGGCTTGCTGGCATGCTGGCACGCTGGAATTGCATTTCCATCGCAGTCGCGAATCTATGCGAAACCAACTGGCGGTGCAGACCCAAGCCGCCGTCCTCTCCGTACCGAGCGAGGCGTCTCATGGTTACACCAAACGTGTCCTAGGAGGGGTTTCACGCACGACATACCGCACCTCCGATTTTCTGGGGCATCGGTCCTTGGCTTACGGAGTGTCTCATGTACGGAGTACTTTACTCAAGTACTCTGTAGCCACTAAGCACTAGATCTGGAAAGAACCGTTCACCCGAACTTACTCCTTAAGATGGCCGATGGGCCTTTGCTCTTAGTTGTGCCTCTGACTTCACCCTTGCGCAGGTTCCTGACAGCGTGTATCCACACCCTCCGACTAGTCAGGCCGACACGGAATGTCGTTCCACCCACGAGCTGGACGGGGGCACCGCAAGCTCAGATTTTAGGTCAAGGACGCGCCGGCCCTAGCCTTAAGGATATCACACGAGCCAGCCTTGGTCATCGTTCACAAGACCTATCAGGCCATCCTTGTCAGCTCATCACCCAAAGTTAGCTTTGGTATCCGACACGAGCCAAGCCTCTTGCATCGCTACTGCTAGCGGAAATGTCTAGCTGCATCACTTCGCAACCTTGTACCTTGTCGCTGTCTAGCTCTGACCACCAAGGTTGTCCGGGGAGCAATGGACGACGTGAGAAGACTCAGCCGTTTCGGAACCACCCGCGCCTGTGGGCTGCCTCTCCGTAGTACCCGTGGCATCCGTGAGACTCATCCCCCCAATAATTTAATTGCTTTGCCTGGACACCGAAACAAGCAACATCAAGCCCCGTCGCGGACGCGGACCACACCACATCAGGTTGAAACAAGCCAATGGCTACTTGCTGTGTAGCGCTGGGTTTCCTACAGTATCGTGCCATGGAACAAGCCATAAGCCACAAGCACGCGCAAGCCAATGGTGCTCGACACTGTAGACAACTTTCCTGTTCCAGTCTCCATTGCACCGAAAAGCGCATCGAATGAAGTCATGTTCTTGGTCGCTGGAGACTGCCAGCTCACTCATGGAGTCCTAAAGGTCCATTATTGACATACATCGGCATGTGCTCCAGCTACAGTGACTGAGTACCCTGTCCCTTCCTAGCCTATCGCTTTATATGTTCACTCTCAGCTTGGTCTGGTTGAACTCCAATCTCATTTCCAGTCGTCGCCATTTGCAATTCCGCCCATTCCAGGTCCGAGTCCCTGTCCATGCGTGTCCAGTCTATCTACCCATGTATCGGAAATCTATCAGTTCTATCTAGCCGGTATCGTTCAAAACATGACATCCATGACCCCCATTACGACCTTACAATACATTACACATAACACATTTTTCGTTCGTCGTGACTCGTTTCCTTGCCCTCCTCCGGGGGGGCTGCCTTCCTGGTCCAGGCACCACCTCCAAATCATTACCCCAATCCCATCCCATCTGACCCTGACCCTAGGTGCCCTCCTCCCCAATATGCCAGTCCCCATCCATTGCCTGCCAGGTGACGGTGACAGTGACGCCCCCGAACCACTCGCAACTCTTAGGGTGAACCCCTTCAGGACGCCATCCCCCCCACGAATACTTTCCAACTCTCCACCCCACCACCCCCAACCGCCACCGTCCCGCTCGCATCCACCCCTCCAAACGGCGCCACATCATCGTACGCAAACGCATACCCCCTCCCATCACTCTGCGCCGCATGCACCGCCGCGCTGTACCAATTCGTCGCCCCCTGCCCCACTGTGCCATTACCACCACCACCACCACCGTAGTAATAATCCGCCGTCGTCACCTCAGCCGACGGCTGCGTGTTTCCCCTGGCGAGCAAGAAAGTGCTGCGATTCAAAGCGGCGCAGACGCGCGGGAGCACGGCTAGGTCGACGGCGTTGTCGGAAGAGGTCGTGCTGAAGATGCCGGCGCACGAGAAGATGTCGAGGGCCGAGTCGGGGTTCGTGCTGGAGAGGGGAGGCGGGAGGGGGCGGGAGGCGCCGGCGCAGGAGAGGGAGCCTGTTGGACAAGGTTTGTTAGTAGGGATGTTGCTGAGGTAGGTCTTGAGGCGTTTTTAGGGGGGATGATGGGGGGCAAAGGTAGGTCATTGCAACCCGAGCGATGTGCCTGGCTTGGGAGTGCGGCGTGAGGCCGGTCGTGGAAGCCAGCTTCGGCCACAACCCATCGAAGTTAGGAGCTTGGGCCACTTGAACCGTCCGCATGAGACTGTTTCCCCTTCGCAGAACCAGCAGACAATGTACCAGTTAAAGGTGCAAAGGAAAAGGAAAGGTTGGTACTTGCCGGTCGAAGTCGAACACTCCACCACACCCAGATCCGTCTGCGTGTCAATGTACAGCGTCTCACTCGCATACTTCTCCCACACGCTCGTCACATACGCATCCCAGTAACTCCGGAACGCGCCCCCATCCACCGCCGCAATATACTTCCCCGGCGCATCCACCCGCAACACCTCATCGCCGCGATACACGCACAGCTGATCCCACGGCACCCCGTCCGTCCCGGCGCGCGCCTCCAGCGCGCTACACACATTCCCCATGCTCCCCGGGCTGGTGCCCGCGACGGTCTGTGTCTGGCCTGAAGTGGTGGTCAGGGACATGCCCGCGGCGAGGCCGACGAAGTCGACAAAGGACAGATTGGCGAAGAGCCCCGCCACGCTGGAGTAGGTCATCTCGACGAAGGACCAGAGGATCGACGAGGACGAGTCGCTCGGGTTCTGGGGGTCCGGGGCCACGAGCGTCACGCCTTCGGGGTTCAGGAGCGTGTAGAAGCGGAGGGTGCCGGCTGCGAACTAGAGAGGAGGGCATGTTAGTTTAGTTTCGGACTCCCACCCCCTCCCCATCATCCCATCGAGGTAGGTCACTTACGTAGATTCGGCCCGAGTTGAAATAGCCAGGGAGGTTGAGGGTCGTGGTGCTGCCGGGCGAGCCCAGCGGGATGGTGATGTCGTCGGTGATGGGTTCCGGGATGGTGGAGGATCCCGAGGTCGGATACAACCAGCTTTGCGCCGGCGTCAGCAGCATCACGTGTCCTTCTTCGTCTTTGGCCGTGATGTAGATCTGAAAGAGAAGCAGGCGAAGGTCAGTAACGGACTGACATCGATCGGCCACACAACGCAAAACGGATGCGGCAAAGGAAAGTAGGCGAGGCTGGGTAGGATAGGAGAAACTCACGTTGATTCCGTCAGATCCAAAATTGTTTACTAGCTCGACATTCAAGCCGGGCGTTGATTGCGGCGGTGAGGTGGGCGGGACATTTCCTGGCACGGTCCCGTTCAGCGTGTTGCCGGGCCCAACTGTGACATCCGTGCCAGGCCCAGGCCCCGGTGCTGGCTCTGGGATCGTCGGCGCTGGTTGCGCATCTGCTGGTGGGGGGATCGTCGAGTTGCCATCGTCGGATGAGGCAGGGACGTCAGGCTGGCCGTTCGGCGCTGCTGGATCGGACTCCTGGGCTGCAGGAGCCGGGCTTGAGGCGTTGGGAAAGGGCGCCACGTCTGCGTCGGGTACTGTTGGTGGCATGCTTGCGGTATAGAATTCGGCCGGTGATGTCGCGGTGATGACATCGCCTACGGTATCGGTTTGTCCTGCGGCATCCGTTAGCGTTGCGGTCAAGTCAGTTTCAGGGGAGAGGGGGAGTGTGTCGGTGTTTCCCGGCGCGTCTGTCGCTGCTGCGGCCGGTACTGAGGTCAAGATGGTAGCTATCGTTGCTGCTGCTGGTGGATCGGAAGCGGGCGGAGGGGGAATGCTGTCGTCTGGTATCGGGTCCGGTGGAGGGATCGTTGGGATGGCTGACTCCGTGGGTGGAGGAACAAGAGCTGGTGCGGCTACGGTCGCTGTGTCCGCCGGTACTGGGACTGGCTCTGGTTCTGGTGCTGGTGCTGGTGCTGGCGCTGGCGCTGGCGCTGGCGCTGACACGATCTCGGGACCGTCTGCCGCTGGGTTATCGATGTTCGGTGGTCCGCCCCAATGGGCCGGTTCAAACGACGGCGGTCCCCAGATCCATCTCCCATTTCCAGCAGCTCCGTCTCGTCTACCCCCGGGACTGAACTGTCGTTTCGTCGGTGCGGATGTGGTACTGGGTATTATACTAGAGATTAGGGCCAATAGGCTTAATGACAACAATGAAGGCATTCTCGCGATCCAGCTGCAGTGCTGTTCCACCTGGTGCGCGACGATGAAAGATTGCAAGATTACCGAGGGGAATCAAAAGAGCAAGAGCATTGTCATAGACGTACTTGAGGACGCCATCGCTGGAGCATTTGCCGCGCACACTTCTGTACGTACACCACGCACCCACTCAGTGAGCAGTCCAACGGGGTGGTTGACAGGCCAACAACGCCGCGCCGGCTATGGAGGGGCCCGATGTACTGTCAGGCTATGATCAAACACTGCACTAAGTGAGATTGGGGCTGTAAGTTAAGATCGCCCAGCGGTATGTCAGAGCAAGGTTTTAGTTCTATTGTTTGGATCCGGGTCATTTGGGTCTTGCAAGAGGCTAATGGCATCTGGCCCAGTCAATGGTTGCCCTGCATCGTGTATTTGAGTTTGAGAGGCGTTCCCTGAGGCTTCACCCGGGAAACTGATATTCTCCGAGCATTCCTGCTGACGGAGGTGTGCACAACAGCCACCGGCACTGGAGGAACAAAGATGACGATCGACGCAGATCTCAACAGGCCAGGAGGTAGGAATATTTTGATCCTCATTCACGGCCAAAACGCCCCCGATGAATATCCGTCCTTACGCCACTGTCGTGCCCCAGGGTATGAGACCGATCTATTTTGCTCCGGCGAAAGCATTCCTTGGTGCCCTATATCACGCGAGTGACGAGTCTATTTGGTTTGTACCGGTCGTCAACAACATTCCTCGGTCGCCTCCGCCGATTGCGGCATCGGTTCCGCGCTTCCTCGGCGCCTATTTCCACGTGTCTGTAGACGTTGTGCCGCTACCCACGCTCAAGATCAACGGTCTGGAGAGCCTAGAAGCTGGATTTGGTCGAACGCAAAGCCGCACACCAACACAACGACATATGCAGATGAGGCTCCCGAGGCAAGGCTGCAGGGGGCGCATGTGGCTGGTACTGCAAGCGAAGTCCTAGCAACCTACTGGGATGAATGTCGATTGTGTTGGTGCGCGGCTCAGACGATGCCTTCGGATCAACACTGGCTGAGAATCCCCTGGTCTCGTAAGCAAATCTGCAGCAGGTGCATCTCAGGCAGCGACTGTGGACGTGACTGTCCCAGGAACTGGAATGGCCAGCGAGGAAGCATTGGTGAAAACCGCGGAAGTGGAATTGGTGGGAATGGCCATGGTGGCGGAACCGGTTCCAGTAGGTCCATGGGTAAAGGTCGTGTTGAACAGTGGGAACGGCGGAATATTGGTCGATGTTACCCTGCTGGTGATACCGGCGGAAGTCGAATTGGCGAGGGTGAATCCTGGACCAGGCTCGGGAGTGGTGGCATCGGTCCCATAAGATACTGAAGCTCCGGCATCCGGGAAAACGAGTGAGCGGCGCTCGATGGTGTTGCAGCCGTTCCCAACATCACAGACGAACATATCCGGGAGGCTGTCAAACGCCGTCTGTCTCCGCGACTCGTACCTTAGGGCTCTCCGACGGTTTTGCACAGCAGGGATCTGAGCTCCCACAACCTGGACCCGGGCACAGTCCTGATACATGTTTGACTCACCAATCAAGTTGAACCAGGACCATGATAGCAGGGCTGTGTCGGATGAAGGAGCAAAGTCTGGAACGGTAAAGTCGTAGGTCAGAGACAGAGGGCAACCGCCGATAATGGACTCGATGACTTTGAAGGATGCTCCATTATCATACGAGAGAGATATCTGGCAGGAGCCTCCTGAGTGTGTTGCGCCACCAGCAAGGGTGATGTTGTAGGAGCTCCCGGCCTGATAAATTGCTGTAATGTCGTATGCCTGTGAATTAGTAGCATTGTTCTGGTAGCCTTTGCAGAGAAAGTCAGTGCCATCTCGGAGGAGGGGACTCGCCGTGTCGTAGTCCTTGAGGGACTCTGGGACGGCGGGGTTGAGGGAGCTGCGGAGGGGATAGGGCCAGGACATCTGCATGTGGGCGGTGCAGGTGAGGATGTGGGAGGCGAGGGCGGAGATAAGTGTGGCACGAATGATAGCCATGGTGACGATAGCCTCGGAGTCTTTACACAAGGGATGAAGAGTCGCGACTTGGTTAGCGAATGCAGGGCTCTAACGAGGCATCGTTGCTTTATGTTCGGGGAGTTCTTGAGACGATGCTCGCATGGGGCGCTGTTGACGGCGTGAGAGGTCGTGTTGGCACAGTAACATACATCTCAAGAGGGTCTGTTCTCCGTGTGAGCTGGTGTTTAGTTCTTTGGTCAGACAGCCGCTTTTCACTGGCGCTGTTACAGATGCGGCGACAAGGCGACAACATCACAGCTGAGTTGTGAAGGCTATAGCCGCCAAGCCGAGGTTAGCAGTGATGCCCCACTTGTTCCTGCATGAGCTCGAACGTAACTCGCCGGCCCGCGAACCGTGCCTGGGACCGGGCCCACTACTGGTGGGATTCTCCGCTTTTGATTCGACCACTTCGTTCGTCAATCTTATAAGCTAAAGCTTACTTGCACGAGCCGGTTACCAAACTACCTCCGTGCAGTATCAGAATTTCTACAGTACGTGCCAACCACCCGCGCCAAAAAGGCAAAAAGGATCCTTGCTGTCGGCTGTTTGCTACAGCTTCGTGGCGCAATCACAACAGTGCCGGACTTTCGAGATCCGTGATTGGCACGTCACTCGCTTCTACTCGAGGCACGCGGCAAAATAACCTCTTGGCACTAGTGGACGACAATTCGTGTCGAGATATACTTCAGTCATTAGACGCGACTCTCCCCTCCCTGAACTTGCATACTGGCGGCTTACTGGCGGCGGGCCTGTTTGTTTACGAAGATGTTCCCGGTAACTTGCCAGTCCCACGGCCATTCAGGCGTCCGCCCCTGCTACCTCCCTGCCACCGACTCAAACACCATCACGGAGTACCTCCGTACAGCCGAAGGACGTTAATCTTCAGGCAAGAGCAAGCACAGGCTATTCAAATCTAAGTTTGATTGCACGATAGCTTCATCAACAATTGGTCATTTCTCATCCTGTGCGGTGCCTCTCAATCCCTGGTGGCACGCCGTACAGCTGCCACCGTTTTCAGGGCAAGCACATAGCCTTCGCTCACCCCTCGTTGCATGCGGACCCGCAAAGACCTTCTCTTCTCCAGCCGATGTCCCAATAGCTGCGCTGGCTCCCGCCATGGCGGTAGGGCGCCGGCCTCCAATGTGCCAACGCTTTGCGACTCATCCGGGCTGTAAGGTTGACCATCTTGCTCGGCGCTATCCTTGGGTATGTCGCTCGGTGTCCCGTCGTGTCTTGCTCTCGTGAGCAACCATTCCCCTGCCACTTGCCAATCGTGCATCCACTCTTGCATTTCCTGTCTCCTCCGACCTGCTGCATCTTGGACAGAGCCATAGTTGTGTTCTGTGTGGCATCTCTGGAATACCCGTACGGGCCTGTTTCTCGGCTGTTGCGTATCAATGTCTCTGGAGGGCAGCCTCTCGATGTCACTCATGCTGTATCGACCACGCTGAAGGTCTCGGTTGCTCATGTACTATGTGGCATGGGGTGCCTGACAAGTGGAATGGATGGACAAAGTGTACGCTGGCACCGTTCCTCTGGAAACCGACACTTCACTGCCACTTCTATGAGCCGCGCCGAGCAGATTGTTGTTCGGCCCAACCACCTCGTTCGTGTTCGTGTCCCGCCCGTCCAGACCCTCAATCCGAGAAAGAGTTGCAGCATCCCGCTAATCTGACTTTGTTAGCTTGCTGTACGTCAATTCCTTGGCACGAGGACAGCACCTTGCCGCTCAGCTCAGCACGTGCACCGACCTAAACAGTGAGGATGCTAGCTACGAAGTACGGGACATTGACCGTATGCCAGGTCGAGAGGTCGCGCCACAGCTGAGGACCTGCGCTTACCTAGTCAACTCCATCAAAGTATCGAGCTTGGTCGCCATTGACATGTCGATCCCGTCGCCCTTGCCCCGTCCCAGAACCACTGCTAGACAGACTTCGTCCCCAGCAATCTCATCAGAGTCCTCCAGCCACTGTTGTTCCGGCTTGCTCCGCTACGAGCCTCCATGCCAATACCCCTCCACGTCCCAAAGCGGCGCGTACGACGTCTTGAATAGCTCCAGCCTCGCCATCTCACAAGGCTAGTGTACTAGGTTGACAGGCGCATCCTATGCAACTACCAGCCCCATCGCAGGATCACCGAGCTCGCGATACCATTGAGACACATAAAGATGCCTGGTCAACCATGTGTTCAGGGTGCGCATTATGCGCATCCAAACCCCGGCCTTGTAGCACTTCACTGCGAACCACCCCTCGAGAATGTATTTATATTCTCGTCTACCAATAGTGTCTCTACTACTGTCAACGACATCAGCACAGTATGTTCTCGAGGACGACTACTCCGTGTCTTCGTTCGCTAGCCTGTTCGAGTTCTTCACCGTAAGTCAAGCTCCCAATCTCCTGAGGACTTGCTATAGACGATCGACAGAACGCTGACAGTCCTTACAGGGAGACGACCCAACACACGGCTACGTCAACTACCTTTCACAGGACGCCAGCGAAGCCGCTGGACTATACAAGGCCGACGGCGCCTCGGTGAAGCTGGGCGTGGACTCCAACAATGTCGCTACCGGTCGAGGACGTGATAGCGTTCGCGTTGAAAGTCTGAAAAGATACAACAGTGGCCTCTTCATCTTAGATGCCTCTCATATGCCCGAAGGCTGCGGCACATGGCCTGCCTTCTGGTTGTATGGTCCAAATTGGCCAAGTGGCGGTGAGGTAGACATCGTCGAGGGAGTCAACTCCCAAGCTACTACCTCCTTTGCCACTCACACCGGTCCCGGATGCTCCATTTCGAGCTCGGGTTTCACTGCGGCTCTGAGTACCTCCAACTGCGACATCAACGCTCCTGGACAAGGCACTAACGTCGGGTGTGCCATGGCCTCAAGCGACACGAGGACCTATGGTGCTGGGTTCAATGCCAACGGCGGAGGGGTCTTTGCTACAGAATGGACCGGCGAAGCCATCAAAATCTGGTTCTTTCCCCGAGGAAGTATCCCGTCAGACGTCTCCAGCGGCACGCCATCACCATCGGCCTGGGGCCTCCCTCAAGCCAAGTTCTCCGCACCCTGTGAGATCGATCAACACTTCTCAGACCAGCGAATCGTACTCAACACTGCTTTGTGCGGTGATTGGGCAGGCGCGGTGTGGGGTGCTGACTCGACCTGCTCCTCCAAGGCCAGTACATGCCAGGAATTTGTGCAGAACAATCCCACCGCGTTCGACAACGCTTACTGGTCCATCACCTCGCTGAAGGTCTACCAGCAAGGTGGTCCAGCAGCCAGCCCATCGACTCCTGTCAGTTCTGCCACATTTGTGCCGACGACGCTCTCGACGCAGACAGTCACCTTCGACACTGCAACACCCGCCTTCCCGCCGCCTCTTATACAGACGACCATCCTTCCGTCGCCGACCTCCACATCGCTCGTGCCGCCACCGTTCACCTCGACCACAGGCCTGGCGACAACAGCGCAGACGACATCTAGCACTACTCCCGTCACCTCGTCGTTCTCAACCCCCTTTGAGCCAGGCGTCCCCTCCACATTCACCACCAGTACACTCAGCGCGCCAGGCGAGTCTAGTGACCTTCTGGAGGCCCCTCCCACGCCAGTATCCGCCCACCCCACGGAGGTCTCTACACTCCCTGGGGCCTGGGCTCCTACTGGAATCCCCAGCGGCCCAAGGGTCCAATCCTGGGGCGACTACAGCGGCGGCGAAGGAGGAGGTGGAGGTCGCTGGGGACTGAGGAACGGAGGACATTGGCCGCGAGCGAACTCGGGGGGTCTTTTTGGTCTTGATTTTGAAAAGCGATGATACCCACCCACGTTTTGATGATACCCGTTTGAAGCGCATTTACAAATATTCAGTTATTGCGAGACATATAGAACTATATGGAAAGAACAGAACAGGGTGATGTGAGGACACCAGACCTTATCCCTACGCGGACTCATCATGCCTGTACAATACCAATGCCCCTAAATATCGCACACCTTCTACAAACGCCCTGTACCTGCCGAATGACCATGTCCTCGACCATTTCCACTCATGAGGTGTATCACAACCTGGCTCTCCTATCACCACCGTTACCAGCCGCGCCCGTTATGTGGCGTCAAAGCGGAAAAACTCACACATGACCATTCGTTCCACTCACGCCATTCACAACACTTGCTTCCCCAACACCACCACCGTTGATCTTGGCTTCCGTCGCCGGCGCGTCCTTGGACTCCCTTCCCTTCTGCACGACATCATCGTACACCTCTTCGGCATGCTTCTCGGCATCGAATTCGAAAATCCAGTCTTGGCGCGGGAAGTGGACGGCCGAGGGGTCCTCCTTGACCTTGTCCCAGTCGGCTTTGTGCCACATGTCGCGCGTCGTCTCGCCGGTCTTTTGCACGTCTTTGACTCTGTCGTATCTGTTTGGTGGGCATGTCAGTATATGAAACGACTCTTGCGAAGAAAGTGCTTGATGCCTCCAAGCGGGAAAAGACGAACCTGATATCCATATACGCCTTGACAGCCTCCTGCACGTTCTTCCTCCCAGCCTTCCTTAGACACACAGCGATTGTGACGCCATCCTCCATTGACTGTGTGGCGCCCTGTGCGCTCGTGGGAAGGAACGGGTGCGCCGAGTCGCCCAACAGCGCGATACGGCGCTTCGGGCTGATCCATGTGGGCAGCGGATCCCGGTACACAAGTTTCCAGTCGACGAGGTGGCTCTCGGGGGTCTTGCTGACGATGCGCTTGCACAGGGGGTCCCAGCCCTCGAACACCTTGTACACGTCCTCGAGCTTGCCCGGGAAACTCCAGCTCTCGTCGATGTCGGCTTCGTCCTTGTGCGTCAGCACCCAGCAGCAGTCGCTGCCGCCCTTGATGGTGGAGAAGAGGAAGTGCACGTCCGGGCCGATCCAGCCGTTGAAGGTGTCGCCGTTTTCGCAGAAGTGCTTGGTCTCCGGGTCCGCGATCATGTCCGTGTTGGGGAACCAGGCCCGGAACACCGCGTACCCCGAGCTCTTGGGCTTGTCGTCGTAGCCCAGCACCAGCTCGCGCGCCTTGGACCGCACACCGTCGCTGCCCACGACCACGTCGCCCGTGACGCGACGTCCGTCTTCCAGCTCGATGCCCGCGCTCGTTTCGTCCTCAAAGTAACCCACCACCTTGGAGCCGAGGTGGATGGGAATGCCGAGCTCCTCAGTCGCGTGCCGGAAGACAATCTCGTGCAGCTCGCCGCGGTGGCCGTTGAAGACAGGCGACTCCTCGACGCGCGGTGGGCTCTTCTGGTTGCACACCAGCTCGCCCGTCCACTTGTGGATGTTGAAGCCGTACTCCTGCAGGTCGATAGAGACGTCGCGCATGCGCTGGGCGATCGAACCCTGATTACCCCAGCGGTAGAAGATACGCCCGCCATTGGGTCCAAAGGAGATGATGTCGCCTAGGGACTTGAGTGCGGGGAAGTTCTCGTAGATGGCGACAGTGTGGCCCTGTCGATGGCATTCGATGGCGGCGGTGAGGCCGCCGAAGCCTGGTACGTCAGGTGGTAAGTTACGAGAGCTAGCAACGATGCGGACTCACCCGCTCCCACGATAATCACATTGATGCCTGTGGGCGGCTTGTGTGCAAACTGGTCTGCTGACATAATCATGGCTTGGGCTCTATTGCTATGTGACCAACTAGTTGTAGGGAAGATGGCAAGAAAGGCTAGGACGTTTTGAAACAAAAATAACAAAAGGAACGAAGGCCAACAACAACGCTCCCGTCGATAAGATTTGGTTACAGATATCCCAAGCCCGCCTCGCAGCTATTGAGCCGCTGTGCTTCGAGACCGCCCCACGGGGCGGTTCTATGTGTGCTCGGAGGACATGCCCTATCCTCGTATCGATATGCGCGGCACTTGAAGAATTCCCGCTAGCAATGCTCGCGGATCACGAAAAGCCACGCGCGTCTGCTTGATCCTGCGTCCAGATGACTTGGTAACACGGAGAAAGATCTTCGGAAGCAAGAGTACAGTATTGTGTCCCCGCACCGGGGGTATCAGCCCCGGGGCCCAGGGAGGTTGGGGACGTGACAAGGGTCGGTCGCAACCTTCCGAGCGAACCCACAGCTCGCTTGTGCCGCAGGAACGCATGGATGCGAGCCGAGGAGATGCCTTCGCGACACTACAACAACAATGCCATGTGACCTTCGGAAGCAGAGACGCATATGATCGCTTGGAGCTGCTGGCACGTCCCCGCGTGCCCTTGAATATCTGTCCTGATGGTCTGTTTGCCCGTGACTGCTAAGCACTGCCAAGGCAAATTCTCAGGCAGTGAATGAAACTCTATTCGTCCTGACGAGGCGGCGAGGCTGCCACCATACCACCAAGACCACCATACACCTGAAGCCATCAACTCTCTAGATAGCCAGTCAGCCAGCAAACTCATACTCACCCCGCAATCATGGCCACCCACCCCGCCTGGAACCAGCACACCACCGCCACCCAAGTAGCCGGTACCTTCTCCTCCCGCATCAAAGACCGCACTATCCTCATCATCGGCGTCTCGCCCAATTCCCTGGGCGCCTCCATGGCCGCTGCCCTGGCGGCACACTCCCCCGCGCTCCTCATCCTCGCCTCGCGCACAGCCAGCAACCTGGCCGCCGTCGCCGCCGAACTACCCCCAACTTGCCGCGTCGCCACCATCCCCGTCGACCTCTCCAAATACGCCTCCGTGCGCGAAGCCGCCGCCCAGATCACCGCCCTCACGACGACAAACGGCATCGACATCATCATCAACAACGCTGCCATCGTGCACCCCTCCCACATCCTGACCACACCCCACCGCCACGAGCTGCAATTCGCCACCACCTTTCTGGGGCCTTTCCTACTGACCAACTTGCTACTGCCCCAACTACTGACCGCCGCCGCCACCGCACCAAATGCAGGCTCCACGCGCATCATTAACATCACCTCCGACGGCCACCGCCTGAGCCCCATCCGCTTCTCCGACCCGCACTTCACGCGCCCGCTGGCCGACCTGCCGGCCGACGAGCGCCCCGCGGCATCGGTGCCGGCGGTCTTCCTGCCCAAGAAGCCCAAGACAGAAGAAGACGGACACACGCAGCAGCAGCAGCATCAGCAGGAGCAGGACTCCTCCGACCCCCCCACCACCCCAGAAGCGGAACCCACATACGCCCCCTTCCTGGCATACGGACAATCCAAGACGGCCAACGTCCTCTTCTCCGTCGCCATCAACGCCATGCTGAACCGCCACGGCATCGCCGCCTTCGCCGTGCATCCGGGCAGTATCTGGACGGAGTTGAGCCGGAATCTGGACGAGGAGATGCAGCGCGTCATCCGCACGACGGGCGGGTATTGGAAGACGTTGGACGAGGGGGGCGCGACGGGGTTGGTGGCGGCGTTGGATCCTGGGGCGGTAGGTGGTGAAGGGGGAACGGTGGGCGTGGAGGGAGTGTATTGGAGTGATTGTCAGGTTGAGGCGGGGAAGGCGGCGGGGCATGCGGTGGATGAGGGGGTGGCGGAGAGGTTGTGGGCGTTGGGGGAGAGGGAGGTGGGCCAGGGTTTTGATGTCGAGGAGATGGTGAGGAGGGTGCACGGGGAGGGTGTGGTGCCGGAGGGGAAGGCCACGGAGGCGGTCAAGGTCAGGACGAGGGAGGTCAGTCTCTGAGGGAGGGAGGGGCTTTGAGGGGGTCGTTACTATCTACTGAGAATTGGGTGGTGTCGCTAGATCATAGAAATATTAAAGCTTCGAGAAGCAGGGACGGGTTTTTGGAGAGTGCAATGTATTACAATACTGTGTTCTGTACGGCCGTTGATGCATGTTTGCCTTCTGACTCCTTTACCAAACCACGCTAGCTCGTGATTCTCGCGCTATCCTCAGGTCCCTGTCCCTTGTCCACCTTTAGATCTGATGCAAATGGCTTAGAAGCCCTTCTCTGCATCCCTCGGCGCGTCATGGCTACGCTTGTGGATGTGATGATGGGCAACATCCTCCACCATCTCGACACTGGCGTCAGCGACGGGCTTACCAATCGCCGCCCCCTCGATAGTGTTGGCGGTGGGCGGCACGGTTTTCTCCTCGGCAACGTGGTGAATCGAGGTCTGGTAGCCGGCCCATTTGCGCGCCGGCACACCGGCCTCGAACATTTCGTTGATTTCTTCCAGAGTCCTGCCTTTGGTCTGCGCCACAATGTTAGCCAAGGCTCTGTTTGTGAGTAGGTGGTGCACTTGCCTCTGGGATGTACCAGTATACGAACGCAGCGGCAATCAAGCACGATGGAAACCAGATATATCCGTACTGAGGACCCCAGTTGAGCGCTTCGGGGTTGATAAAGTCGGGTGCGGTGAATGCCGCCAGCCAGGCGCCGATGAAGCCAACTCCGGCGGCGAGGCCAAAGGTGTAGGATCGCAGAGACTGTCGAGGCAGCTCACCGCCCACGAGCCAGGCGAAACTGGCCATGCCGCCATTGTACGCCACGATGTAGATTACCGAGAAGGCCACGATGATTGTACCGGTCTGCTCGATGTCGTTGGGGTCGCGGCGGGTGTAGCAGATGGCCACAATCAGCTGAGCGAAGCCACAAATGATGAGTGAGCTCGTCAAGAAGCGGCGTCGACGACCCCACCGGGGCATGATGTAGACGCAGATGAGGATGGCAGCTACGCCAACGGCAGTCAAGATGACGGAGTTTCTGAAAGCATTGCCGACTCCGGCCATCTCGAAGAAGTAGGTACCATAAGCTAAACGTGTGAGAACAGTTTCCAGAGATGTGAGACGGCGAACCTACCAATCATGTAGAAAGCGCCCGAAGCAGCTTGGGTGGAGACAGCGGCGACAGCCAGCAGGGTGCGTTTGCGGTCAATTGGCCGACGGAAGAGATCGATCCAGCCCACAGACTCAGCCATCTCCTTTTCGAGCCGGGCCGTCTCTTGGATCTCGACGAGCTCGATGTCGATGTTGCTTCCTTTGGGTCGAAGCCAAAGCAGTGCTTTGCGAGCAGCCTCGTGCTTGCCTTTGTCAACCAGGTAGCGAGGTGTCTCAGGGATGAAGAACAGCCCAACGGAGATGATGGCCGGAACAGCGTAGATGACGGAGAGTGGCACAACGTAGCACTGCTTGTTAGTCCACGTAGCAGTCTCGTTGTCGACTACGTTGCCAATGAGAGAGCCAACGCTTGTGAAGACATTGAAGGATGCGATGCTGGCGCCTCGGTAACGAGCCGGGATGACTTCCTGAATGTAGAGCTGACCGAAGGTCATGAAGAAGCCATTCGCGACGCCAATGAGAAAGCGTCCGGCATAGATGCCGCCCAGGTTGGTGGTCCCTTGCATGATGCCATTCGACCCGCAGCAGAGGATGCATGCTATCCAGATGCAGTACTTCCGCCCAAGCTTGATGGCCATAGGTCCAGCCGCTAGAGAGCCTGTGAAGGCGCCGACGGTCATCCTACGTCACTTGTCAGGTTTGAACGCGTGTTGCTAGTAGACAGCGCTCACAGCGAAGAAATGAGTCTCTGAACGGTTGTTGACAAGTTCCAGCCGATAGGGTTGGTGGGATCCTCATAGCCGTAAATCTGTGAAGGGTGAGTCATCTTTGAGAGCCATGAGCGACATCAATACCTCAAGGAAACATGGCATGGCCTGAGAAGTGTGTTAGCGGCGAAACTCGGCTTCGTAGAATAGTACGGCATACCTGGAAGCCACCGATGAGGCCGAAATCAAGGCCATATTGCAATGGCGACAAACATAGGAGGAAGCATGCCAACAGGCATCTCCAATGGTGCTTAGCTCGGTACTGAGGGTCTGCCATACTTTCTATTAGCTGACAGGAGTAAGTCTAGAAGTGTGTGGCGTGATGTCGAAGACTCAGTATGGGCCATAATGGGGGCGAGACGGGGTATATGAAGCTGGGACGGTCGCTTGGGCCAAGACTCCGGGGCAATAGTCTGGAGTCTGGGGGTCAGGCAGGGCAGGATGATCGCTGCCGAAGAATCCACAGAGTCCGGGGCAGATGGAGTCAACAGGTCTAGGCCGAAAAATGATACAGATGAGGCGTCGCTAGGCCATCCGATCCATTCTGCATCTGGAGTCGACCGGTGCCCCAAGGAACTCGCAAGCAATCTGCCGGCAGCGGATGGATTCTGCCATTGGCTGGAATGGTAGGAAAAGCGATAGCGAGAATGCTTCCGATGGAGGATATGCATAGCTTCTGCCATGGCGGGCATTGATTTACCCCCGTGGGGAGCTCCAGACTCTTACCGCCTTGATTGTCATCGGCAGGTTACTATCCAACGCCTTGGACACGGTCTCTCATGCTCATGCGGAACCGACACAGACCCATCGCGATCGGATATGTGTCAGCGGGGTCTTTTGCTCACCGGTACAGGAAGCTCAAGGAACTTGTAAAGTCTAAAGCAACCTCAGCTAACAGTTACCTCGAAGCATGTACCTAGCCTGGCCACGAAGCTGGTCCACCGTGGCTGATGTTGTGCACGCTATGGCTGTGCCAGGCTGATTCTCGAGGCTGAAGCGGTCTGTACCTCGAGCGGGCGCGAAATGTTTCAAGTCTCAGTGAACAGTGCAAACCCCCCGCTGCGCCACGGCATAGTGATTCTGGTGCTCAGGCGGCAGCCTCACATTTCACAATGGATATGAATTTCTGGCGTCGGGACATTGTTGCTCGTTGTTCACTCATTTCCCAATTAGCGCAAGACGAACGTCGTGCACAATGTCTCCCATGGAAGTCCACACCGGCCTCTGGTGGCATAACGCCTTGCCAGCGCTGAGTCGCTGGCAACTGACACTAACAGACAACCAAGCATTCGCGTTCATGGCCGTTGTCGCCATCTTCGTCGGCTTCACCCAGACGCGTTTCTGGATCATCTTGCAGCACGCTCTCGACCGGTGGGCTGGGCCACAGCTGCAGCTTCCTGGCTCAGAGCGACCGATCAAGAAACTCTCCCAGGCCCAAGCAATCGCTCGACTCCTACGCTCAAGCCGCCATTCGGTGACTACAGACATGCATTACGTTCCCCCAAGTTGTGGCATAGCTGCAATCAGCAACATCGTCGGATTTCTTGCACTTGGAGCTCTATTGCCTTGGGGTTTGGGCGCAAGCGTCGAGACACCCATTGTGCAGTCCAGCACCAACGCTACACAGTGCCAGGCGGGATGGACGAATCCGCAATCTCGCTTCAGAGGTGCTCAACTGGCGCAAAGTCTCTACTCGCAGTGCTGGGCGGAGAAGGCCAATTCGTACTACCAATGCAGCAACACAGTCGCTGGAAGCCGTCCAAAAGTGGTGGTCAACGCTAATGTCTCTTGTCCATTTCCAGGCGACATCTGTCAAGCAGCTCCCTCTCCCATCAGCTTGGAGCATGACCTCTCAGCATCTGATCTCGGCGTGAACACCAAGGCAGACTACCGCATCAAACACAAATTGACGTGTGCGCCATTGAAAACGGACGACTTCATCGCGAACTCCTCCGACCACGGACCCTTCTTCTTCATCGGCGACCCCAACTGGAGGAAACCCGACCCTTCCATATCCTTGGAAACCTCAAACGGTCCAAACCGACACTCGACTGCATACTCCGGCCCCAAAGTCACCACGGGAAGCGGTTTCCGCGTCAAGACTCTGCTCATTCCCGACCAACGTCCTGGTCGCCAGCACGTCCATGTCAACAACAACTCCTCACACAGTCCGCTACAACTCCAATTGCACCCCAGCCTTCGACTCCGCATCGCCCAAGTCTTCGTGGTAACGTTACGGGCCGGAGGCACAAAGTACATGTCGCCGCTCCGGGACCCGCTCTTCGCCTCGCACGACGTCACCCCTCGCCGAGGGTTCAACCTGTCCGTCCCGGACTTCGAGCTCACAGCGGTGGGCTGTGCGGAGCAATACACAGTTTGCAACGGCCACCCCTACAACGACTGCGAAGCGTGGCACATGCCCAACCGCCTGCAGAGCAGTCCGTGGCTGCAATCTCTGCAGCAGAAGCTGGTCGAGACGCGACAACAAGCCACTGCCGACGACATCTTCCCCGTCCTCAACCGCTTCCGCGAGACCGGCAGCGTCGACGCCTATTTCGCCGCCATGGGCGGGGAGCCCAAACTGCTCGCCACTCCTCTGCAATGGGGCAGCAATGGGTACTTGACGACCCGATTATCAGCCAACCAATGGATCAAGGAACTGTCGGCATGGTTCGAAACATCCTTGTTGTGCGCCCGAATCGAGCTTCTCGACGTCGCCAAAAGGACCCTGCCTCGGACGAGCTGGGGATGGCAGAGGCACGACCCCCGCTACCGCCACGATGTCTGCAACAGGCTCCTGCTTCCCAGTGAAGACCACACCAACATTGCCTTTACGCCGCTGCTCATTGCTCTTTCGACTCTTGCGTTTGTGTCCTTGATCAGCTATGACCCCGTCCGCAACGCTGCTGGAAACGTCGTTGCCGTCTCCCAACGGCTTCTCGCGTACATGCGCCTGGCGGTTCGATCTGCGGCCAGGCTTCGACACCGGGGAAGCCTCAGGAGCTGGGTTGATCATTTTCAGGCGCTGCGTTCGTGGGGAGGTGGCAAGACTCCGGCTTCGGCGCAGCGGCACAGCACGTCTCCGCTTGAGTTCGACCCTGTAAGACCAATTGTTTCCGGGTCGAACGTTGGGCGGACTACTTGAACCACAGCTGAGCCATTGCTCGGAGCGAGACAGTTGGAGTGGGCTTTATGCTGCAGGCTCTCCTTGTACACGAACGTGTAGCGAGCTTGCCGCGGAGGGTGGGGTGCAATCAAGGCTTCGGCAGGTAGCATTGGGCAGGTCATGATAGTGGGAAGGCATTCGCGGACAGTAGAAACGCATGGATGTGTTCTCTGAGCATTGACAACCACATACAAGTACGCAGCCATCACACCACCTCACCCGTAATCCAAGTCGCCAAGATCTTGCTCTCGCCTGCATCTCTCTGTTTCAGTGACCAAAGTATCTCTTCCGGCTCCAACTCGGCACGGACCCCCTCCCACTCATCGACAGCCCCACCCTCCCCACTCCTGCCTTGATGGACGAGGAAGCTCCAGGCAAGCAGCTCTTCCCACGCGCCTTGACACATGTCGTATCCCCACTGGCGGAGGCTCGCTGCGGCGCCGGTAGTCCTTGCGCGGCTCGAGGAGTTGGCGATTCTCGTGCGAGAGACGAGGTGAATGTAGTGGGCGTACGTGGTGTGGAATGAGGGAAGTGGTGATGGGTAAGAGGGTGAGCTCAGTGCTGCCAGGAGCGACAGGTGTAGAGTTGGAAGCGAGACTGCTAAAGAGAGCAGTGTTTGCTGCAGCGGTCCTATTGGCGGCCGCGCCGTCGTCTCTGCAGAGATTTTCGATGTATTCGTCGTAGGCAAAGCGAGGGTAGCGACCGGCGCGTACAGAGCCGAGAGCACCTCTGGTACAGACTTGGTCGTGTAAAAGGTCTGCGAGATGAGCTGCGAAACAGCCTCAGACTTCATAAAAGAGTCCTGAATGAACTTGTTCCACCTCTTCGTCTCTTCGAGATTGTGCTCTTCTAGTCTCTCCACGAAATCGACTGCTGCAGATCGTGAATCTACAATCAGCGCTTTCTCAACTACGGTTTTCATCTCGGCCAGCGTTCGGACAGGCGGAATGTGCAACCAGCGGTGGCTAAATCGAGATTTGACGCGCTTTTCCAAAGATTCAACAACGTCCATTCTAGTGGAACAGCCAATGACTGCAATAGGAGCTTTGCGGGACTGTGCGATATCGAACAGGTTATACAACAAAGTCTGCCGCGGATGCAGTGTAAATAGATCAAACTCGTCTAGTATGATAATGACGGACTTGGCGGTCCTCGTAGGGGCCTCAGGGTCGACTTCTGGATCCTCATGGCTTTCCGTATCCAAGTCCATTTCATCAGGGTGAGACAGTAGGGAGAGGAGCGATGCCAATGTGTCCGCATAGCTAATAGGAGCCGCATTTGCCTCCTCGCCATTCTCATCCTGCGTCGTGCGGCCGAGCTGTCTCCATATCTCCCGCAAAGCGAGCCTGTCATCCGTCTGGAAGAATCCATTGAGCCGCACGGTGTGGAACAGAGGTGAGTGTTCTCCATTCAGCTGTTCCAGAATGTGCTCCAGCAAAAGTGTTTTCCCAGCACCTCGAGGGCCCAGGAGCAGCAAGGAGTTCGACTCCCCAGACACAACGGTTGAGGTCAGCAGATTTGTCAAAGCGGACTGTTGAGTTGCCAAATGCGGTGCGGGCGAACAAGATGTCGCTGAGGTAAGCCGACCTAACACCTGCGCTTTGATGGAGGCAACAGCAGGTGAGTCCACTGTTGAATCACCGATAGGGAGAGAGGCGACTGGCTCAAGAGAGGACAAGATGTCCGCGGGCTCGTCGAAATCTAGGAGAGGGTCGTTGTTGACCATGCCAGTAAGGGCGGTTTCATCGTCGTTAGGTACCGCCAGGTTTGAGACGTCTGTAGCTCGGGCGGATTTCTGGGTCTTCTTGACTGACGTGTCGATATCCTTGAACCCAAGCTGTTCTTGGACCTGAATCTCATCTTGATCAAAGAGGACTGACTTCCGCGGTCCAGCTCGCTGCCCTTTAGAAGGAGTGAGAATACCTTTCGGCCTAGGGGAGTTTGCCGCACTACCGACCGCTCTCCGTGACCTTGATGGGGCAGGTGAAGGTTCTCGTGTTGATTGCGACACGGGAGAGCACCTCCGTGGTCTATGGAGGCTCCGTGCTGACCGGTCGCGTGCAGGTGTGCTGCCAACTTCCGCTTGCAGCTCGTCTTCAGACTCCTCAATTTCTGGCTCCGTAACAATCTCGGCTTGCTTTGTGCTGTGGCGCCGTTTCGTGCTGCTTCGCCCCAAAGTCCCCTCATCCTCCGCTCCAACATGTTGAGTGTCTTTGCGTTTGGGACCTGTCCTTGGCGCGCTGGGAGCCACGCCTTCGTCCTCCGACGCCGGTGGCTGATCCACACGTTTGCTTCTTCGCTTTGAAGAAGTCGATGCCCTGGTGGTGGCATTGCCCGGGGTTTCAGGTATCTCCAGCGACTCTTTGCTTTTCAATGAGGCAGTCTTTCTCCTAGTCGATGACCGTGCGGACGTAGGGACTGGTTGGGCAACCTGCAACTCGTCTTCGACCAAACTGTCCTCTTTCGACCCGTATGCAGAATCGACATCATCTTTGGGCTCAGCAACGGCCTTCAGTCGGCTAGACACACGCCTTGAGGACGGCATTGTGTGCGACAGCTCGGAAATCACCGAATTTGCAGGCTCTTTAGCAGAATCGACATGGGTGCGGTTCGAGGAGTAAGTGTTTGTTCGCTGGCGCTTGGAGCTTCGCGGCGAGGAGCCGAAGTTCTCAGACATTTGGATCTTCTAAAACGCTAAAACATCTCCTTATGGATGCATTAAGCACCGCTTTGACTCAAAAACGTTCGTTGATTTCTGTGACAACGATCCTAGGAGGTTTCACCGCGCCCGAACCACTTTACACGAAACGCGTCGGTAAAACTTCGGCCCAGAAAGACGCGTGACGGAACATTCACCAGATTTCACTGCCTCGGATTCTACTGCAGAAATCCGAACTACCCTCGTTGAGAGCCAGATCTAGTCGTCTATGCAGAGTAGTGTCATATGCTAAGAAAGAGCTCCCTTATAGGATCTCCAGTTTGACCTACCACCATTTACCGCCACTTTTTTGACAACAGCTTTGGTGTTCCGCCCACGTACACGAATGACAATATCGCCGTCACCAGCAGGAGCCCCGCTAGGACCGCATTCATGTGCCCATACCCGATTGCGTCTCGCAACGAGCCGCTTACCATCGGACCAACGGTCAAGCCAGCACAGAACACCAAAGAGTTGAAACCGTAGAGCTGCGCATACGGCCCATGATCGCCGAAGAAGTCGGGGTTCGCCTTGTGGTATCTCTGCACCACATGGCCTGCCTCCACGAGTGGCGGCGACCCAATAATCGCCACGCCGGCGCCCACCACCGCTAGCAGCCCACAGTACAAAATGACGTCCTGATGTGGGTCTTTGACGACCCCATCTGAGGGGAGTCGCAGCAGGGCGAGTGCCGGGACGAGATAAGCGCAGCCCAAAACCGATGCCGGCTTGGTGCCATAGCGGTCGACTGACCATCCAGCAACTGGACCGAGGACGAGGGAAGGGAGAATTTCCGGTACGAAGAGTAGGCCGACCTTGAGTGAGTCGAAGTGAAAGAGCTTGTCGGCTTCGGTAGGTATTGTCGCATCGAATGTCCCCAGCAAGGCAGCCTGCACAAAGCTGAGGAAAAATGCCACCAGCAGTCGTGGATCCGATAGACAGTAGAGAATGGGTGCCGCTCGAACAATCCTGTTCTGACCGTCAGGAATGATATATCGTTCCTGCGTTTCCTTTTGCAACAGTGAATCCTCCTCGCCTGCCTCATCGCCCTCTTCTTCCTCTCCAGCTCTATGCTCACCCTGATTTTCTGCAGTGCGCACAGCCTCCTCTTGGGAGTCCTCGTAGCGCGCCGCGACTTTCTTCTCAATCACGAGCAACCGCAAGACAAAGTCGACAGCCAAGAACGCCGACGCAAGCATGAAAATCCCAGTATATCCCGTCTTTTCGTACAATACGCCACCGAGGACAGGTGCAGCCAGCTCGCCCACTGAAATGAAGGGAAAGATCGTCCCAACAGCTTTCCCCATGTTCGAAGGTCCCACCGTCTCCATCACCATCGCCAGCCCGACCGACCAAACCACCGCGCCACTCAAACCCTGCAGGACCCGTGCGAAGACGAGAACCGCCACCGAGCGCCCCACGGCCAACAGCACCGTCGCGCCCAACAGCGCCGCCAACCCCGCCAGATACGGGACCTGTCTCGCATTCATCCTGTCCGCGACCCATCCCGCCGGCACGGAGAAGATGAAGCTGCTGCCGGCAAAAGCGGCGAGCATGCCAGAGACATATGACTGGATGTATTCCGGGGGCACGCCGACGCGGTCTCGCAGGATAAAGGGCATGACGGGCACGATCAAGCCATAAAGGAAAAGATCTGTGAAAAGCCCGATGCTAATCGTCGCGAGGATGAAGATGGTGTTGGACCGCCATCGTAGCCCGATTGGGGGTTTGCTGTTGTCGACCATGTGCGGACGTCACTTGCGCGTGTCTGAGGCACGCCTTTGTTGAGATAGCACACTCGAGGTAAAGGAATATAGAGGGACAGTAGACTCCGTCACGTTACACCTGGAATCTATAACATTAGAAACCTGCAGTAGATTTTAAGAGGCGTGTGAGTCATTCGGGCCAACGAGGAGAAAGAGTTGCCAGAATGCAGATCGTGATTTGTCCTCAGTGATATCATACTGCAGTTTTCCTTGGCGTTTGAATACCCCTTTACGACGTCTAAGATGAGCAGTGAGAACAGTAGACAAGACTCCAACGTGGCTACGGATATGATTCATCATTCACTTCTGTCTGGAACGTCCGGAACCACACTCTTGCATCCGCTGACCCATGATTGAAGTGCTCCAATTCCTACCAACCTGTGCCTCCACCAAGTAGTACCTTTCCCACCCACAGCACGCCTCTTACAAGCAACCAGACCGCTCGCACGACGGTGAACACCCATCGCAATACCCTCACGCATAATACTGCAGCCGCCACCAAGATCATAGTATAAGCCACACTCCGCACACAATCCCAAGCAAAACCCCAGCCTTCCTTGCCCTTGTGGCCCTTCATCTTCGGGGCACGCCACTTACCCGTCTTGCTGTAAACATACACTACACGCCAGCAGCCCTCCCCAGTTCCCAAAACGACAAGAAGCATCTCCCCAACGCGTCCCAAAAGACTCCATCCGGATTTGCTGATGGTAGGGTGGGTTCGAAGCCACATACGCGAAACGTCGAATGGAACGAGCACCATCTCTGCCAAGGCAGCTACAGCGCTACCGGGAAGTTGAGGATCAAGTGTCATTGTGCTGCTTGCAACGCTAGGAGTCCGGCGCAGGGACTGCGGGCTCGTGCCAGCCTCGAGATATGACTGCTTGATGGACGTTGGTGGACTCACAACGCGACGACCTTCATTGGGTGTGACTTTGCGCATGGTTGCGTCCGCAGCTGCCGTCGACGACACCGTCTTGATACTGTTACTGCTTTTGCTCCTGGTCTTTTTGACCAAGACTGCTGGCTTCTTCGGCTCAGTTGGCGGAGTCAACCCTATTGCGCTTTTCGCTGCCATAGCCGCCATTGACGCAGAATCATCCTGGATTTTCCGCTCTCCTATAGCACTCTTTGCAGCGGCCGCAGCAGCGATGGAGCCAGACACTGGGCCTTGTTCGCCCCAGAACTTGCCAGGACTGACCCGACCACCACAGAGCTCACTCGGCATCATGTCGATATCAGCCGCTCGAGTGATTCTGGCGCTCGCAATGGGTGATTGCGCATCTTTGCTGGTGATGTTACTTTTCTGGAACCCTTTCTTGAATGCTGATTTGACAAATCCGAGCCTTTTGGTGCGTTCCGAGAGGGGAGTAAGCGGTTGTCCTTCCAGTGAAGTAATGCTACCAGATCTGCTGCTAATATAGCCCTCGGAAGACCACGTATCTGTCAATGGTGTGGCAGACGGGCTTGGATGACCTACGCAGCCGCCGTGACAGTCTTGCTCCCTGCAGCATTGCGGGCAACAGTTCGAATGATCTCTATCATTCCTCTCGACAACGACCAAGGGATTTTGAGAGCCTCTCCTAGGAACAGCCTCTTGTTTGAGAGCCGTGAGTCTTTGCAATTGAGGTGCATTGCCGGAATCTGATGTTTCACCGGCGCTTGTGCTTGAGACATTTGAAACTCTTCGCTTGGTCATTTCTTTCGAGGTGCTGACGTGCTTGTCTACAGAATAGTTGTGATCGATGTCATGGTTAGGGTGCTCTGACGGCGCATCGGCCTTCTTCTTGTCGAAGCATAGAGCCTGAGACCCAGGGTTCCCGTGTTGATGCTCGTCCAGAGAGTGCAGCTGGTTAACATGTGCCTCTTGAGCCGTGCCTGTTGACGAAACACCCCCATCTACTCGGCGTTGTCGGTCTGGCACGAACCCGCTGGTGCATCGGCTGCACTTCCGGAATAGTCCATGCTCCAGCGGAGCCATATGGCAAGTAGTGTCGGTCTTTGTGGCGGCGAGCGTGATGGTTTCTGGGCTGTGAGGAGGGACCTGTGGTGGCTTCGAAACGTGCTCCGCTGGCGGTGGCGGCAGCTCCTGTCCCTCTTTGTCTTGGAGCACGGTCGGTCCGGGACCGTCCGTGTTGCCGGCTGTCTGCGGTCGCAAAGTTATGGGCGTACCAATCGAACTCCATTGGTGGGATGGGGCCGGGTTCATGCTCCTCTCCCTGTTCCTGATTTGGGCGGGAGCTATTCTCGGCACGCTGGGCATTGCTTCCGCTCGCTCTGGCATCTGTGGTCTGCACATGGCTCTGGGCCGCGGGCGAGTCATAGGCATGCGCATTTCCAACAGCTCGTCGGACCAAACCGTCGTGGCCATTCCCATGTTGCCTCGATTGAATAGACTTGGATCTCTGTAGCTCATAGGTATCTTGTGCTCGGGTCGTCTCGGATTCTGGGGGATGGGCGCCGCATTGTACATATTCCTTTCGCGCGACCGGTCTCCTGGTGAAGTGTCGGTGGACATGGCGGTGCTCGTGGTAGTGCTCGTGGAGATGCCGATGGGAGCAAAGAGAATGTCGTCGAAGCTGATTGGAGCCGGCGGCTGGACAGATCTGGGAATTCTCTGGCGGTCTAGGCTGTTGGGCGTTCTACGCTCGATTGGCTTCATGCCTGGAGGCGGAGGGTTGTCGTAACTCGGAACGTCCATGATTCGGCTGCCGTTGGGACGGTTCATGGGTCGTTTGAGTTCCGGAAGATCTGACGGTCTCCAAGTTCGGAGGTACGGATAGTCTGGGTTCATTGCCCTTGGACCATGCAACTCGTGACCCCTGTTCATGTGTGGGCTGGACTGTGGTTGCTCCGGTCTGGAGGGCACCCTTGCTTCCTGACGCGTATCCCCGTTGAGGGGAGTACGGCCTCTGGTCGCTGCTTTGCAATTGATCACGGTTTCCAGTGGCCGACGTGACGGGGATTGGCCACTGTTCGTCGGCAGACATGGGAGCTCTTTGTCTCGGTTTTGGGTGGACTTGTTCATCGGGCTGCTTGCCTTTGCGGAGACGCTCCGCAGCTGCTGGCCTAAAAAATGGCTCGGTTCTGCATGAAGCACTGCTGTTAAACCGGAAGCTGATTGCTCGAAGGCGGGAGAAGGCGTGCCCTTGCCAACATCATTAGGAGAGAATGGATAAGGTTTCCAGGGCGAAGGTGCCGAGGAGGATCTCATGCCTTGAGTGTAGCCATCATTCATCAAGGGGGGTACAGGTAAGCCAGCGTCCCCCTTCTCATCTGTAGTGGGTTCCTTCAGAGGGCTCCCAACAGGCTTTCGCGGTATCTCCCGGATATTGCTAGTTGATGCAATGCTTCTGACATTGTTCGCTGGTGGCGTTACAGGATAGGAGCCTGGGACCTCCCTCGGTGTCGGCGCTTCCTTTGGTCTCGCCTGCTTAAGGTGGTGCGGCACAATCTTAAGTGGACGGGGAACCGGATCAACGCGGTTATATCTGCTCGCAGCAAGCCTGGGTGGTGTTCGCAGACTAGGATCTGGATGGCCTGCTTCCGAGGCGGGAGTAGGTAAAGGCGTAGGTTGGCCAAATTCAAGACTGATCCACTGATCTCCGCGCTGCCGCCATTTTGCTGGTGGCACTAGGCCTCTTGTTTTGAGCTCTGCAGTTTCGTCGAAGCTGCTGCTAGCACTGTGCACGCCCGGCGTGACAATTCCGGTTCGTGGATTGGCTCCTCTGGCGAGTAGGTAGTCATCACGCGAGACGTTCTTGATCATGCTGCGACGTCGGACCAGGCCAGTCCTCTTGTCCACAAGTTCGTAATACTCGGTCTCCGTCTGTCGACGACGATCGTCAATCGCTGTTCGCTTGTCGGTTGACGTTGGTGGTGTAGGCTGGGGGTGGCCTACGCAGATGGTTGTACGCCTAGTCGAGGGGGTGTTGATGTTATCTGCGAGGCCCTCAGCTGTCTCTAACCCCTAATCTTCAGACATGTTTTTCCCTTTGTGAACAATGGTCGTCCGGAGGCTTGTGTCTGAGGTGGTTCTCTGCTTGCGAAGCGGCTGATTCGTTTCTGAATGAACGTGATCTAGCGAGTAGATCTCTCCGGCGCCGCTGTCTCGACGATGACCAGGCACAATGGATGAGCTATGATTCAAGTTGGGCGTCCCTGGACGGACCTTATTCGAGACGACGTTGGGGTAAACTAGGATAAAATTGGTATGAATGTCCAGGCTCCAGGAAGCCGATGTTGCCTGGTTCGCTCTGCGAGTGAGGGGCACAGACAAACGCTTATGGTTAGAGAATGCCATTGTGGTAAGGTATGGTTGCTATGGAATGCAAGTGAGGAATGAGGGACGGGTAGATCTGTGCACGAGTGGGATGAGTGGAGATGTACTTCACTGTCACTTTCGGGAAGGCACATTGGCTGGAGTCGATGCACTTCTGATCTGCGGATCTGGGTATCATTGTGCTCTCTCTATTCCTAGACGCTAGAATCGGCCGCTCTCACGTCGACCGCCGCTTGATTGAAGATGAGTCATACGTTGCTGGGCTAAATAAGAGTTCAAGCCACCAGGAGGCACGCTCATTCGTTTGCCAGGACTGGCAATGCGCTTCTCGGGGCTCAGACTGCTCCGTCCACCTTGGGCAACGGGAGTGAAATTCGTGGAGGCACTCTTCTTCAACGGCGAGGCGGCATGAGAGTATACGCCCAGACTTCCCCCATCACCACCCTGAGATGCCGGTCTGAAATTTGGTTGGCGAACAGCCGTGAGAGGCTTGCCGGGGCTTGTGGCACGGTTCTGAGCTGGCGTAACAAACTCAGAGGTATGCGTCCGCTGCTTGACTTCATCGGCGCTCGTGCCTTGTAGTTCTGGATGTGAGATGTAATTTGGATTAGGACTGATTTTGAAGCCCCGGTTGATGTTGACCATTGGTGTGTAGGTTTGGACGACATTGTATCGCGCATCTCGAGTATCAGAAGACCTCGCTTGCTCATGAAACTGGATCCCAACATCGCGATACAGTGGTTGTGTTCGTGGTCGGACGTACTTGGTGTCGTACTCATGGAGGACCTCTTTCGAGATGAACGCCGAATCTTTCGCTTGCTGGGAGAAGAATGTCTGAAGAACGGATAGTTGTAAGGAAAGAAGTACAGCCAAAGCCACCGCCGTGAAGACTTTGAGGCTCGGTCTGGGTTCCGTGGCCAGTGTCGGGAGGAACAGCCAATATACGAAGACATGGCCGGGACTGAAGTAGCAGAATAGGCGCAGGCAGATGGGAAGCGGATCCCAAACAGCGATTTCCCAGACATCTTTCTTAGCATCTGGGTGCGCTCGTGCTCGTGCGGTCTCCGTTCCAAGGATGTTGGCCATGAATCTGAGAGGCGATGAAGCGACCGGCGAAGATTCGGAATCGAGTCGCACTCTTCGGGCTGAGGGAGTATTGGGGACATTGTCGATATCGTTCTCGAACAGACGGTAGGTCTTTCTGCGCCAAAACGTGTACGCAGCATTGACCACGGAAATGAGTGTCAAACAGTGTACAATGAAAGTGGCCTGTTGTAGCGTCAGCACAAGTATACTGAGGATGATTCACATCCTTACCAGCCATGATCGCCAGCCAAAACTATTTCCGTCGCCAAACACATCGTCGTAGCTGCTGGAGCGCACTGAGGTGTTTGCTCTTGCAATAAGAAGGATCAGATTGAAAGTGAAGCCGACTGGTATCGCCCACTCCTTCTCAAGCTGATCATAGCCACGAGATTCAATCTCTTCCGACAGCCACAGTAAGAAATCGTAGGGGTTGAGGTAGGCCGCAATGCGATCGGTCAGCGGTTGACGCCTCACGAACTTGGGCATTTTGTCGGGCTTATGATTAAGTAACTATGAGGAGGATCATGTTAGGTAGCCGCCACTATTCGCGTCAAGGGTATGTGGCGGGTAAATTCTGTGAACATGTATTGAAGCGGAGGGTGAGAAGTGGTGTCAGTGTAAACAATGAAGTCACCGGGGCTGTATGGCAGCTTCCAGTCGCAGCCAAGCCGCAGCTTAATCGTATTGCCATCACTTCATGTCACTGCACTACACTATCAACCAGTGTTCTCTATATCTCATGGCGTTTATTCGGTAGCACCGAACCTCGAGTACCTGTAGTTGAACACATTTCGTTTCTGCAGTCATGGCGGCACCGCCTTCAGCCTACAAGGTGCGCTCCCCACCTCTAATGGCAAGCAAGCTCTAACTACTTCTTCATAGGACCGCCAATTCGTTGCGGTGATCGGAGACGAAGAGTACGTACAACATTTCCACTTTGCGAAGCACATTGTCTGACGGCCCTGCAGCTCTGTAACCGGTTTGCTACTGGCTGGCGTGGGGCATGTGACTGACCCTCCGGATTCGAGACGCAACTTCCTGGTGGTGGACCAGAAGACGGAAAAGACAACTATTGAGGAGGCCTTCAACAGTTTTACAAAGGAGCGGAAGGACATCGGCATCATCTTGATCAATCAACACGTACTACACTACCCTTGGCAAACCTCTGCAACAGAACTGACCTGTACTCCAGATTGCAGAACAGATCCGAGAGTCGGTCGACAAATTTCAGGAAGCTTTCCCAGCCGTGCTCGAAATTCCCAGCAAAGACCACCCCTACGATCCCGAGAAAGACAGCGTGTTGCGCAGGGTGAGAAAGTTGTTCGGCGAGTGAGCATCTTTTGGTCAATTTGCTGGGCGCGCGTTAGCCGGTCAACGGCAGTGCACTTCTTTATGGATCAGAGCCGCATTTGAGAAGCATTCAACGCATATTGGTGCGTACATGAGCATGCCCGCTGACCGAGCATGGCGAACCTGACGGCCTCAGGTTCATTTTGCGATAGGTTTCGTACGCCCTGGCATCGATAGACAGTGGTTGCGAAGCCAATGCAGAAGATCAACGAGCATCACTGAGCACGGACGCCGCAGATGTGCTTCTCGTCACTATTCTGTACAGAGTCGCCAGCAAAGTTAATAGAAGACATCAAATGACAGGCAGCGTTGCCAAAACGACTATAGACTCGTTCAGATAGTCACACTGTGGTCTAGAACGAGCGCATTACATTGACATGACAAGTCAAGTTGCTTTAAACGTGCATTTAATGGCACTCGCTAAGTTGGGATACAGTTGCTCCTAGTCGAGACCAAGGATCTGTTATGCGTAGTTAAGCCTATAGTTACAACAAATGAGTTCTGTTTAAGTGGGCTGGTAAGCAAAAGAATCAGAGCTGCACAACATTCAGGCGCGGGAAGGGCCGCCTGGGGCGCAGCACCGATAGGCGCCACAGTTCCAGGCGGCGATAACGTCAACGGCGCATCGTCACCTGCAACTCTGAAGTCCACCTGAGCCAACCTCCACCATTATTGCTGCAAGGCGACCTCTGTGACCTTCTCAACCATATTCCGTACGAGCAATTCTTCCGCAGCCGTATTTCTCACCTCGACATTGTCGCATTCCCATTCAGCGCCCGGATCTCTGCACCGTCGTCTCCCCAGTGCCACCATGAAGCTTACGACTGCCCTCACTACGCTTGCTGCCGCCACTCTGGTGAGCTCCACGTCTCTATTCGGCGAGTCACAGAACGTTATCGCGACCGACGACGACAAGCTCTCAGTGCCCGGAAAGAATCCTCTGAACGTAAGAGCTAAGCGTACACATCTCCTTGAGCCAGGCACTGACCAGGCCATAGTACTGTGCCGACCCAAAAGACTACATCCTCACCATTGATCATGTCGATCTAGATCCCAATCCCCCGAAGCCGTGAGTATTGCTAGCGCGTTCAATACATGCAGAAGCTCATACCTTTGTAGCGGCGAGAAGCTTACCATCTCCGCCAATGGTACCCTCTCCGAGCAGATTGAGCCAGGCGCCACCGTCTTCCTACAGGTTAAGTACGGCCTGATCACTTTGATCAAGCAGGAGGCGGATCTCTGCGACAACCTCCCCAAGGTGTGTTTGCTCGAGCTTGCTCAGGACTTGCGACCATTGACTCTTTTCAGATCGATATAGAATGTCCTCTTAAGAAGGGACCTATGACAATCCTCAAGGAAGTCGATATTCCCAAGCAAGTGGTGAGTTTCTTGGAGCCTTTTGTACTCTCATATCTGACTGGAGTAGCCTCCTGGGAAGTACAGCGTACTTGCCGATGTCAACACGGTCGACAAGGAGAAGATTACATGTCTGGAGAGCACTGTCTTCTTCTCAAAGAGCTGACTATCTTATGCCAAAGAGCTTTGAGTGAGACTCGCGACACCCAGGAACGTGTCTGCAAATGCACATGGCGATCATCTGGTCAAGACCTGACATCCTTTCATAGTTGTGGCGCTGGCGGTGCATATCTGAAGGACTGGAAACGACTCTACTGCTGTTCGGTGGCATTGTTTGCACAAAATGACATCGATTTGGACCCTGACTTGAAATGTGGCAAGTCTCAACTGACCCATCCCGTTTCTGCACGATTCTCACCCGTGTTCGAGTAGTTTGGTGCCGTGGAAGAATGGACCCTGGCCAGTTTCTGTTCATCGTATCCGTTCACACGTCCACAACAGTGATGGTGACGCCTTGCCCAGTTCCAAGACACTTATGCTCAGGTATTCCCCCACAAAGACGCTACCATGAAGCTCTTGGTGCGAGCAGACAAATGATCTGCAGGAAACATAGCGGAGATTGACCGAGACATGTTGCGGCCATTCCCGTATAACTCCAAGCTGCACCTCGAGTCGATGTCCGGATATTCCACCGCTCTCGCTCTGGGTCTACATATATGAAATGTCACATTAAGCCACAGGTAGCGCTAGGCAATATCGGTAGGCATATCTCGCTATAGAAGATACAGAACCCTGCATCGTGCAAAGTACGACTGAAAACTTTCCGCTGAACGGCACGATATGACCCCAATTCGGACACTTTCCGAGGACTCCCTCCCCCATACCCCATATACTTCACCCACTCACCCCCAAGCTCTACCATTCCCCGGAAACAGTACACAAACACATACGAATGGCAACTTCAAAGGCTCTGGCCTCTCACCTCCTTACCGCGCCCATACGATTAGCACTACAGCCCTACCGCTCTAGTCTTGTACCCCGTCCACCATCAATACCGAGACCAGGACGCATCATGAGCAAATCGGCGCCTCACCGTTACCATAGCACCACGACGCCACCGAAACGGGCACTACCACCAGGAACATGGGACTCTCATATGCACATTGTCTCCCCGGACACGGTGAAGTATCCGCTCACCAGCTCCGCAAACTACAAGCCCACTCCGCATACGCTGGAGGATATGCAGGAATTCGTAAGTCATCCACCCTGTACCCGACCAACAAACTTGGCCATAAGGACGACAGCAAGCAACGCTGAATCACTTCGTCCGTCGCTGGAGGACAGCCACGCCAGTTCCATCTCCTCGTCCGCAACAACACCCATTCCCCCACTCGACTCCCTCCAACCTTCCCCTAACAAATCTCACAGTACAAACCCCTCCAGCTCACGCGCATGATCTTCGTCCAACCCTCCCCCTACGGCACAGACAACTCTCTGGTCCTCTCCGCCCTCTCCGCCGTCGGCCCCACACACTCCCGCGGCGTGGCCGTCATCGACCCCCACGACCCCAAATGGCCTACCCCCCAAGGCCAAGCCGAGCTGCAGCGCTGGCACGACGCCGGCGTGCGCGCCGTGCGCGTCAACCTCGTCTCCGTGGGGCGCGACATCGCCTCCGCGGACGAGCTGTCCGCCGAGCTGCAGGCCTACGCCGAGCTGCTGAGGCCCCTGGGTTGGGCGCTGCAACTGTACGCGCCGCTGCGGCTGTGCGAGGCGCTGGAGCGGGTGGCGCCGACGCTGGGCGGCGTGAGGCTCGTTATCGATCATATGGGCAGTCCGTCGTTGCCCGCCTTCCCCGGGGCCGACATCGACGCCGACGCCGACGCCGACGCCGACGCCGACGCCGACACGAGCCCCATCGCTGGCGGGGAAGTCGACCCGGCCTGCCTCCCGGGCTTCGCCAGCCTGCTGCGCCTGCTGGAGGCGGGCGACACCTGGGTCAAGATCTCCGGCTGGTACCGCCTCAGCCGGGATCCGAAGCCCGAGCGGATGCGCGACTTGGGCGGGCTGGCGCGCGCGTTGTTGGCGGCGCGGGGCGGCACGCGCTGTGTCTGGGCCAGCGACTGGCCGCACACGCGCTTCGAGGGGATTGATGTTGGGCCTTTTGTGGATCAGTGCTGGAGGTGGTGCGATGAATTGGGTGACGGGTATGCGCAGAGGCTGTTTGTGGAGAATGCGGATGAGTTGTGGGCGGGCCGGAAGGGGGCGAGGTCGTGAAGAAGAGGGGGGGAGGGGGAGACGTTATCATATATACATAGAAATGTAACATCGTGGGCCGACGTTAGAAAACTTGAAGTAAAGAGGTCGGCGTAAGAATACATTCACACCTCTCTAGACTTTTCACCACGCCTCCCGCGGGGGTCACCGACTCGAGGCTGTTCTCTTCTCCTTCTCCGCCTTGGGCGTCAACGCCAGACTCGCCTTCCTGAGCCACGACGACACGCTGCTCTGGCGCTCCCGATCCATCTCCACGCTGGGCCTGCGACTGCTGCTCCGACTGCTCCTGCCACTCTTATCGGCACCGGCCAGGTTCGCCATAACCCACTCCACCTCCTCCGCGACACGCTCTGGCTTGTCTCGCACCACATGATGGCCTACGTCGAGGAGGTTGACGAAGCGGTGCCTCTTTGACAGCCGCAGCTGCCGCTTCTTCAGCTTTGTGTCTTCCTTCTCCCACTTTCCCATCTCGTTGCGTGTGATCATCAAGCTGGCCTTCTCGCCCTCGCTGGCCACCTCGCCATGTGTGGCCTTGTCCTTGAGCCGTTTCTCCCGGTCGTCGAGTTGGCGCCATTTGTGCAGCAGGCTGTTGCCTTTGACGACAACAAGAGGCCGGTTGCCGAGGATGTGGTCGTCTTCCTGCTCGTCCTGGATCTTCTCATCCCAGGTCGCCTCCTGGCCCGTCTCAACGAGAACCATGCCGGCGACGTCTTTGGGGCGCTCATGTAGGAAGCACCGAGCATATGCTCCACCGTGGGAGTGGGCTACTAGGACATACGGACCGTGCAGGCCCTCTTTGTCGAGGTACGTTATAAGCTCGGCTGTGGACTCCGCAGGAGTGATTTTGGACGGTCGCTCGTACAGAAGAACTCGGTAGTTCTCAGACAAGGCCTGTGCAAGCGGCAGCCATGAGCGACGACATGAATCGCCAGAGCCACGAAAGCAGATGACTAGAGGTAGTTCCTCAGATTGGATTTTGAGACCAAGTATTTGATGTCGAGGAGGTGCCTCGTGACTAGGTGACTGGATCCGGAGTGTTGATATTGAGGCGTCGGTAGTAGGGGTTGCTATTTCCGAGCGCGGTGATGCTGGACGCGAGCTTCGAGGTGAACTTAGCGCAGATCGAGAGCCTCGTCTTGAGGATACTGGCGAGTCGAATTCGAAGGTTGCTAGCGCTCTACCAATATTGTGGTTGGGCTGGAGTAACTTGGGGAGTTCTTCGGAGGTCATGATCCTGACTTGAGGTAGTCTGCAACGAGTCGACCCCGATCTAGTTTAAGTATGCTCTAAAACTCGTGTCTGTTACCACGAAGGGATGCAAGGCAACCTAAAAGCCTTAGGGTGGTCCGGGATAATGGTCAGTTCGTGTCGCGAGACCAAGAGGAATAACGGCGGTCTGCTACGACGTAATCACGCTGTGCTGTTTCGAACCGTTGCTCGTCACCCTAGCCTCTTCTGCAATACATGAAGCGATGTCCGTTTCGACCGCTGGATCTGCCCCACGTGTGACGGCGCACGCAGTCGAATGAACCAATCTTTCGATTGGCGGAGCGTGTCTCACTACGACAGGCGGCTCGGCGGCGTGGCGGAGCAAGATGAGTTGGCGATAGGCGCGCCAAGCGTCCCGCTGCTGTGGACCTGGCGGTGATTGCAGGGGCTGAGCAGCGCTGCAGGAAGGGCTGTGTCTATCGAAAAGTTCCTGACAGCTTATGTCGGTGACGGATCACGGTCCAAGGCCCAGCGCTGATGGGCAGCCTGCTGATGATGCGTGCCGAGGCGAAGCGTGGGTCCAAAGATGAGTGTTTGCAGCGACCAAGGATGCTGTATGCTTCGGACGCGGTATGTGTAGGTCGTGAGAGCAAATCACAGGTACTCAGAGGTGCTCGGTGATGGAACGTGGTACGATACTGTCCGGAGCGGGATGGTCGATGCCTTGGCCAAGCAGCACAGGACAGGTGTAACAAAACTTCTTGCGACGCGGAGGACATGATTGACTTTCCCCGCGAAGAGCAGCGAAGCGACTATTTAGGAAGCAGCTTCCTGGATCATCGCTGCCGGTCGAGGTCTGGAAGAACCAATTTTGCACCCGCGAGAATGTGAGAAAAGGGTGAAAATTTTGCGGCATTTACATCAACTTCCTGGCATCGCTGCCGCTGCCCTGTGCATAGCAACCGTCTAACGAAGTCTCTACGTCAGAAAGATGAGCTCTTCTAGACAAATATTACATGTGCTCAATATAGCGGAGAGACTAGTTCTCGGGCATACCGAAGGCGATATGTCCCTGCCCCAGAATTCAAGGCTGGAAGGCGAGAGCATAAGTGCCGTCCGCTCTCAAGCGCCAGCCCAGATGCACCCGCACCGCGTCATCCGTAGAGACACAATCCAACAGCGCCCTCGTTGCATCCGACAGATGGACCTGCGGACTGGAGGGGGTAGAAGGAAACTGCGGCTGTATCATGCCTATGCCGCTCAGTGCTGCAAAGAGCGCCATCGCAGACCGCATCAATGTCGTCAGGGCTGGCACCCGTACATGCATCCACTCCAGTCCTGTGCCGAAGGTGAGGGATGTGCCACCGGGTACGGGCGAGACGACGGCGACTTCGTCTGAGTCTGGCACAACGGCAGGCTGCGCTGCAGACTCTTGGGGCGCTTCCCCTGATATTGGAACTACCACATTGTGCAGCCCATCCGTACTTGGGCGAGCCCACGACACAGAGAATCCCGTTCCTAAGACCCCTCCACTGAAGTGGCATGCGACGATCATATGCTGCGCACTTTCCTCGCCCCATGTCAGCTTCGTTTCGTTCACTATTTGTTGCAGGCAAGCACTCGACGCTTCGGTTCTGCACTCATTTTCCCCCTCCATGAGAATTGAGGTCGAACCTTGACAGTTGTTGATCAGCGAGTCACAAACAACAGTGATGGGATGCTGTTTGCCTAAAATAACGCGCGCCGTGAGTGTCAGCTGCCGCCTCAGTGCATCCTTGAGCTGGATGTGTTGCCATGGTGGGCGGCCCGTTGGTGAACTAGGTCCGAGCAGTGTTGTTAGTAAGTCCATATAGGCGAACAGGCAGGTAGGGTTCTGTACGCGCAGGAGGTTCGGGGCATAAGACAGAAGCGCGTCGAAGATCTGAAAGGCGATCGACATGCTCTGAGAACCGCTTTCGAGTATGTCGAAAGCCATTTTGAAGAGCACTAAATACGTTGTTGGGAGAGGTGACCAGGCCGTACGGACAATATCAGAAGGTGGAACTGGTAGCCCACGACCTTGATTTGTCGTCGACAAGAACGTGGAGGAGATAAAGTCAGAGGAGGACCTGAAGATGAGCTCGGCCATAAGAAGTGACTCTGGAGGGCTCAGCTGAATGGGCACTTTCAAAATGCTCTTGTCGGCTCGATGGGGTATTTTCACAGAAGTTTTCGGGGGCCTAGGCAAGATCCTTCGGGAGTTCGTTGTCATGAGAGTTGGGTCTTGCTGGCTTTGCTGGCTTCTACTTCGCTGCGCGTCGTCATCATCGGCTGAGGATCGACCCGAACCCTTTCTGAAGTTCAATGTCATGAGACGACTCTCGAATGGTTCGACACGCCCATGCTTGGGAGGCCCTTCTCCAAGGCGTCGCCGTTGACTGGCAGCGGAGGCGGTGTGGCGCCTGATGAGCAATAGATTGTCATCTTCGCTGGGTCCTCCGTGTATGAAGGTGTACCTCGCCATGGCTTGGTCAACGAGCTTCGATTCGAGAGCAGGATTAGACCCCTCTAAATTATATTCACTCGCACGTACTCAACGCGATCGAAGGCGCACCTACCGGACCGAAACGCCTGTTGCCGGTCTCACCAGCTGCTGTGACTTCACAAACGGCCAGATCTGCTTCTCGCAGCCTGGACAGATACGGGAGGTACCCAGCTTGGTCGGGAATATGCCTGGCCGGTGCTAAGACACGCAACTCAGGCCATAATGTACCTGTCAATGGCTCCGGCTTCCTGAGCGTGTGTTCACGTGGTCGGCGAACCGTATATTGTCGGGGGTTCACGGGGAAAGGTTGGAGAAGACGAGGATTTGTGAGATTTAGGCGAATATATTTGCCTCGTCCTTGGCGCCGCAGAGAGGTGGCGGGATGTGGTCTGCGTGTTTTGACAATATGTATATCGGAAGTTTCTCTCTATTCTGATTTATCTGGGATCTTCAGGGAGCAAGTGTTGTTAAGTAGACGATCGAATTCTGGACCCACTCAGCCATTGACTCGGACGAATTGTTTGTTCGGTTGTATATTACATGCTACGAGTGAGTCCACTCCGGCTTCTTTTTCTCTGCAAAGGCCTTCATGCCAATGGTCTGGTCATTGCTGCCGAAGAGAGCATGGAAAATTCTCCGCTCGTACTCAACGCCCTCTCTTACGCCTAGATCTTGGCTCTTGTTGACCACCTCCTTAGCCGCAATGACAGCGACGCGAGAATAGCTGGCGATCTTGGCAGCGGTGTCTAGGGCGCCATCCAGTACCTCCTTGTTGCCGCCCTCGAAGGCTCTTGCGACTAAGCCGTGCTTCTCAGCCTCCTCGCCGCTGAAGTTGCTACCGGTCAAGATCAGCTCCATGGCCTTGCTCTTTCCAATGGCGGCTGTCAACCGCTGCGAGCCACCGGCGCCAGGAATTGTTCCAAGTTTGATCTCTGGTTGGCCAAAGTTGGCAGTCTTGGTGCTGTAGACAATATCGCACATCATTGCGAGCTCGCAGCCACCGCCCAATGCGTGTCCTGACACAGCAGCGATGACGGGTGTTCGCAAGGTTGTGAGGTAAGACCATGGTGCAATGAAGTTGTTGGCATAAGCCTCGGCGAAGGTGAGACTAGCCATCTCCTTGATGTCTGCGCCAGCCGCAAATGCCTTGTCACTGCCGGTGAGGACGATCGCACCAATATCCTTGTCCTCCTCATACTCTCTCAGCGCAGCATTTAATTCCTTGAACAATGAGCTGGACAAGGCGTTGAGTGCCTTGGGCCGATTCAGTGTGATCAGACCAACACCTGGCCGGGGCGAGGAAACGAGGATGTTCTCATAGCTGCTTGTTGACTGGGCTCGGACGAAGCGGGGCAGGGTCGTCGGAGCGAATTTCTGACCCAACGAGACTGTTGGCCTCACCAGCCTTTGTAGCACCATGTTGTGATTGAAGTGATACCGAGCAAAGACCAGCTTTACTACCACGAAACACCGAAGATGTCAAGCCCGAGTTCGAGACAGTGGTCCGCGACTTTGCAGCTCCCGCATATCCTCGGCTCGGATAGCAGTCACGTGTTTCTGGGATCGGAACAAAGTTGCGCCTGGCCCCGAAAGTCAGGGTTCCCCTTTGCATCAATCAGCGGCGATCTGTTGGCCTATTCGGCCCTGTTGGCTTTGCTCGACTTTCTGCAGGCGACATTTTTCCTTGGAGACGTGTTCTGAACCCAACGGCTGCGCCTCGTCCTCTCCCTCATCCGTCTTCACACCCGACAACTGCTTTCCCTCTCTGCAACAGTTCGATACGACCTCTCTGCACTTTCAGTCAACTCTCATTTGTGGAGGTGACCCAATCTTGTGCGCGCAAGCCTTACGAGCGCTTCCCACCACTCCTCGCCTGCCCATCATCAAGCCGCCAACATGGACGGTCCCGAGCCAGAAACCACACCCTTCGACGCCATCTCACAACAATCGAACAGAGCATTAAGAGTACGCTGTCTTTACGCGATCGCGTCAACAAGGCTCAACAGACTGCTAACATTTCCGCGCGCAGATCTACCAAAAGTACCTCGATGCCTGCACACCCTACGTTCCCCACCGTTGGGGCGCCACCATCCTGCTCTTCACAGCCTTCTTTGTGCGCATCCTCGTTGTGCAAGGCTGGTATATTGTCGCTTACTGCCTCGGCATCTACATCCTGAACCTGTTTCTGGCCTTCCTGCAGCCCAAGTTCGACCCCTCGCTCGACTCGACCGAAGACGAGGGCCTCGAGGGCGGGCAGTCGAGCCTGCCCACAAAAGCGGACGAGGAGTTCCGCCCCTTCATCAGAAGGCTGCCGGAGTTCAAGTTCTGGCACAGCGCCACAAGGGCTGTCATCATTAGCTTGTTCTGCACCTTCTTTGAGATCTTCAACCTGCCCGTCTTCTGGCCTGTTTTGGTCATGTACTGGTTGATACTATTCTCATTGACGAGTGAGTGCCTCTTGGAGGAAACACGTCGAGGAAGAATACCTATGCTGACTCAATATCTTAGTGCGCCGCCAAATTCAGCACATGATCAAATACCGCTACGTGCCCTTCTCCTTTGGCAAAGCGAAGTACGGCGCAAAGTAGATAATTTCAAGAGTGTGAATTGAGGTACCAATTAATGTGGATGATTGATTTGGATGAGCTTTCTCTGATGGTCTGCGATGGGTCCGATGCCACCAGAGCGGTACCCTCGAACAGGACATCGAGCGTCATGCCTTTTACTCTTCCAGCATGTGTGACAATAGACTTGCGCCCACCTCATGGCGAGCGATCAAAAATTACGAAAACAGCATGAACTTTATTCGTGATTTCCATTCTCCCTTTGTTCTACAAATTTGGCGCCCCAGATCCATCGTGCAGGAGGAGGCTGACTCAGCCCCCCATCTCCTCATCGTCGTCTTCTTCCTCATCTTCCTCTCCCTCCTTGACTTCGACCTCGAATTCCAAACTCTGGTCCACCCCCATGTAGCTGTCACACATGACGAGCAACTGTAGCTCCTTCTTGCCCGCCACCTCTGGCACGAACTCCAACTTGGCCTTCAGCTCTTTGACGCCGACCGTGACACGCTTCACGGCCAGCAGGCTCTTGGTCTTCTCCTCCGCCACCACGAGCCACCAGTTCTCCTGCTTCTTCGCCGGGTAGAAGGGCGCGTGCACCGTGGTGTCGATCTCCTCTGGGCCTTGATCTTCCTCGTCCTCGTCCTCGTCATCCGCATCCCTCTTGATCGTCACGTTCACGACCGCGGGTTCTCCCGCCGCGATCTCCTCCGGATCCACCACCTCAAACTCGACCTCCAAGTTCGGGTACTTTTGGTTCGTAAACGCCGCCGCCTCGACGAGCTCGCGGTTCCCGAGCCCCATCTCCCCCAGCGCCGCCACCAGTGTCTTGTACTCCTGGTTCTCCGAGGGGTCCATCGCCGTCATGAACTCCTCGACGTCCCTGACCTGGAAGTCCTTGGCCAGACGTTCCGCCACCTCCTTGGTGAAGTGCGGCAGCTGCATGAGCGGAGAGTCGCGGTCCCACATGGCCTGCACCACCATCTGCGACAGCTCCATCGCGTGCGTCGCATTGAGATGTCCCTCGGAGCTCAGCACGTCGACACAGGCGCTCAGCAGCGGCAGCACCCGTCCTACCACGGTCTCTAGGTCTTTGGCTAGGTCGATCGGCAGGCTCAGTCGCCCAAAGTGCGCCTGTAGTAGCACAAAGGCCTTGAAGTGGGGACTATCAAACGCCGGCTCCGCCATCTTGACTGGGCAACGGTCGTAGATGCGCCGCAGCAGATGCGTCTCGTGCCGCCGAAGCTGGACGCCCTCAAACTCGGTTGCAGAAGTCACGATTTCCAGGAGCCCCTTCAGCTTGGTGCGCTGTGTGAGCGAAAGGAGGAACGTCTGCATCGTGACGAAGCTGATGTTGTAGTACGCTGCGATCATGGCTGGGTTGAGTGGCGCTACCGAGTCGTCGGCGTCATCAAGTTCGATGATCTTCGCATCGGAGAGGTCTTTGAGTGTTGTTTCGACGAGCTCGGAAAGGAACGCAGAGAGACCTTCGTGACTCGGATCGTGTAGGCCGTAGAACGAGGGGTTGGCTAGCAGGCGGCGGTAGAAGTATGTGTACGTGCTCCAGTCCAGGGCTTCCTGTGTTGACGCGATGGTCTTTGTGGAAATTTCCGTAACAAAGGCGTCGTGCAGGTAGAGCTGCAAGTGGGATTCGATGGGGAGCGCTTCATTGAGGAACTTGCGGTAGTAGTCGCGTCGGACCTGAGGAACCATCAGGACACCCTTGCCCAGACGGTCTTCTAGCGGACGAGAGGAGCGCCCAAACATCTGCAGGATCTCGGAGATCTGGTAGTCGATATAGCGATGTTCGCGGCCCTGGAAGTATTGCGTGCCCATGATGATGACGAGGTGAGCGGTCAGCGGGAGTTCCCAACATACGTCGCGTGATGCCAGAAGGACTTGGATGGCGCCGAGCTTGTATAGGTGAGATACGATCTTCTTGTCACTAATGGACAACGCTTCGTGGTAGTAGCCGATGCCGTGGGTTAGAGATTCGGCGAGCGACTTTTCGTGGATGCGCTCGAGGAAGGGAGTAAGCTCATCGACACTGGCATGTAGGAAGCGCTCGTCATCATCATCGGCAACGCAGCATGACAGTAGATCCAAGGCAGTGGCGCGAACTTGCTTCCGGCTGGGGACGAAGACAATAGCTGGCTTGTCTGGGGACATTTCGATAATGGCTCGGTAGGTCGGCCTTGCCATGGCCATCATTAATGATGGGAAGTGAGGAATGCTGAAAGACTGAATGTGCAGTTCCAACCCAACGGGTCGAGCCATCGGGCTGAAGTTGTAGATGGAGTGTTTTGTTGCACCAAGCCACTCGCCCACGTCTCGAGCATTGGCTAGAGGTACGCTCAAGCCGATGATGCGCAGATCGTTCTCTAGTTGTACCTTGATGTAATGCATCCTCGAGACTACTGCCTCATAGATGTAGCCGTTCTCGCCGCCAAGCATGTGCAGCTCATCCGCGATGAAAAGCTCAACGTTTTGCACGTTCTTGCGGCGCTGCCATTGTCTTGAGAGGACGTCCCATTGAGTGGGCGTCGCAAGCACGAGGTCTGACCTCTCAAGGATTCGCAGGTCGGCAGTCGTCTCTCCAGTCAATGTTGAAAGGATCTTGCCGCCCTGGAGAGGAGCCAATCTTTGTTGCCAGTCCGCATACACGTTGGTAACGATTTCCTGGAATGGCGCCACGTAGACAGCTTTGCCGGCCTCTGGATTGTTCCAGTGGCGTAGTAAAGCGAACTCGGCGCACACGGTTTTACCACTGCCGGTCGGTGCACCAACGAATACGCTGTCATTGCTGTCAAAGAGCGATTTGAAGACTTGGGTCTGGATCTTGTTGAACTTATCCCAATTAGGATATAGCTGAGCATATTCTTTCCGACGGAGGGCTTGGACCGGGACCGACTGCATATCAAGTAGCTGGGTGTGAGCTGGGAAGCGCTCGGGTAGAATCAGCTTCTGGAACGAGACTGGCACTTTTGTCTCAGCATGCATCCACCGATCCGACACAAGAGATATGAAGTAATTGGGCGGCATTGGCTCGGTGATCGGGACGGTGAAGTCGACTAGATGCTCTGTCATCTCACCCTCGGCAAAGTCCTGGCGCAGAATGAATTGGTCGTGGAAAAGGATTTCCTCGCCGTCGCAATCCTCAACCAGAATCCAGAATGCCTCAGCTTTCCCGTGCAGAGACTCGTCCCAAACGAAGTTGGGTGTGATCGTAAGCTCAACTCTCAGCATTGACCGAGTCATAGGCTGGACTTGAGCCTGCACTTCCAAACGGGGGAACTTGCTAACCAGATCGCAAACAACACGACCAGCCTTGGGAATGCCAAGCAGTTCGCCCATCCGTGGAGGATCGAGATCGAAGTAGCTCGACCACGGCACATCAATGCGTTCGGCTTTCTGCATGTAGTCACGAGGGCATGAAGGAAACTGTCTGAGAGGGGTCATCGTTGGCCACATCCGCTTCTCGGCCATCTTGCAGAGGTCAAGCGAAGTCCGAGCAACCTGTGCCCAGCCCTTGCGCAAGCAGATCTCGAAGATGGCACGAAGGATTCGACCGGCCGATTGTGTGACATAGACCATGTCGGCCATGAGAGCCAGTCCCTCGAGCTTGAGTCTGGAAATGAAGGCTTGTAGAAGAACATTGATCTTAGCTTGGGGCTCCTCCATTCCTTCTTTGACCGGAATGGGTACACGGCCTAGGAGCTTCGCCAGCTCAAGCTTCTCGTCCTGGCGGACAGGAATGTACTTGAATTCGTCGCTTAGAGCGAAAAGCCGGAAGAATTCGATCGTACCAATGTTCGGTTGCAGGAAGTTGTTGTATGTGAGCATGGAGTTGTGCGTAATGTAGTAATGGGAGGCAATTCGGCCAAGATCCGTCCCTTGCAGCTTGCCTGCTTTGCGATCATACTTAACAAGACCGGCTTTCTCGAGGATGAGAGCCGCAGAGTGAATAAGATCGACTCGCTTCTGCTCGAGCGCTTGGTCGCTGTCGTAGTCCGCGCCAACGCTGTACAAGCCTGGCGAGCGAATCATGCGTACGAACAGATAGGTGTAGCCGAGCCAGTCGACACCTTCATCGCGGTTTCGGATATTGCCTAGCACGATTTCTGCGTTGAGGTTGTCAGCCAGCTTACTCATGAGCTGTGACTCGATTGGTAGCTGCTGATTCATAAGAGACAGGTAGTACTGGATCTCAGCCTGAGAAGTGATGATGATGCCTTCACCATACGAGTCGTACTGAGGACGACCGGCTCTGCCGAGCATCTGAAGCACATCTTGCGGGCTGAGCTCGACCCAGCTACCCTTCTCTGGCGAATAGACCTGTGTGCCTTTGATGATGACAGTATGAGCGGGTAAATTGACACCCCAAGCCAATGTAGCTGTGCAAACAAGCACTCTCAGGTCTCCAGCCGCGAAGAGATCCGCTACAGCGGTACGATCAGTGACATTCATACCAGCATGGTGTATGCCGAAGCCATACGGTAGCAGGTCCTTCAAATTTGCATCGTTCGAATTGTCGGCTTCGTCTGACAGAATCGCTCGACTAGCAGCATCTGTTCGCATGATTTGACCAATGGTCTCCATCTCAACAGCTTTGTCGCGAATGAATTTGGCTGTTTTCGCCGTCTCTTTCCGCGAATGGACAAATATTAGCATCTGCTGCTGGTTCTTGCCCACATGCTCCAGGACCTTTGTGTAGCAGACATCGTTCATGATTTTCAGTTGCTTGATTGGCTTCTTATCAGTTACGCCAACGAACTCCTGTCGGAGCGGGCAGGGTCGGAAGGAACCATCAAAGTGGAACATGTCCTTCTGCTGATCAACTCGCAGAAAGGTGGCGACGTCTCGATAGTTGGGAAGAGTGGCAGACAAGCCGACAATTCGCACGGGGTCGCCGGTCTGCTCTATTTTGCGGATTGTACGGCTTACAATGCTTTCCAGGACTGGCCCACGGTCGTCATGCAGCAAATGAATCTCATCGATGATGATCAAACGCACGAGCCTGGTATAGCTCGTATCGGTCGCCTTGCGTGTAATAACGTCCCACTTCTCGGGAGTCGTCACGATTAGTTGCGTATCAGCGATCTGCTGCTTAGTAAGTTGACGGTCGCCAGTGAGTTCGGAAACAGTAATGCCATAAGGCCTGAGTCTTGCACCAAAATTGCCGACTTGCTCCTGGACTAAAGCTTTGAGGGGTGCAATGTAGATGATTTTGAAATCGTCCAGCATGATCTCACCAGTATCGGGATTGCGGTGTTTCCCAATTTCTCGCAGCATGGTCAACATAGCTACATTGGTCTTGCCAGAACCGGTCGGTGCGCATACTAGCATATTGCCATCATCTTTAAAGGCGCTTGGGTAGCATTTTGTTTGGATTCGATTAAGCTCCTTGGCGGATCCGAAACCTGCGCGAGCCCATTCTGGCAGATCTGTTGTGGGAATGTTCTTTTCGCCTGGATCGCGCTTGGCCTTTGGTACAGGCACGTGAATCTCTTCATAGCCTTTGAAAGTGCGCTTCGTCGAGCCATGCGGTAGGACAACCTTCGGATTAGTCATGAGATGGTTACCCTGCTCGAATATTAGGTTCTCGAGATTGATGGTCCGTTGCGGTTGGAGACCTCTGGTGAGTTCGCCATCTTTCTTCTCCTCGGTTTGTTCGGCTTTGGGGACGTCAACATCCATCAGGTCCATCTTCATCTTTTTCGCGGGTCGCGGATCCTCCGCTTCTTGCCCGCCCCCTAAGAGCTGGGAAAGGATGGACCGTTTGCCTGCCTCGATCATCTGATTCTCGACCTGTGATCGCGCTTGATCATCTTCCGCAACTCTCCGCCATCTTGTAGCCCAAACGATCCGGTCCTTATTTGTCACCAGTTTCGTGACCAGATCAGGCTGCTCGTAATCGAAAGTCTCCATGAGGTCGTTTTCGATATCTCGCAAAGAGAGCTCCTGCCCGTCGGTAGTGATGCCTGATAATAGTTGGAGGACTTCTTGTGTCTTCTGCTGCTGAATGTGTGCATCATTGTAGACAGCACCAATCTGCCTCTGCAGCCAGTACGCATCGATTTCATGAATGGGAATGACGTCGGCTCCCTGCTTTCGACTTCGAGATCCGCTGACACCGCCGTCAATGACCATGCCTTCGCCGTCATCATCGCTATCAGCTTCAAGCGTCCCCACACCACCTGCCGTCGCAGCCTCTTCATCTTCGGGCTGATCTTGCAGGTCTTCTTCGTCAGATGTGTCGCCGTCGTCTCGCACTTCCATGTTCTTGTCTATGCGATCTTCGTCGTCTTCATCTTCGCTGAAATCGACTGCAACACCTTGTCGGTCATCGAGCTCGTCTTCTTCCGCGGCATCAGCTGCGGCTTCGTCGTCATCCTGATCATCGTAGTCCGTAATCTTCTTGCCTAGATTGACCAATTCATTGAACTGCTTCGGCGTCATCGTAATGCCAACCAGGACGTCTATCTCCTTCTTCTTATCAATATCTTTCAAGTTTTCATCCTTCAGATATTCGAGAACGGCATCGGCAGCACTTCGCACAACTTCTTGCGGCACATCACCTAGTGCTTGCGCTGTTACGGACAGCAGCAGGTCGTATGTCGCGCGCGTGGCAGGTGTCCTAGGTCGATACTTGAGACCCTCAATCAGCGCATCGCCCGCAGAGACAATACCACCCCGCTGGGCAGGCTCACCCCGCTTGCGCTTGCGACGCTCTCGTTCCAGAACGTCTTCGCCTTCACGGATGCTGCCCCGTTCAGCCAACAAAGAACTGTTCTTCTTGTCTTTTGAAACCGACTCGCGCTGTACTCTTGAACCCATGTCGCGGATATTGAGGCGACCCGCAAGAGACTCTGGATCTCCGGTCTGTTCGCTTGGGCGGGCGATGTGCTTGCGGTCTGTCTGGAGCACTAGATTGGACATCGCCGAGTATTTGTACTGGGCGAACTTGTTTTGCTCCGCCATCTTGATGGTAGGTCTCGTGGTCTATCCCGGGGAGGGTGGTCTCGCCTATGGCGGGGTGGTTACAGGGATTTGCTCGCCGTCGCAGAGCTCATACTTCGGTCAGAGAAGTACAAGTGGCGAACGAACGTCCGGTCTGCGATTTGGATTTGACACACAACCTCAAAGTACGTCGTTGGCAACGGAAGCTGAGTTCGCAACCAATGCAGGCAACGACATCGAGAAACAAAAAAGTCGTCCGATCGATATCTTGGCAAAAGCAAGTATTAAGGTACATATCTCCTATCTCCGGTCAGCTCTCGGGCAATACTCAATTTACCACGCTAATCTTTGACTGCTACAGTAATCATTGGGCGCTGTCAAAGGTCAAAGAATGTCCCAGAGGGTCTGTAAAGTGTTGTAGCCTGTGCTGTATTCATTATTCATCTTTAGAGCCTCAGTAAGCAATTCAGGACGGTATGCGGTGATTTAGTTGATGCTGTGATATATTTATTCAAAGGAGGATTAAAGATGATACTGAAATTGATCGTACTGGTAAATACAAAGGACTGACGCGCAGGCAGTGTGGTCCGGACACAACAGCTTTCGATGAAAACACCTCTCAATTAGGATCATGAGGTGGAAAGGATATCTATAGACTTCCGGGGCAACAGCCTAGAATCCTTCAATTGACAACAATCTTACACATCAATGTCAAGACCGGGAGCAGACACCGAGACACTTGAATCAACACCGAGATCCTCCTCCACATCGCCGACGGTATTCAACACCCCTCCGACGACTGGGAGTTCTTCGGGGTCGACAGACACTTGGCGCCTATCCTTAACGCTGATGTCCAGGCCAGGTGCTGAAACGTCAACACCAGCAGAAATGCCTAGAGCATCCTCGACATCGCCGACAGTATCCAGCACTTCTCCAACAACTGGGAGCTCATCAGGGTCGACAGACACTTGGCGCCTATCCTTAACGCTAATGTCCAGGCCAGGTGCCGAAAGGTCGACACTGGAGTCGACGCCAACGGCTTCTTCGACGTCACCGACAGTCTCGAGGACTTCGCCAACGACCGGAAGGCTGTCGGGATCAACAGTAACCTGGCGGCGGTTGAGAGGGACGGCGCTTACGGCCGAGAGGAGGAGGGTGACCACAATTGCGGACTTCATACTGGGGTAGTTGAACAGAGAGGATGGTCTTGATGATAGGTTCTGATGAAGTTTTCGTCGAGAGAGACAAAGTAAAGTTTTCTGTCAGGTTCTTGCAGGCTTGGAATGAGTTGAACAGCTTGTTGAGAAGTCGGACTGCTTTGACGAGCGCAAACCAAGATTTTATACCCAGATGTTGTTACGGAGCCATGTCGGACATCTTCTGCATTGGACCTTCCTTCGTAGCATGCTGGCTTCCACCTCGGCATTCTAATAGCCCCATCTTGAGCAAGAGAGCTGTAGATCTTGTACTGCTAGGACCTAGATGGCAAAATGCTTTGTCAATCGCGAGTCCAGCTGAAGTCTTTCAATGGATCTGCAGCTTCCTTGTCATCGCTTTTGAAGACCACATATGATAAGGTGGAAAGGGGCTTGCACCAAAGGGTCAAGTCTGCGGTGTCGAACACTCTGATAAGTATCACAATAAGTATGGCGTGCCCATTTGTGGGTAAATCACTTATCGTTAATCTCTGATGATCCTCCACTAGAGCAACAAGACTGTCGATCGACAGCGGAGCTAGCCAAGCATGTAGACATCTAATGGACCGCGGGAGTGAAGGCCATGAATAGCAGGTCTGAGGCAGCGAACATTGAGGTCACCTGGCGAAAGTAGTGCCTTCGCAGGAAACAGGTACGTTGGCATTGTCGCTTCGCGGCACAAAACCATTGTCAGACTGTCAGTAGCACGTCGAGGGGCGAAGACAAACAAGTGACAGCACAGCGCCCTGTACAGAGTGTCGCACTGCATGACGCAGCGGTTCCTCAATGCACGCACCACACCTGTTGAGTGGTAGGGCAACTATGACTTTCTCGATGTCTCAACCTTCGCTAGTCGGTGGGAAGGATGGATGGCAATTAGGACGAAAGGCGCTCGCAAGTGCCAAGCCTTGTGAGATGTATCGCACAATTGGTTAGAAACGGGGCTCTGCGGAGTGCGGCTGTCTTGAATAGTAGCTGCAGAGTAGTCCCGGTGCAGCCATACTGTAACGCCAAGGAATAGTGGTTCCGGATGCTGGGATGGACGCCGCCTGTCTGCCCTGACATTTGGGCTGAAGCGAGGAGCCATTGCGGAGCCGTTGCATGGGATCGACATGGCCGAAGTTTGAGGGACAAAACATCGCCGACTCCAGGTGCTCAAGTTTGGGGTGGAAACCAAGCTTCACTTCAAATGCCGAGGCGAAGACACTATAGTTGAACAATATCTAGCTTATCTCCTCCACCCTTATCATTTTTGATGAGCAATTGGCGGAATACAATCTTAGCAGCTGAAGTTATATGGTCGAGTGCTTCTGCCGGCGAAATTCCTACCAGTTGTTCCCTACACTGCTAACACCCAAGGGACCGCTGTACGGAGCTCAGCTGACCTGTAGCAAATCACGGAAGAGAGTTGAGCTCCAAGCCTGTGCAGCAACTTTTACTCCGTACACTCAAGACAACTCGCGCCGTCAATCCTCCATACCTCGCTGTCGATGACTAGGTTCCTGCGTATGCTCATGTATGACATTAGAGCAAGCAGAGCTCCGTCAGTGGCTTATCTACGGAGTAGCAGGCGAGCATCACGACTCCTGGTCCGCAGCAAGATGTCGAGCAGCACAGGCTACCTCTGATACTGACGTAGATAGTTTGTTGCGGAGTCTGCTTCTGTAATGGTGTGAAGATAGCAATGGAGGGGCGTAGACTTCATACTGAAGAGGTTCTAAGGTGGGTCGAGGACCGTAGCACTGAAGCTCTTGGGATGGTATGGTTACCAACAGCGAATCCCACAATACGCGTAGCGTCATCAAAGGACAGCGCACTCGGAAGACACCAAATCCGGCGGAAGAAGTCTCTCCGCGCGCTGCTCGCTGCTAGTGACGCCTGTTGGAAGTCGAGGTAAAGGGTGGAGTGCATGGAGGGGCGATTACTGTGTAAGAACGCGATATGGTAAACCTGCTCCTTCCCGCTTTCTAGGAAAGTCCAGCCGAGACGCGTCCCCTCAATCTCGGCGCGTTTGGGGAAAGATTTCGCGACTGCAAGTTGACCTCAGTAGAATCGGTTCCTTTGACCGCGGGCACTATTGTGATTACTTCGTGACGATCCTAGGAGTTGAAACACTCCAAGTGATCATGTACAATCCGGAATGCAAGCAACAATAAGATCCGCCTACGCACGGGATCTGAGATCGCTCGAGAGTATCGCTGCATCTGTGAGCACCAACCCGCTGCGACGGCCTATAATCTGGTTCAATGGCGGCCATCACTGGCTCAGTACGCGTCGCGGCGCGAAGACGAAGACGAGTAGGAGAGTAGCCGAAATTCCAGCCTTGCAGCAGGGTGCAATTCCAGTCGAATCGTTACCTGACTCCGAACCACAGAATGATGGGCAATACCCTACCTATCCTACCGTGCTACAGGGCGTGAGGGATAACATGGCCAAGTTCAAGAACTGCGTGGTCTTGACAAGGGTGGGCAATTTTTATGAGCTATACTTCGATCAGGCAGAAGAGTTTGGCCCTCCGATGATCCTGAAGGTCGCTTACCGAGCATCTACCCGCCATCCGCCCGTCGCTATGGCCGGATTTCCTTTCTATCAACTCGATCGTTACCTGAAAATGTTGGTGTTGGATCACAATCAGCGTGTTGCGATCAGCGAAGAGATACCTAATAACGTGGACGGAAAGGTCAAATCGAGTGGCAACCTTTTTGATCGCCAGGTCGTACGGATCGTGACACCAGGTACTCTAATTGATGAAAAGTTTATGGATACATGCCAAAACAACTTTTTACTTGCTGTGCACAACGGTGAAGCAAACGACTCTCAGGAGCCGTTAGCTGCTGATGGTCCCGCTACAGTCGGTCTCGCTTGGATAGACCTTTCCACTGGGGATTTCTGGACCGCGACGACGCAGCGGGCATTACTCTCTTCATCGATAGCTCGCATAGCTGCACGTGAGATTGTTCTGCAAGAAGATGTTCCCGACGGCCTCCAGCAGGAAATCCAGGCCCTGCTGAGTCACCACCATGACTTAGCCACATACCACACCAGCAGTTCCCCATTCACATCCATTGCCGAGTGGAATGGCGTTTTCGAAGCTCCTCTGGATGATGCTGCCGAAGACCGGTTCTCCGGTTCAGAAAAGCTTGCCATTCATTTGCTGCTGGACTATGCGAAGCACCAACTGCAAAGAACACAATTGCGACTGCAGCCACCACGGAAGAGACAAGATACGCATGTTCTGTCCCTTGACCGCCACAGCCTGCGAGGTCTGGAGATATTGGAAACATCTAAAGATGGCTTCGGCAAAGGCAGCCTGCTTCACGCCGTAAGGAGAACGGTAACGAAGAGCGGCGAGCGCCTTTTACGAGAACGACTTGTGTCACCTTCAGCCTCATTAGAGGAGATCAACGGCCGACTCGATCTCGTGACTGCGTTTCTGGCGTCCGAGGAGCTACGAGATGATCTAGTGCAGAGGCTGCGGCGGACATTTGACGTGCAGAGGATCGTACAGAGGTTCACGCTCAACAAAGGTGATGCAGATGATATGTTGAGTCTCGCGAAGGCTGTCACTGAAACATTAGCGGTGTACCACCGTCTGTTGACTGCGTCAAAATCAGACTCGGCAAATTCCGGGATGTACATGCCACTGACCGCCTTAGCAGAACGATTTGAATTGAAAGGACCTATAGCTCTTGCTGAACACATCACTCAATCGATAGACGAGGAAGGACTTCTGCAGCTTCATCGCCAACAGGACGAGGAAGCGGCCGAGGTCGCGGCGAAGGCTGTGGAGGCTGTACAGAGCCAAGGCGCCGACGCAGCTGAGATAATTCAGAAGAGCGCAAGAGTCAAAGCGAGAATCGCTGAGGGACGGTTCTCAGACGCAGATATGCTTGAAGCATGGATTATGAAGAAGACGGCTAGCGACTCCATCGGACAGCTGCACGAAGCATTGGACGCTCTGAAGACGGAGAAGGATCTACTCGAGACGCGACTACAGCAGGATCTCAAAACATCCTCACTAACTTTGAAGTGGGCTCCCGGCAAAGGGTATACATGCCACATTCGCAGTGCAACGGCCTTCGACAGCAAAAAGCTGACGAACATGAAAGCTCATATGATATCGTCTACCAAGTCAACAAGGTCTTTCTATCTGCCTGAATGGTCAAACCTCGGAACAAGAATCGACCATGCCAGAATGAGAATTCGAAACGAAGAACAGCGAATTTTTGCGCAGCTCAAGCAACATGTTATTCAAAACCTAGTTCGGTTGAGGCGCAACGCGGCAATCATGGATGAGATTGATGTCGCAACAGGATTCGCGTCTCTGGCTCATCAAGAAGGCTGGAAGCGGCCAGTCATCGACACATCTAGCGACCACCATATCGTTGGTGGCCGCCACCCCACCGTCAAACTCGGTTTACAGGAGCAGGGCCGCACCTTTGTCACTAACGACTGTCTTCTGGATTCAAAGGAGCAGATCTGGCTTGTCACTGGCCCAAACATGGCTGGCAAAAGCACGTTCCTACGGCAGAACGCTCTAATCACTTTGCTAGCCCAAGTTGGGTCCTACGTGCCGGCGGAATATGCGCGGATTGGTATCGTGGATCAGCTTTTCTCGCGCATCGGTGCGGCTGACGATCTTTTCCGCGACCAGTCTACATTCATGGTGGAAATGCTCGAGTCTGCAGCGATTCTCAAGCAAGCCACGTCGAGATCGTTTGCCATCATGGACGAGGTCGGCCGAGGTACTACGCCACAAGATGGCATCGCAGTAGCGTTCGGGATTCTCTGCCATCTGTACGATATCAACAAATGCCGCACGCTCTTCGCTACACATTTTCATCGGCTTGCAGACATGACTGAGAGATGGTCAAGAGTGGGAAGATATTGTACAGATATTATCGAGGAAGAATCGGGGTCTTTCATCTTCCAGCATCGGCTGAAGCCGGGAGTCAACAGGCAGTCGCACGCGCTTAAGGTGGCGAAGCTTGCTGGTCTACCTACAGCGGCTCTGGAAGCTGCCCACGCGATGCTGCAACAATTGCAAACCGAGGAGCGCGAGGCACACCAGGGCCCTCACTTGCCGGAAACAGTACGCGTCGCCACGGCCAGTTGATCAGTCTCCAGGAAATCTTGGCGGTTGCTGGATCTCGCCTTCACCAGGCTTCGAATTATTCACCGTTCCGCACTGCTTGCAGGTTCTGGCCTCCATGTTGTTCTCAAACGCAATCACCGCGTCCTTGATTTGTGAACCCAAATCCGAACAATGGAAAGAAGCTTCGTGCACGATGTTCGCACACTCCTTGCAGTACCATCTCATGCGATCGATCGAATCAGCTGGCCGCGCTTGCTCGAGTACTATGCCGACCGTATCCGCGAACCGGACCGGGTTATGTGGGGTGTTTGCCGGTAGCAAATACAACGAGTTTTCATGAATGGGAATGTCGACGAACTTATGAGGTGTACTCGAAGTGTTCACAGTCTTGAGCAGCATAGAGCCTTTGTGCTGATAGAAGAATTCCGGGGTCTCGTTGATATGGTAGTCGGTCCGAGCATTTGGGCCACCAACAACCATGACCGTCAGGCCGGAGGTCTCGGGTGAAGAAGGGTGATAGACGCAGTAGTTATTGATGGGGGGCTGGAGGAGATGCTTATTCTTCTCGAGCCTGTCGCAGTCAGAAGTGGTACGGCATTGTCTGTGGATGGGCTTCTCACCATTTGGGTAGATTCAGAGCCATCTTGGAGGTCAGCTTTACAATCGAACTCAAAACTCACGATGCTATGGGCGGGCAAAATTTCAATGACCTGGACCTTGTACTTACACCAGCTGCGTGTCGGACAAGCTTATGTATGATTCATTGAAGGAGAGGTCACCGGTATGGCAAAACACATCGGACCGAGATCATTTCAAAAACGCAGTCACTGTCAGCGCGACAAATTCCTTGCGTCATTTTTATCGATAATGATGGGCCGGTGCCAAGCTCCACCCGGTCGGGTTTAGCGGCATCTCGCACGCTTTTCGTATCGAACCGTCTAAGTCTGACCTTGCCCATCGGACACGGCCATCCCTCGTATTTTTCCTCCACTTGATCGACTGCGCCTTTGCCCCCTTTTCGTATCTCCAATCCTTTGAGAAGGGCTGCTTCGCCCATTGCCTGCCAATTCCCGCACCCAGAATCAATGCTATCAAGGAACCCTACCAGCGCTTTCGCGCTCAAGATCTGGAGGCCCAGAGCTAATCGATCGGTGCTCGCACCAGACCAACGCGCAAGCGACACTACCCACTACAGAGTATCGTGAATGCGGAAGAACTTCTGTCCCTGATTCGTCAGCCAGGGCACGAGCCCGTCGCTCTTCTCCCGGCTGCTGCTGCTTGCGGATTCGGCTGGGTAAATCATGGCCGCGGGCTTGACGGCGGCTGTGTCGACGAGCACGGAGCCATCAACATCCAGGGCCTCGGCCTGAACGTTCTTAACACCCATACGCTCGAGCGCTAGCACGGTCTCGAATCCCTCACGCTTGACCTCGCCAAGGAAGGAGCGACGACCGCGCAGGATCTCGTAGAAGCGCCATTTGTGGGTGCGCGTGTCACCGTTCCAGGACACATAGATGTTGGTCTCCGCGCGGTCGTCGTCTTCGAGCGCGACTATCGCTGGAGCCTCGTGGGGGATGCCGGTCCAGTTGTAGCGGAAAGCACGGTAGTTCTCGACGCCAGTGCCGAGGTCGCCCGAGTCCATGTACGTGTGGAAGATCGGGGTACCGTCGGACTTGAACTCGGTCAGGGCGCCCTCCGATCCCCAGTTGACCAGGACATTGCCGTTGGGCAGGACCTGCGTTGAGCCCTGCGATTTGGACAGCAGGTCATCGGGCGGCTCGAAGGATTGCACAATGGTGGCCTCCCATGTCTTGGTGTCGACCTCGATGATCTTTCCACGCGAGATCTTGTAGAAGTGCACTTCGTGGCCGTGCCCATCCTCGGTGCCGTGCGCTGAGTTGTCGTAGATGCTGATGACCTCCTTGGTGCCATCCTCGCTCCGTGCCAGGAAGCGGGCGTGGTGCTGGAAGGCAAACTCCACCTCTGGGCCCATCTTGAAGCTCGACGAGTTGCCGGAAAGCTGCCAGATGATCTCGCCCGTCTGGCCGTTGATCTTATACGCAGCATTGGCATCCCGTGCAGAGATGAGGTAGTTGCCCTGGTCGTCTTTGTCTACAGAGTTAATGTGGAAGTAGTCCCAGGCATCAGAGCTGTTATACCCAGAGCCAGCTTGTCCCGGGTTGAGTGGGAGATAGCCCTCTATTCGCTGTTAGCATGCTCTAGGATGTACTAGCAGTTTGAGAGACGTACCTGACGGGTCCACGTGCTCAAGACTGCTCCATTCGAACAGAACCTCACCAGTCGCGATATCAAGCTCTGGAAGCAGAGTCAGTAGGGCTATAGCTCAGAATCAAATTCCGCGTACCTTGAAACTTGGCGTCCACGATCCATTGCTGCTCCGCACTACCGCCATAAGCGGTCAAGTTGTACGGCACAGGATGGTAAATTTGGATCAGAGCAGTCTCCTCATTGATGATGTGGAACTCATGCTTGTCGGTCAAGCGATGGTTACCCGCTCGAAGCTCGAGAATCGTCTCGTAGTTCTCGTCGAGGAACGTGGTGTGTCCATGACCGTGTCCGTATGCAGCATTGTGACTGCCCTCGAAGCAGAAAAGGATGTCTTTGCCCCTGTATCGAGCCTTTTGGAAGTTCGTGGCCCATATGGAGAAGTATGTGAATCCTGACCAGACCAGATCACCGGTGTCGGTGAAAATGTACGGTGCGGCTTGAGCAGGGCCATGATGCGTGCCTTCTGGATAGCCGGAGAAGGGAGCGACTGCAGAATAACGGTCCCAACGTCAGTGTCTCTCATTTCAGAGGCCGAGCACAGCGTGGGTGGTTTTCTTACCAAACAGGTACCCCTGTTCCACTTCCTTGGTTGCAGGAATGGTGATGTTCAGCGTCGGAGGAGACAGGTCAGGTCGCGACCTGTATCGCCAGTTGGCTGATGCAGTGGGTAGAAGGCACAAGTATGTTGCAATAGCCACCAGGGAGGTGCACGAGCTGACAGAGCCTAGCATCATGGCTAAATTGCTGTGCTGTGCTTGCTTCACTCTGAGTCTAGACGGTGTTGTCTGTAGGATCAGAACAAGATCACGTCCGCCTGTATGCCGTATATAGTTGGTTTGATTAACCGACTTTGACGCAAAGCAGAGCGGCGTGCAATGTCCATTGCTGAATCGATGGCAAGGCTAGTAGGGGCCTCGGACTCGGGACACGTTTGAGTGGATCCTCCTTTAGGCCAGCAGGGCGAAAGGCGCGAGACGGAGTCCATGTCCGCATGTGCATACGCAAGTGCTAGTAAGCCAATGCCCTGCTTCTCGAGTTTCCATCGCGAACTCACGGGGCTCGTAAGCAAGTTGATCAAGGAATAAGTTTTGCCCAGACGGGGACCCACTCCGAGGAAGGTCTTGGCACTACCTGCACTAGTGCCGTACTAGTCGTACCCTGCATTGCTTCCCTTTGGAGTGTTTGCGATATCGAAGAGCATCGTGTTCTGGACCCGGAAATCTTTGTGATGTGTCATTATGTGAGCTGTGTGTGTTGTATGCCCTAGCGTTGTCCGTGCGAAGCCCACTGAATCCGATTCCTTGGCATGCAATATTGCATTGGCCTGTACCATCTACCGAGATCAAACTATAGCTATTTGGCTCAACACTTGTTACTTTCAACAACATTGAACGCGATTCAAGTCTGCGAATTATACACCGACCACTCTTTGATGTGTTATAAAGCCAGTGAAGATGGACCACTATACGCATTCTGAAGGTGATGAGGATGTTTCAGTTACGCTGCCCGACGACGATGTGTGCAAGCCGAACGAAACCACATCGTTGCTAGCCAAAAATTTGGACTCCAAGAGCAGAAGAGAGAAGTGGAAGCCAGGGCCGGGGTTCTTTTGGATAGAAGTTGGTGAGCTTTGGAACCCCAATGCTGGTCTCTGATACCAAAACTCACCATCTCGGCAGCAATATTTTCTAACGTCTTTCTCTCCGGGTTCGACGGCACGATTACAGCATCAACCTACGCAATCATAGGCTCCGAATTTCACGCCGCAAACACCATCTCATGGCTGACCACCTCCTACCTTATTACAAGCACCGCTTTCCAGCCACTTTATGGTCGGTTTTCCGACATTCTGGGTCGCCGTACATGCTTCTTTACCGCGACTATAACTTTCCTGCTTGGCTGCGTGGGTTGTGGACTTGCGCCAGATGTGGTCACCTTGAATTTGATGAGAGCTCTGACCGGGCTAGGGGGAGGTGGTCTTATGACTATGGCGACAATCATAAATTCCGATATGATTCCCTTCCAGGAGAGAGGCATGTACCAGGCTTGCCAGAATGTCTTACATGGATTTGGATCAATATGCGGCGCATCGTTGGGCGGTGTGATTGCAGACCACATTGGCTGGCGATGGTGTTTCCTGCTGCAGGTGCCGGTGTCGATTTTTGCCCTCGTTGTCGGCCATCTTGTCATCAGCGGCGCAAAAGCGACGGCCGTGACAGGCGACGAAGAAGCAACTACACTCCAGCTGTCTTCCTCGAAATGGAAACAGATTGATCTCTCAGGAGCTGTCCTTCTGGTGCTTGGGCTGTCGGCCCAACTCGCGGCCATGAGTATGGGCGGCAACAACTTTCCATGGTCTGACCGCAAAGTGATTGCGGCGCTGGCACTGAGCGTCCTCTTACTGGTCTTGTTCGTGGCCGTCGAGCTCCGGACGAGTGCCGTTCCCGTTATGCCGATGACTATGCTGAGAGGCACTCTGGCTGTGTCAAACCAAATTAGCAATGTATGCGTTGGCATGGCTGCGTATTCGGTAAAGTCTACCACTTAACAGCTGTTGGTCCACACTGACGAGTTTATAGTTTCTCTTCGTCAGCCCTCTGTTCTTTCAGGTTGTACTCGAGGACAACGCGTCTGAGGCTGGCATGCGCTTGGTTATTCCCAGTCTTGCAACCCCTGTGGGCGGGCTCCTGGCTGGGCTCATCATGTCGCGCTGGGGATATTTGAGTGCACTTGTGAGAACAGGATCCTTCATCATGGTGATTGGGAACGGGCTTGTTGCTTCATTGAACTTTCGAGATGCGGCTTGGAAGTATCTGGTCTACCTGTTTCCCGCGAACCTCGGACAAGGCATTGTGTATCCCGCCATCCTTTTCACAAACCTCGCAGCTTTTGATCATAGTGGTGGGTGCTTTAATCTTAGTCACGCAGTCCAATCTCTGACCAGTTGACAGAGCAAGCGGTAGCCACCTCTATGGTGTACCTATTCAGATCAATGGGTACAGTCTGGGGGGTTGCGGCATCGTCGACGCTGATTCAAAACGTGCTGACCGTACAGCTTCCGGCGAGGCTGGAAGGAATACCAGCCAAAGAAGAGGTATTTGGGTTCCAATGGGTTGACATGATCTATATACTGACTGGTGGTTAGATCATTGACGAGATACGCCATTCCGTAAGTGTGCTACGAGATCTTTCACCCGAAGTGCAGACGATTGCCCGGCATGTTTATTATGATGCCCTGCGCTACGCTTACATTGCGAATACCGCAATCGCTGCCGTCGCATTTGTGGCGGCTTTGTTCGCCCGGGGGAGTAGCCTCCGACGGGCTCAGACTTAGGCTTGGCCGGCACTCATCAATACTTGTGGATGGGTGCAACTGATGGGATATATAGCCCTTAGATAGAGAAAAGTAGCTTATTTGATGCATTGAATTACTCTAGATGTACTGTATAACTCAAAACTCGCTTTCTTTCTAAGCACCGATTGAGTTGAATTGAGCGTCGTAAGGCTGCAGACTGCCGAGGAGAGATACTGACAAACTTGGTAATATTTCCATCTGGTCTTCTCCATGAATAAGTGCGCGCCGGCGCTGGCACTGGTAATCGGCATGACCATTCCACGGAATGAAACTAGCCGTTCCATACTGGTGTCGTAGATACAGTGAAATTCATGCATGCAGTGGTAGCTATTTTGGCGGCAAAGTCCGAGCCTTGTCCGGAATTTGTGGCTTCGACCCGATAAGGAGCGCGTCCCTTGCTCACCTTCAATTTGTTCTACGGCCACGTAATGTACGTTATTAGGGTTCCGAAACAGACGGAGACCAAGTCCGTGATATTTCTAGGCTCATTGGCGACGGTGCGGCCATAGCCCCTATCAGGGGTTTTCACCACCATTCATGTTCAACTATTCGAATCTCAACAATCGCTCCACTGATAAGGCGGGACGATGAGCGGAGCCTCCGCCCCCAGGTCGCTCTATGGCCCCGTATTCACTGCACGCCGCTGATTGAGGACTGGTACGCTATTCATGGACTTGGAATACTTCGAATGCTCAGGAGCCATGGGTGGCCTAGATGGTATCGAGATCCTTGACGCCATTAACTAAGCTACACTCTGTGTCCAATACGTGATAACGCGGACGCGAGAATCTTTATCACTTGTGCCCGTTATCATTACGGTAGAGTCCTGCCAGAGGTGAATATCAGTTCATGTCTTATATATGACGCTATGTTCGCCCAATATCTGGCTCCTTCGGTTTGATTTCGTTGTTGTCGGGATTGTACTACATAAAGCACTGGATCCCTTCTACCCGAGCAGGCCAGAACACACTAAGGACCATATCAACAAGACTCGGGTACGATGCACAAAGATACAGAGACCTTGCCGGACAGCAAGCCAAATGATCGAGAAATGATTTCAGATCAGATTCGCCCTGAGACACCGCCCGAGATTGGTGACTCGGTAGAGATCAAGAATGCTTACATTGGGTCCAACGGTCAACACCCATTCAGCGATCCGGATGACGCACGTCGCTGGGCAAACATCTACGAAGAAGCTCAGTATGAGGGTCGGCACCGCTTCGATCCATCGTATCAATGGGATGTGCCTACCGAGAAGCGACTCATTCGCAAGGTGATTACCCATCGCTCAGACCCTCCGCACCCTGCTAATCATTCCTCCACAGCTGGACCTTCGAATTATGGTTTGGGTCTGGATCATGTTCTCTTCTCTTGATCTCGTCCGCAGGAACATCAACCGAGCCATCTCGGACGATATGGTGAGTGATCTGCTTGGATCGTTGCGACTGGTGCTAATCTGCGGGTTGGAATAGCTTTCAGAGCTCAATATGGACACGAATGATTTCAACAATGGCCAAACTATCTACTTGGTCTCTTTCCTGGCCGCCGAGCTACCTGGAGGTCTGCTGAGCAAGGCCATTGGGCCCGAGAACATGACACCGATTGCCATTGTCGCGTGGGGATTGGTATGCGCCTGTCAGAGCCTGCTCACGAATCGCACCGGCTTCTACATTACACGAGCGCTATGCGGCTTCTCTCAAGGCGGGTTTATTCCTGATATGGTGGTATGTTCCCAGTCGAAGAGTCGGTGGCCGATCAAGAAATGCTGACGAGTGGAGTTATACTTGACCTACTACTACAAAAGCAACGAGCTTCCCATAAGGCTGTCGGTGTTCTGGACAGCCATCCCGGTGACGCAGATCTATGGAGCACTTCTCGCGGCTGGACTGCTGCAGATGAGGGGCCTGCACGGTTGGAGTGGGTGGCAATGGCTGTAAGCTTGCTGCGAGGCGTCTCACTTGCTCAGTCGCTCATCATCATACAGATTTCTCGTCGAAGGCCTTATCAGCATAGCTATAGGGGTGCTAAGCTTCTGGATGATGCCTGCCAGTGTCACTGAGACTCACAAGATTCTACGTGGAAAAGCTCAGTGGCTCAACGGCAAGACCGGCTGGTTCACTGAGGATGAGGAGAAGGTGCTGGTCAACAGGCTTCTGCGCGATGACACCTCAAAAGGCACAATGCACAACCGCCAACATGTTGATCTGCGAGGCATCTTAGCCGCAGTCACCAACACTGACCTATGGCCACTTTACCTGGTGAATCAGCTTGCATCTATGTGCAAACAACTTACTGACGGTGCACAGCTTGGCTTCCTAGCCTTCATACCTTTTCAACCCGCCGCAAATTACCTGTCTCTCACCCTTCGAACCTTGGGATACTCTGTGTTTGAAGCAAACATGCTTGCAATTCCCGGATATACTCTTTTCTTCATAAATGTAAGTTTCCTTTATCACGAGTCGAGTAATGAACCCTAAACTGAAAAAATGTTAGATCCTGGTGGTTACCTGGATGAGCGAGAGGTATCGCGAACGACTGCTGTTCTCTTCGCTCTCTTGCCTCTGGGTGCTACCGTTCTTCATCGGGCTGCTTGCAATCTCTAGGAGTGCAAGCCCATGGGTTCGTTATGCACTGCTTACCGGTGTCAATGGAGAGCCGTACAGTGAGACTGAACCCTGCCCTTATCGTTTTACTGTGTTGACAAAAGCTCTAGCACACGCCATCCTTGTTGGGTTAATATCTCGCAATGCTAATAGCGTGGCCATCCGTGCCGTATCCGCCGCCGTCTACAACATGTGTTATCAGTTTGGTTCCATCGTTGCTGTCAATGTCTATCGCGAAGAAGACAGACCTTACTGTACGTTTGCGCTGTGTTCTGCTCAATGGCGTATACAAGAGCTAATACATCATTGCAGACTACCAAGGCAACAGGATTCTTATCGGCATCGCTTGTGGCAGCATCGCTATCTTCGTGGCAGCCAAGTACTATTACATCAAGCGCAATGAACAAAAGGACCGAGAGTGGAAAGCCATGAGTGCCGACGAGAAATCTCAGTATCTGTCTACAACTCGCGACACAGGCGCGAACAAGAAAGATTTCCGATTCGTGCATTAGTAGCATAATACGACTAGGAGGACCCTATTAGGGCTCGTCGTTTTCCAGGAGGATAAGCTGTTACTATATAGCGGAAGCAATCGACAGGCAGGTACCACTGAATTGACAGGTAGCCGGGTTTTCAGAGTGCAAATACAGACTGATCTCGTCATAAGAAGCTACGAGCCATCGCTTCGTGAGGCTGCAGAAGCTACCGTCAGTCTTGCAAAGGGCCTGTAACTCTCCTTCAGGCCTTATGCATCCAGTCTGCTGCGGGAGCCGGACGAAGTCGCTGGATCTAGACACTAAGTGGCCCATTCCCCGGCATTGTAGGACAAGGAGCAGAATAAGGGGTATTGGTATTGGCACTATGTAGGTGGGATGAAAGGTAGCAAGTGTAGGCGAATGGCGTCACATGACGACAACGCCCAACAGTTTTAACCGTGGCTTTTCGAGCGGAGTTGGCCACCCCCACCATCTGTACTGTCTTGCGTCACGCTATCCAGACACAGGAGCAGCTTCCCTGCTCCGTAATTAAGCGGGTGGGGGATCTAGGCGTCCTTCCTTATCTGTGCTCCTTCTCACCGTCCTTGCTACTTCTTGCTACCTCTTGCTACCTAGGCTGGACTGCTGACCTCTTTTCGCCTTCTGTCTTCTCGACAAGAGCGTAGAAGATCCGTATCGACTGCTACAATATCGATCTCTCGTGTCTGATTCAATTTCGTTGTGTTTGGTGGGACTACGGATTAATTCGGTCCGCTTGGAATCGAGTGATGCAACGGCCTGGGGAGCGGCGCATCTCGTAAGTTACTCTGCCTTCAGCCAAACACCTGCGCCTGGCAACTGAATATGATATAGGTGCAAGCGTTGTCAGACACGCAAGGTTCGTAACGGTGACGCCGTCCCTTTCGCTCACCGCGCCAACCCGCGGAAGCTCGCTTACTGACAACTGATGGCGGACATAGATTAAATGTTCTCGAACAACACCTTGTCGTAACTGTGATGCGGCTGGTGTCAAATGCGAGTTCCGTGTCGATGATTGGAAGCGATCTCCGACGTCTCCCGAGTACGTCGCAGCACTCGAGAATCGGATAGCGGCATTGGAATGTTTGCTTTCCGGCATTAAGTCCTCGGCTGGACCCGAACGCGAATTGCTGATCGACGAGATCGAAATCGACCAGTATTTTCTTGACAGAAAACCGTCTCATGTTGCTGCTGCAGACCATCACCATATCTCTGCTGCTGACATATGTGGCCATTGGGGCTTTGATCCCGAAGGTTGGTAAGCTCCTGCATTCAAAAGCGCTGTCCACTGACAATTTCAGCAACCACTCCAGTATTCCATGCTCCTGGCAGTGCTTATGCTACGGGCCTCTTTCAGCGGTGTTGCGAGCCTCTAAACTCTGTTGCCAACCTACCGTCCGCAATGGACGTAGGCAGATGTCCATCTGTTGTGCTCAAAGAATGCGTTAATCTGTTTTTCAGCTATCAGAGACCGTTTTGCACGATCGTGGATCGCGATGAGATCGAGCAGGGCTTGCTCAGTCCCATGGATGATTATCGCCAGTCCACGTATCTTATCCATGCTGTGTGTGCCATGGGGGCGCTGATGTCTGATGACCGTCACGTTCGCGAACTGGCTAATCCATTCGTCGCCTCAGCCGAAAGTAAACTCTCAGAAACCCCCTTCTGGCATTCACGACTCGATAGGGCGCAGACGATGCTTCTCATCGCAGTGTTCGCGGCTGGTAGAGGTCATATCTCGAAGGCCTGGATATACTCTGGTAAGCATCTAAGTCGCAGCCAGTTTGTATACTGATCATGTATACTTCAAGGTATGGCTATCCGCATAACACAAGACCTTGGCATCGATGATATCTGGTCCTTGAGTGCTGGTCAAGGACCTCAGAGTGCGCTCTCCACTGTAGTGGAGAAGCGACAGCGCATGTCTTTAACCTTCACCATATCCGATAAGTCCCTACAGCCATAAATCAACAGTACAGAATACACTAACTTCTTTTCAGGTTTTTGAGCTGCTTCTACGGCCGGGCGTCGCTTTTATGTCCGCGACAAACAGAAGCTTCTATCGCCTTTTCGGAGTGCAGCGCTTCTCCCAGCTCGATCGACTCATCGTATGGCTCCGAGGTGCCAGTCTCGACGACATCGCTGGTAAAGCAGGCCGAGCTTGCGCAGATCGTCCACGAAATACAGTCGCAAGCACTCATCAGCCCCAGGTCTCAAACTGCTGTTGGACACTCGCTACAAGCCATATACACCAAACTCAATACAAAGTTATCGTTGTGGTATGACACACTGCCTGGCGAGCTGCGGTGGAGTCGATGGAGCTCGAGCCTTGAGGACGTAGATCCTGGGCATGCGGATCTCCAGTATGTGCCCTTTCGCATGGTGGCCTACAAGACTGACCTCCCTCGCTAGTATGATGTATCACACCGCAAGACTCAGTTTGAGTCGACCATTGATCAAGATGGTGTCTCCAACATGTCGGGCTTCATACAACGCCTCAGGGATTGCTCTGAACGCATCGGACAGCTGTGAGGCATCCGTCGAGACTATCCTCTGCATCATCGGACGTTTCAACGCCCAGCATAGCCTGAGAGCTGCATCATTGAGCTTCATTCACGGCGCAGTGGCGGCAGCAGATGCGTTGCTTGCTCTTGCAGAATGCAGATCTGGCTTGTGGCACACACACTTCCCAGCTCTGCACGATGCGTTGGGCGACATGAGCCAAACATGGGAGATAGCCGCAGATGCAGGGCGCGGTCTGGAGCAAGCGAATTCGCGGCTGGGGCAGCCCTTTCAGCCGTTGCCGTTGCAGCAGGACTTTGGTCTACCTTTTCTTGGAATCAGCTCCCAACCTGCCGCCGACCATCAGCAACTCATTGAAGATGCACATGTCTTTTCGCGTCTTTCGCCCTGGCAGACTGCGGACCACATTCCGCTTGATGGTCGCCTTTCACTCGAGTCCGACCCCCGCGGGAGTGGTCGCAACGATAGCGGGGTGTTTACCTGGTCTGAAGGAATGGTCAGCAACATGTCATCACTCTCGAGCTCGATGTCCGGGCACCCGTGCCACAGCGCCCTCGGACTGTTCTGACCGTGGCGTAGAAGGCCTTTTATGGGCCTTGTGTGTTTCGCCGTGTATTGGTATACGCTAGGGGCCTGGTGGTGTTCGGGGACCTGGTCACGTGGCTTGCCTCCGGGGCGCGATAGTCTGCAATTTGTACGTGGTCGTAGATCTTGCGGTCTCTTCCGGTACCGAAGCACAAGTCTCAAATAGGTGCAATGGAAGCTAAACACGGCGCCCAGATGCGCCGGAATGACCACTGGAGCATTGGAATGCCTCACTTTATCGATAATGGTTGGTCTGCTCCTTTCTAATTGTCTACTCATGCAGGCTCCCCGCTTCTGCACTCCTAAAATTCATACTGGTGTCGACCGACTGCTACGACAGTCAATTCGCCAGCAGGAAGTCTCAAGTATCGCTATCTGAATCTTTCCTAGCCCAAATTCGTCAACATTGGATCAATGGGAGATGGCTACTGAGGCGCCTCCGTCCCGAGACCGAGCGAAATGCAGCGTTAAGTTATTTTCATCCTCATTCACTCATGCAACAATCTAAGCCACTGCCATCTGAATGGTCTCAACGTGCCTGCGTTCCCCAATGACTCCTTCGAGTGGCATCAGGTTTTGCTTGACATCTACCTCTGGGCCGAGGTAGATGCAGGTCATATTGCAGATCGTCTCCGAGATGAACTCGATGTGGGCGATCTGTAGCATCGCGCTGGACTTGTCAGAGCCGCCAGCCGCCAGCAAGTTCTTCAGCCCAATCACCCGTTCGGCGAGCTGTACGACGACGTGGCTATCCCACAGACCCTCGCGCCTCCTGTTCCGTCGCAGGAGATCCAGGGCTTTATCTCGGATCAAGGCATTGTTGCAGCGCCAGGTGAGAGCGAACAGCATGGGGATTACTCCGATCGAGACAGAGAAGGTGCATTGGCTACCGTCTGTAGGATCCTGGCTGTTCAAGAACAACTCTGTTAGCTCCAAGGCGCTGGCGATGTCCGGGTCGTAGGTGTTGAAACACTCGGCAGTGTGCAGGCTGCGAAGCATGGCTTTGAAAACAAGTTCGTAGATCCGCAAAATCAAGTAGCCCTGATATGATTTGGTATGCTGGCTCTCGTCGACCAACATGCCCATCTGGCTTACGCCATGTGACCAGTGATTGTATCTGGCCATGACCTTTTCATATCGAGGCGCGATCTGGGTTGGGTAGAGCTCGCTCAAGGATTGGCTGGACTCCTGGAGGTATTGGCAGTAGTGGGTGAAGCAGAAGATTTCGTTGTAAACAATCTCGAGATGGTGCATGCCCTCCTCGACCGTGGCAAAATGATTGTTCATGGGAGGATCGAAGCCTTTGTTAGTATCGTACGCTCTCAATGCTAAATAGTCGAACTCCTTGACTTGGTTCTGTAGCGCGAGAAAGGCTTGAGAGAGGGCATCGTCCAAAGCAGATGATCTCGGCGAACGTGGTGATGATGGTGGTCTGTTGTCGCCAATGATCTTAATGCCTGCGTAAGCATGTTGTAACGCGTGACAGAAATAGCCACGGAGGCTTTCAATGCTGTAGAAGAGAAGACAGGAGACAAGAACAGCCTCGATAGACAAGTCTGCTTGAGCGGTTCTGCTTATATGCTGGACAGCTTTGCCATAATGCCGGCTAGCATCGGCCTGGAGACGATCGCGAGCTCCAGACTGATAGGTATATGACTCGTGCATGCTGCTCAGGGCAACCAGAGCCGACATGACGAAGCTGTGCTTGTCGGCCACCTGAAAAATGCACTCGGTCCACAGCTCTGACTGGTAGGGCGCCGTGATCTGCAAGGCAGCCCGGGAGCGAAAGTAGTGCAAAGACTGTTTCTCCGAGTAGACCAGATCAGGCGTGCTTGTCATAGCTCTTGGGACGGAATAGACGACAAATTTCGTGGATGAGGCACTAGAGCCCTCGGATGAGTATGAGCATATTCGGTTCGACTTCACGCACTTTTGGCAGCGAGGCTGGCCTTCGTCGCATTTGAGGTGTCTATGCTTGCAAGTTTGGCATCCTGAACTTTGGTTGCCAGCCGGCTTCGCACGTGGGGTCGAGCTCATGCTTGTGAAGGGCAAATGCTTCCATGCGCGCGAACAGATAAGCGCTGTAGCTCTCGTGGAGGCACTGTGTCAATCTTTGCATCACGGCTTGAACAGTCACTTGTTCTAGGGACCTGGCGCCAGCGTGTCGATATGAGTGTATCTTAGCAGTGCCCGACCAGGATCAGGCGATACTTTCTGCGGTCAAGGACCACCGAATGGCGGGTCGAATGATGTAATCAGACCCCAGGAGACTAAAATCAGAACGAACCATGTTAGGTCAATGTCCCGACTTCCAAGAGCTTGGATGCGTGTACCGGTGCCGGCGCGGCATTCAGCTACAGTAGAATATCGCCTAGTTGCCTCGGCATAGATGCAACGTGGCAGACTTGACACTTTGTACTCCCCGGATCGAATACAGAGCAGGCAAGTCTCAAGACTTGTTGATACTGCACTTACGTGGCTCAGAAAGTTCTGCGTTAGCAGTAGAGAAAAGCGCGAACAGGGTCACAATGACCTTGGTCCAGCCGTTCGTGAGGCTGATTGATGGTGTTTCGCTTATACTGGCCAAGCTCTGCACCTTACCGGAAGTGGTGATTTTTCGGAGTGGGGCAAGTGGTTGCCTTTTTTAGTAACGAACGGGCCTGCTATACTGGCACCACTAGCATCAACAACACTTAGCCCTCAACATTAGCAGTATATACAAGTTTCATGAAGGAGGCTAACCTGCAAGATTGCTACACTGGCTGTATCGAAGCGACCTCGAGTGACCTCATCCAAAGATCGGCCCCCGCAAGGGGAGATTAAGTCGCAATGATCAAGCTGCGTCGGAACCTATATCAACCATTCTATCCCTTTGAGAAAAGGTCACAAGTACTATGTTTCTGCAATTTCCCTCGCCCGCGAGCGTGAACAGTCTGCACCATGCTCTTTTCAATTTCCACTCTCACGCTGCTTGCTGGCTTTGCCTGCGCACAGTTTCCTGTTGAGCCCAGTGACGTGGCGGTAGTCACGTCAGAACTGAATTCTGAAGTTCAAATCACGTATAAAGAGGTGGTACGTAAGCGTTGTGACTCAGTCGACAGCCTTCTAATCCCGGTACACAGCCCGGGGAAATTTGCGAGACTACGCCTGGGGTTAGAACGTTCTCGGGATATGTGCATCTTCCACAGAGTGTCTTGACCGACCTGGCCGTTACATTCGACATTCATACATACTTTATCTACTTCGAGGCACGCAACAATGCAGATAATGCACCACTGGTCATCTATCTGGCAGGGGGGCCCGGTGAGAGCTCTATATTCACTGCCTTCAATAGTGAAGGAGGGCCCTGCTACGTGAGCTTCGATATGACCGAGACGGTCCTGAATCCATGGTCTCTGAACAATGACGCGAACGTTCTATACATCGATCAGCCTGTCGGCGCCGGATTCTCCTATACGTCTTTGGTCAACGGTACATACAACATGAGTTCGAACGAGATCACACCTTTGGATGTCTATGATGGGGAGGTTCCTCCAGATGGGGCGGATTTTGGCAGGGGCACCTATTCTAATCCGGAGATTTGGGCCACCACCAATACCTCTATCTCAACCGCGCGGGCTCTGTGGCACTTTGCCGAACACTGGCTGACTCAGTAAGTGCACTTCATATCCTATGCTCCAACCTGAAACGCCTGCTGATGCATAATGTCTTCTAGGTTTCCTGAGTACAAGTCCTCCAACAAGAATCTTGGGATATGGGGAAATTCCGTATGTGACGTTGAGGGTAGTGCATTCCGACAGAGATACTAATAGTTCCTAGGCTGGAGGATTCTGGGCCCCGACAAGTGCGGCGCACTTCGATCGAAAAATCAAGGAAGCTAGCAGTGATTCTTCATTGCGCGAGTGGACAATCGACAACGTTGGTATTACCAACGGCGCCGTCAACTTCGAAATTGACATGCCTTTCAATCCGGAATTCGTCTACAACAATACGTACGAGCCGCTCATCTCGGAAGAGATGTATAATGACGCCCTCGACGCTTTTACGCAAGAGGGCGGCTGTGCAGACCTGATCGCGCGGTGTCGAAGGGCTGCTGCACGAGGCGACCCTGACGGAACGGGGACCAATGAGACAGTGAACGAGATGTGCCGGGAAGCAAATGCTTTCTGCCTGATCAACGTTGGTAGCACAATTGCGGTCGCGAACGTGTCGGTTTTCGACATTGCCGCTGAGAAAAGACCCGATGGGAATGATGGGTGTCCATATTACTTCCCGGCAGCCCTCTACCTAAACTCAGAGCCGGTTCGGCAAGCCCTTGGAGTACCTCTGAACTTCACCTATATCTCCCAGGCTACGTTGGACGTCTACTCGACCAGCCTGCCAAGCAAAGCCGACGTTGGCACAGGAGATGCCTTCAGAGGAAACAAGAGCCACATCGAATACTTGCTGCAGAATGATGTCAAAGTTGCTTTGGTGTACGGAGATCGAGATTCCCGCTGCCCTTGGCTAGCTGGTGAAAACCTTGCGCTCGTTTTGGAACACGATTCTCAGGCAGAATATAACCAAGCTGGATACGAATTCATCGTCACCAACGACACCTATCAGGGCGGCGCTGTCAGACAATTCGGCGGGCTGAGCTTCTCGCGCGTCTTCCAGGCCGGTCATTCCACCAACGCTTACCAGCCCGAAACCGTCTATCGCATCTTCAACCGCACCCTTGGCGGCAAGGATGTAGCGACCGGGAACAAGGATGCCAGCAATGGTTATTCTACCGAAGGACCATCTAGCAGCTACGACTTCGTGCAACAGGAGCTGCCAGCAAAAGCGGACACTTGTATGGTGCTTGGCACGTTCGATGAGATTTCAGTTCTGGATGCGGCCGCATCGGCACAATCGCCAGCAGAGGGCGACGACGCGGAGGGCGGATCTGACAGCGACAGTGACAGCGATAGCGACAGCGGCTCTTCGTCCTTGTCTGTTAAAGCACAGCCGAATTGGCTCCTGGCTCTTTGGGCCTTGCTTGCCGCTGGTGGGATCCGCCTACTGGCTTAGCTGGATAGATTGGGGGAATGAATCTGTTGAAACCACGTCCCAAAGGTGCTCAATCTCCGGACGGCGAAACTGAAGGGTGGAACAATCACCTGCCCGGCTCGCGTACCTCCGAGTAGAGTAAGGTTTTACATTCAAGACAGTAATAGTAGTTCTTACAACACATTTAGGAGTTAACATTCCTTGCGGCCATGTCAGATTACGCCTTCCTTCGCCGACTGGTACTGCGTATTGCCAAGATTGACGGAAATGCACTTTCCGTCGTACCGGCCACCGCAGCACTTGGGCGCCGAACAGGGCGCAATCCCGCGCTGGGAATCATCATCTTTTGGTCACTGACCTCTCCCCTTTCATAAACATTACGCGTATATCACCGTCTGCTCTGGAAATCGATCAAGCTCTCCGATTCCACAGCGTTGCGCGCTCCAGCTGTCGGAAGCCTTATGCATTGAGTCACAACTGCTGTTGGTACGTAGCCAGGGCATCAAGGCATTATTTGAGCCTGAGGTTGAGGTGAGTCCTTGTGCCATCAACGGCCGCCTCCATGAGGTAGATCCGAGCTGTCTCTGCCCGTCGCCTCTATCTGATCGTCTCTTGTGCTCCTTGATCAATACAGTGAAGACGCATGCTTCAGTGGAAGATACCTTTTCATTCCGGCTGCATCTTTAAGGGCCTCGAGCACCAGGTTTCTGTCGCTGCCCTCGGATCTTGGCAGTGCCGCCATTCTCTTTCCGCTTCATGCGGCGTGACACCGGCAAGAAGTCTCCGCAGCTTCAGCACTTGCAACATGGAAAGTCCGAACAAGAGGAGGAGGCTAGCAGATGGGCGATCCACAGAGGCGTCAATTGGACGACAGCAGAGAGCTGCCTTTCTCAGCTCCATCTCCCGAGACATATCTCCACCGCCGTCGTCCCGTGCGCCGGATTCGAGTACCAAAGCTTCTACGTCGCTCACTACACCCTCTAGTGTTATCGATGCGAACGAATCGATGTCCAAAATGCAAGGAGCAGAGCGCAAGAGGACCAACGAAGGCGCTAACGGCACACCGCACCTCGTCGACTCGCCTTTCAAACTCACTACAATTCGCGACCTACCAGCCAGTAGCAATATAGATGCTGTCAGCCTTCATGATATCCTTGGTAACCCCCTCATCAAGGAGGCTTGGGTCTTCAACTTCTGTTTCGATATCGACTGGATGATGCAATGCTTCGATCCAGATGTCCGTTCTATGGTCCAGGTCAAGGTCATCCATGGATCTTGGAAGCGTGAGGATCCCAACAAGATCGCCATCGACGACGCATGTGAACGCTGGTCGAATGTTGATGCCGCCAGCGCCTATCTTCCAGATCCGTTCGGAACGCATCACAGCAAGATGTTCATCCTCTTCACACATGACAAGCAAGCAGAAGTCATCATACACACCGCCAATATGCTTCCAAAAGATTGGGCCAACATGACGCAAGCTGTGTGGCGATCTGGGCCACTGTTAAAATCGGACAACAAAACTCAAGACTTGGGTGAGATAGGCACAGGCGCAAGGTTCAAGTACGATCTGCTGCAGTATCTCAAGGCATACAAGAGATTGACGAAGAGTGTGGTGGAGCAATTGCAAAATTTCGACTTTAGTTCGGTCAGGGGTGCTCTGGTTGCGTCGGTCCCTTGCAAGATTGACAACACGCAAAGCAAAAGCACGGCTATGCAACACCTCTGGGGATATCCTCAGCTCAGGGAAGTCATCAGTCAGACCCAGCAAGAGAGGTCGACCGCCAGACCGCAGCCTTCGCAACCCCATCTTATCGCGCAAGTCTCGTCGATCGCAACTCTGCACAGCGATTGGCTTACGACTCTTGTCGAAGCCTTTAGCTGGGCTGGCGGCAAGCCCAAAAAGCTTCCTACGCTAGATATCATTTATCCGACTGCCATTAACGTCGCTGCTTCGCTCGATGGTTACGCTGCAGGTGGGTCAATCCATACAAAAGCCGAGTCTCCGGCACATCTCAAGCAGATCGAGAAGCTACGGCCTCACTTGGCGCAATGGACATCGGAGCCAAGCACGACTTTCAGAGCACTGCGGGATACTGCTGCCCCGCATATCAAGACCTATATCCAGTTCAATGCGAAGCCCACTGTGGACTCGCTAAGTAAGGATGAGGTCGCAATTGAGTGGGCACTGGTCACGAGTGCAAACCTGAGCACACAAGCATGGGGTAGTCTTCCAAGGAAGGAAGACAAGAGCAAGAGCAAAAGCAACTCTACAAAATCGGACCGCGTGAAGGAGGGTATGGTACACATCCAGAGTTTCGAGATTGGAGTGGTGGTCTGGCCAGAGCTCTTCTGCGAGGACAGTAGCGATCTCAGTGTGCGCATGGTTCCAGTGTTCGGCAAAGATTCTCCACATCAAGCTACTGACAACGGTACGAACACGTCCGAGATTGTCGTCGGTATAAGAATGCCGTACGATCTGCCTACGACTTCCTACAAGGCTGGAGAGTTGCCATGGTCGCCACATGGAACATATAAAGAGCCAGACTCAAAAGGCAAGACTTGGAACTGATCCTGTGACACTGATTCTCCACTGTCCTTCCGCAGGACTCGTATCGGTCTCACGTATCGAGCCGCGCTGACGACTTGGCGCGACAGCTCGACACTGTGCCTTCAACGGCCTGAAAGCGTCCACTACGCGGCGATCGTGCACAATTCAAGCTTTTACAACAACAGTTCTACTTGCCATACGTCTCCGTACTTAGGTCAAAGCACCCTAGCAGCTCTTCGCCCAGAATGCCGCGGCCTCAAAGCGACTTCATCGATAGTGACAGCCTGGATTCGCTGAAAACCTACAATAACTTCCAGGTAGTCAATCAGATATTCTTCCCTTGAAGACTTATTCAACGCCCACTTTCTCGTGGCTTCACAACTCAAGATTAGCTCTCCAATTTTCACAGTCGTCGACTGTGGGACCTTCTTTCGTGTTCTTCTCTACATCTACGCCGTACAAATTTATCGCGTAGCTGGAGGAGCAGGTTCATCTGTGGTCAAACAGGCCTCGAATTAGTTCATCATTCACTCAACGCTGAGTTACTTGTCAGTCCATCGTTTGAAGGCCTCAACCAGCTTCTCAGCTTCACCTGAACCTCATCGAGGCCCTGCCTGCTGCAACTACAAATTCTCTTCTTCAGACATCTTTGTTCCTCTTCTATCTACCACCCACCAAGACTTGTCCTTCTGCATTCCTCCTAGACCAACTCTACGACTATCATCCTCAAGACTTGGATCGACGAGTCGACGACCGACCACACATCGCATTTATTGGCCTCGTTTTCCTGCCGCAACCTCGGCCAACCCCCGGGGACTTTAATTGCCCCATATCTCCACCGACAATGGCGTCGATCACCGCCGATCAGGGCACGGAGATGCTTAGAGGCGGCGATTTTGCCGATTGCTCCATCATCTGCTCTGGCTACACGTTCTCTGTTCACAAGGCAATCATTGTGAAGAAGTCAAAGTTCTTCAAAACCTGTGTGAGCGGTAAATTCAAGGTTGGTGCATATTTCAACAGTCCGAGTGAACAGTATAATTGACGGTCATAGGAATCTAAATTAGGCAGTGTCGAGCTCGCAGATGAGGCGCCGTATGCTGTCGCCATTATGCTGGTCTACATCTACTGCGGAATGCCACAAATGACCTGCGGCCACGCAAGAGATACCAACCGAGATGTCAAAGACGTCTGGCCATCACTGGGCTGGTTGGCTGACGAGGCTGAGGATTACGTTGAATTCACGATCCAGTGCACGGCTCGAGTGTATAAATCAGCCGACCGTCTCATGATCGAAGATCTTCACAAGCACTGTCAAGAGCTGCTTCTGAGTCTCGGTGACCCTCTGGGCGTTGCTTGGTCTGTTCCAGATGAGTCTGGGAACCCGGACCAGAGGTTCCACATACACTACTCAAGCTCCTAACCGTTGTCTATGCTGTCTGATGACCAAGACCTTCGCATGCGCGTCATCCGCATGGCGTTTGACTTTTGCTATTGGCAAAGTCGATTTCCGGAGCTTCTGGACAGCGTTGAAGCCTTGGCAAAGGACAATGATCCATATGACTGGGAGCTAGTCAAGCACTGTCGGGGCAATGATATCGCCAGATGTCAATATGCACGGTTTGCAGAAACAGTGGACGCTCAGCACAACAACGGTTGGGGCGAGGCACCGAATAAGCGCGACCTGTGGCGTCGTACGGAGAAGTACTAAGAACAGGAGCTGTGCATGCCCGACGGTTTTGACCAGGTGATCGCAGTCGCTGCGAGGGCATCCGATTGCCTCCACAGGTTTGATTCGATACACAAGCCTCGTGGTCGTCATGGGAGTGAGATTGATCTTCAAGGTCCTAATACCTGGCAATCTACTTGCCTCATTATCGACACCGTCTATCAACACCATGCTTCGTCCACCCCAGAGCTGCCAGTTACCCCCCCTTCTATCTATCAGAAGGAATCAAAACTTTTCCCACGATCACCGCAACTCCCGCTGTCAATACTTCACGCCCCAGATCCGGCTTGGTCATCAATCGCAAACGTTGAGCTGAGCTTCTGCACGACGTGCTTCGTTAGCGCTGCATAGCGGCAGATCTTCGACTTGGCTGACAGCAACTTGATTGGCTTAGATATTGACTTATTGAAGAAGTTGACATGCTGCTTATGGTAACTCAAAGCTTTCAGCGACCGCGAGGCTGACATTATGCTAGCGTTGTTTGCGTCGATGTGGCATACATCTTGCCGCTTCTGGTAACGGTAGCTTTCACCGACGCCGTAGAGGTTAGAACACGGAAGATACGACGTGTGGCGCACAATCTGCTGCAGCAAGTCGAAGAATTTTGTGTGCGGTACTCGGATCACAAATGGAAGCAAGGTTATGGAAATATAGTGGTGTAGGAGTGATCAGTGATCAATATTCGCTATTTGGGTATTCTTTAGAATCGTACATTCAGCAATCACATCGCTATCATGCTCGCATAATCAGCGCCTCATTGGGCCACTGTTCTCAATCCGTGGAATGAATGAAGAACGAAAGATTTCATCCACAATCCTTGTAACGCCGTATGTCTGGTCGCTTTTCTCGTACGCCGTGATTATCCTAAAACTCAAGCCGCACCTGCAGTAGCGACATTCTGCACAACCTTGGTAGGCTGCAAACCGGCCCGGACAATGCGATCGCCGCTCGCGTCACGGATGACCTCACCCTTCGCCTCCATCTGGCTGCGCTTCCAGATTTCGACCTCACAACCACCGCGGATGACGCCCACACGCATTGTCGACAGAAGATTGTGTGCGGCATTGCTGTGCATGTAGACACCACCGTTGAACATGGCAGTAGCATCCTTGCCGAGCCCGGAACTGATCATGGCCTTGCCACCGGGATGGTCCTTGATGAAGTTGCTAACGTCATGAACAACACCAGCAACGGCAACCAAAGCCCGGCCATTCTTGGCCTGGTCAACATAGTCATCCCACTCCATAACGGGAAGTTGGTCGAGAGGCACACCCCAGTCAAGCTTCGAACGCTTCTGATCAAGCTTCTTCTGGAGCTGCTGAACACGACCCTTCTCAATCTCGTTGGCACGGAACTGCTTCAGATCGTAGGCAAGGCCGATCTGTTTGCAGGTCCAGATGAACCACTTGGTGGGGTCATACTGGTGCCACTCGATGGCGTTGCGGTAATCGGAAGGGAACTCGTGGTGGAAATTGTGGTAGCCTTCACCTAGAGTGACGAGAGCGGTGATGACATGGTCGCGAGGAGAGTTGCGGTCATCAAAAGGTTGGTCACCGAGCCAGTGGGCAAGAGAGTTGACACAGAAGGTGGCCTGCTGGACAAAGAAGATGCGGAGAATGCCAGCATAAACGTAGCCGCCCATCCAGTCACCCCAGCCGAGACCGGCGACGACAGTAGGGAAGACCAGTCCCATCAGAACAACAACTTTGATGTAGTGGCGGTGCTGGAGGACAACAACTGGGTCTTCGTTGAGATCCGAGATATCAGTGCGGCCAATACGCTTGGGGTTTTGCTTCATCACCATCCAACCGAGATGAGAATAAAGGAGACCCTTGCGAACGGAGTAGGGGTCCTTGTCGGTGTCGGTGTAGCGATGGTGGGCACGATGATCACGAGACCACCAACGAATCGAGCCCTCGACGGCGCCGCCACCAACCGCAGCAAGGAAGATTCGGAGAGGAAGAGTGGCTGAATACGAAGTGTGTGCCCATAGTCTGTGATAGCCAGCGGTGATACCGAGGCCGGTGGCGAAATAATAGGTGACAGCAAAGATGGCAGTCTTCAGCTGCAGAGGTGTGTACCAGGCGAGCACGCAGCCAAAAAGAGGAATACCAACGATGAACGTGACATTCAGCCAGTTGACGTGCTTGTACCAGTTTGACCGAGTGAGAGGGGTCTCAGTGATGTGAACCTTCCGGGGATCGTACTTCGTGTTTCGGTTGGGCTCTGACGGCTTAGCCATACCAGATGGCTGGGAAGAGAGGTATTCGGGCTTGACGGCGAGGTCGCCAGAGGCGTTCTGGGACGACGGCATAGTGTTGGAACTGTAGGTAAAGAAGAGTGTGTGGTAAGGAAAATGCAGAGAAGTGGCGGAGCAGAGCTGGACAGATATATGTCTATGCTTGGCTAACGAAGAAGTGTTGGGTGGAAATGTGGGGTGGTAGTATCAAAAAATGAATTGCCGCAGGAGAATCTGACCACCTAATCCTGCCTTTACTCCGGAGCCTCAGGGCACAGGCAGAGGCACGTTCGATGTGGGCTGGACCTTCCGATCAACAAATCAGAGTTCCATGTCAGTAAAGCATCTACGATTTCTTTTCGCAGAGAAGTTTCGCAGGCACCTCGGCAATGTGAGGAATCGTTGAGGAAGTTTGCCCCAACAATCGGGCGGCGCAAGGGTGACGTTACCGCTAAGGGGAAGGCCAGGGTCCCTGAGTGATAAAATTCATCCGACTGGCTACAGAAGCCTCAGGAACGCACTAGACGTTGTCTAACCAAAGAAATCGAGTCCCTGAATCTTGGTCCCCGAGCTCTCTTCCCCACATCATTGATCGATACGAGACATTCAACCGTGCCATCTCGCTGAAGGCGAGCTGGGCGGTGTCGAGGGCCGGGTACTCGTGATCTTGAGGCAACACGGTTTTCTTCACGTCATCGAAGCAACATCTCTGTCACCTTGTGGCACGCTGGGATGATGATAGACGATTGTCACATATGTCTGCATGAAACAGATCGAGCCGCGCGGCAGTTTATCGATTGAAAATGTTGGGGGGAGGCTCAGGTCCGCTGAGGCGGCGGATCCACCTCCCGGAGAGCGGTACATTCCAGGCCTGCTGGGATGCGTCGTATTTCGTATCAGCCAACGCTCCACTCGTCTTTGGCCCAGCTGCAGGTCGGACAAGGCAACATCATGGGGCTGCACACACTACACGCGGCACAGTATCAAAGCTAACGCGCGATCTCGTGCTCTCTTCTCTTCGAATCTCACATGTTCACTTGATCGATGCTGTAGATGCTCGCTCAGCACGGCGAGGAAGACAACGGGTCCTGCACATGCTTTTTTTGTTGAGAAAGGATGCATTTCATACCATCATAGACAGTATCTCGACGGACCAATACGCCTCGGCTTAGCAGCCACATGCTGTCGTGCTTTCGTGTCTACCACGGTATAGCCTGTGGTCCCGTCTCTTGACCCATTGTACCTTCACGCTTGAGTGGATGTTGCTCTTGCAGTTCACGCGCAGCTTCGCCTGCGTCTCCACCAGACCTCTGCCATCTTTTGTGAAGTTTACGTGCAGCATATTTCCCAACGCCCCAGACGGTCGCCGCGATGATACTAGCACCTATTGTGGGCGGAGCTGCGATCCATGCCACGCCAGTGACAGCACCCCCAAAAGCAGTGGCGCCGATCGCTGCAGCAATGGCACCAACCGCGGCATACTTGGCCCAGCGGACGATGCGCCAGAAGATGAATTGAGTGATGTACCGGAAAGTGCGTAGAAACGCCCGTGTTCGTAGTCGCGCTGGTCGGTCGGCCGCCCCTGGGTCAATGAGGTATTTGAAATTGCGTCGCGCATTGATGAGCGCCGTATTACCCTGTTGCTGGATCGCAACATCATCGCTGCTGTCGTCGATAGGCGCGCCTCTTGAAGGCGCCATAGTTCTCGGGGTTGTCTGGTTGTACTGCGATTGCGAAGATTGGAAGTGCACCGCAGCCAACCGTCACCGGTCGTTGGGGGATCGGCGAGAATTTCTCCAACGCTTGGCATTACTTCCTTCATCATCCGAATTCCAAAGGAATCACTTCTGCTGCGAGCCTATGAACATTAACACCGATGGGCAATAGTGAAAGTATAGACCGCTTCAGAGGCGAGCTCTAAGCCAAGAGTACCAAGAGTACCTTACGAACGGTAGTAAGCTCCAGTACATATGCCAGACTCGCGAGTTCCGTGTGCCAAGCTTTCACTGCCTGAATCGAACTCAAGCCTTCTTCTACCGGCCGCGTTTGGCTTCGTCAATTGGATTGAATGCTTCTTCGTGAGCCACTTCTGGCGCAGTCAAGAACCTGTGGACCTGGAGGACGAGTATCTACGCCGCGTCCAGTCGGACTCCCAGGTATACTCTGTATTCAACGCTGACGAAGATATACAGGAGGTTGGGAAGGGCTTTGGAATACTTCAGTCGAATAGAACATAAGATAGAATAACCACAATCTTTTTCGCAATCGACCACAGGCTGTGGAACATAGGCCTTCCCGTCCGCTCAGGCAACTCAAACCACAGGCCGAACAGTTAGTAGTTGAGTGGGTGACCATCAGCGAATCCTGTTTGTTGATTGTTTTTGATTTTTTTTGGGGCCTGCTTGCTATGTGGGTCGTGGTAGGAGCAGATATTGAATAAATTCCAGCACCGGCTAGCATCGTGATAGGAAAGAATATCATCAATGTCAAGCACTGCTCAGACAAGTGGCTCGTGCTTTGCCTTCCACGGTGTCAAGATTAGACTCATGGAAGATCGAAGCCAAGTTAGGTACACGGCCAGACACCATCAAGGCCAGAATCCGGTAGGCAGTCTGAACACTACTGGTCAGGTAACATAGCTGGTCGGAAAACTCGAGCTCCTCAACGGGCTAGTTGTCCTTGGAAGCTTGCAGAAGATGAGCATCCCGTCTGATATTCTTGATCAAATACATGGCGCGGGCGCCCCGTTGAGTCCTGCACGTGGCTACAGGCCGAGATGGCGCAGTGAGCGCATATATCACATCTATCATCAGTCGTCCTACAAGGCTTAGTCTCCTCCTCGATCCTAAGGTCACTCAGTGTAGACGCGTCTATCGCATCCTCCTCTAGTAGATCTTAGTTCAGGCCCAAGTCATCGTAGAAAGCCTTGGTGTCAGGCTCGCGGCCGAGGAAATTCTTCAACGTCTCCATCTCATCCTGGCTGCCGCCTTTCTCCAGCACAGTGTATCGGTACCGTCGGCCTTCCTTGGGGTCCATAGGGTCCTTCTTGAAGACAGAGTAGAACATGTCGGTGGAGTAGACTTGAGAGGAGAGATAGCCGTAATAGCCTGCATTTCGTTAGCTCTGGCCATTCAAACAAACCGAAAGACTTACCAGCATCATAGCCACCCATCAGATGTCCGAAGGTAGCTTGACCGTTGCCCCATTTATTGCCATCACCCAAGGCCTCAGGGCCCTCAATCTTGCTGATATCGTGACGCAAGCTGTTGTACAGATCGGTCATGTCCATCTTCTCAATAGTGGCGTGGTCCTTCGGCTCGTGTATGGCCATGTCAAAGGTACCGAAGTGGAGTTGTCGGAGGTTGAATAGAGCACCGTTCATGTTCTTGGTCTTGATCAACTTCTCAATGAGGTCATCTGGTAGGCGCTCTTCCGGCTTTTCAGTATGATTTGATGATGCCTCCTTCCATGATTTGTAGTACTCGGGCGAAAGAGCGGAGTAGTGTTTGCTGAGAGCTTTTAGCTGGGACGGCGTCCAACACCAATTCTCGAGCATTTGTGACGGGGCCTCGACGAAGTCTCGAACAGTATTAGTGCCGTGGAAACGAGAGTAAGTTGTCCGCGAGACGAGATCGTGAATACCGTGGCCTAACTCATGGAACAGAGTTGTCACTTCGTCGTGCTTAAGAAGGCTAGGCTTCTGCGCGGTTGGCTTAGAGAAATTGCAAACCAGTGCGGTTGCAGGGTAGCGTCGAGTACCGTTCTCGGTGATGAAGCCGGGCTGAAGGTTGAAGTTGGCTGCGTGTCCATATTTGCCGTCACGCGGAAACAGATCGAGATAGAGGTAGCCAACGAAGCCGCTTCCCTCACCTTCGTCGTCCCACACGCTGAAGACCTGTACCTCGGGGTGCCAAACGATGTCGTCTCCCTTTCCGGACGGCGAGATGGCGTCACGGTCCTCACCAACCACCTCCACAAACGACAGACCAAACAGGTGTTCGAAGATCTCTAGCATACCTCGGATCGATGTCTGCAACGGGAAGTATTCGGAGATGAGTTGCTGGTCTAGCTGATAATCCTTCTCCTCCATGAGACGATCGTAGAAGCGATGATCCCACAGAAAGTAGTGGTCATCAAATTTCTCGTCCCGTGACTCAACATCCTCTTTCTTCATCTTCTTCAGCACCTCGATTTCATCAAGGCCACCCTGAGCCAACCTCTTGCGCAAATCAGCCAGGAAATCATCGACCGTCTTGGTCGTTTTTGCCATCTTATCTTCAATCCTGAAAGCAGCGTGGTTGGGATAGCCCAGCAGTCGGGCAGCCTCATCTCGGAGAACAATTGCCTCTTGGAAAAGAGGCACATTCTGGTTGCACTTGTTCTCGTTGCCGATGAATATCTTCTTGCGCACTTCAGGGTTCTGGACGTACTTCAGAGCTGGGAACAGATCTGGGTACTTGTAGCTTAGAAAGTACTTGCCATCCTTTTCCTTCAGGGTTGACAGCACATCACTCGGAAGACCGTCTAGCTCTTCCTTGCTCAACCAATTCCCTCCTTTCTCCTCGTTCAGGTTCTTGGAGAAAGCAATCGACAGCTCAGACAGCCTCTTCTTGATCTCCTTGAAGCGGTCGCGCTTGGGTCCTGCGGGAATATTCAGGCCATTGCGGACATAACCTTTGTGATCTTTCTCCAGGAATCGTTTCGACTCGGGGTCCAACGGGTCGCCTTTCTTAAGTACGGCATCCACGAGCTTGAAAACATCCTCACGCATGCTAGCCTCGATATATGCATCATCCATGAGTTTCTCAGCCTCGGTGGAAGCGTCCCGCAGTTCTTGGTCGGTGGAAACGGATTGGTAGAAACCTAGAATATGGGTCGACAAAGTCTGCTGGTCATCATCACGAGCCATAGGTAGGAGCACGTTCTTGAAGGTAGCGTCTTTGTCGGAGACCTGCGCTACGATGTCGTCGGTAAGCTTCTTGGACTTAGCCAGGATTGATTTGGTGTCCTCCAGTACAGACTGCGGAGTAGCAGTAAACACGGGTGGAGCTTGCGGGGGCTTCTTGAATGCAGCCATGGCTGAGGTAGAGACGGGTCGGAAGGGCGACGCTGACGAGGGAAGAACGGTCTGGACGGGTCGGAACTGGCCTAGGAGAGAGCCCAGCCGTGAGGGTGCTCGAAACGGAGCCAGAGTGACGAAGAAGACAAGGGAGAAGAGGATAAAGGTAAGGAAGATGAGGGACCTTGACAGCGCCAGGATGGAGTCAATGACAGTAGAAAATTCTTTGGAGGAGGAGAGATGTGATGAAGTCAGCTGGAGCCTGATGATATGGTCCAAGCTACGGTTGTTACTGACACTCGTTAATGTCTCGGGGTTCTAGATGTGGAGAGCAAGGCTGACCTGCCCGCCCGCGCCGAGCCCGAGCGCGGGGCGGGGCGGACATGTGTAAGCTTGCCCCCAATTCTGACATTCTTCCATTAGACCAGCAACCTATTCAGCCCCTTTCGCAGTCCGTCCGAGCCGGATCTTCCCTGAGCAGTTATCCGCTGTGTCGTGACATATTCAAGCAACGATGCTTGATGGCCGTTCGTCAGGACCTTCAAGCTGCTGACCGGGAAAGGGCCCAGTGCATAGCCTCATCCCATGATCATTCTCGATCATCTTCAACCCTTCTGAGGCCCTCTCAGCCGTATCAGGCGGTATAGGCCGATAACATCCACCTCAGCAGCTCGGTTCTGACCTCAACTTGGGACGGGGGAGGCAGAGGTTGAAGCTCGAACCATACCTGGCTGTCCCCATTCCGATAGCCACCGTTGTGTGGCTCATGAACAGCCTTAGAATCTGGGTGGGCCGCTTGCCACATACAAGCTGAATTCAGTGAAGAGCGTTGTAATCATGCACCCGTAAAGCCTTGTCAGCCCACTTTCCTGCCAACATTGCCAACGCCTGTTCCAACAACACTAACAATCAGATCTCCGCTCTTGTCTTCTCCCGCTTCTCTGAAACCCCAGCCAGGCGCGCCGAAGGCATTGAGATCCCTCGCGAGCTGTATAACGTTCTCGTTCGCAATCACATCCTTGCCAAATTGCACACGGCCAACATCTTCTGAGCCCATGGCCATGAGTATTAGCACAATAGTTGCGGCCTCAGAACTGACACATCCGCCTTTCTCAACGCTCTCGAGCAGCTTGAAAGCGCACGCACGTCCTATGTCCTCGGGAGGCTGGCCGCCCTCCGGCGGAGATGCTGCATCTGCGGAAAAGAGGCATCCACTTGTGCTCTCAGCCACCAGACTCAAACCAAAACCGAGGCCAATCTTCTTCTTTGCAGCAGAATTGTTTCTCTCCGGAGCTGTGATCACAGTCGCTGGACTCATGTCCGAAAAGATGTAGATGTCGCTGACGAATGGGTTCAACACGCCTCTTGCGGCTTCGATGCTCCGGGCATTGTTGCTGCCGCTCACGCCGGTCGCGTATGCGACACCTCGGATCTTCTTTATTCTTCCTGGACTGAGCAGATGTATCGTTTTTGGCAAACGCACTTGGTGGCCGAATACAAGTTGTACTTCGCCTCCACCGCCTGAACCCCTTGGGCCGGGATTAGATCGCTTGAGGACTCGTATCTCCAGATCGCGCTCGATACCGAATTTCTCGAATAGAGGCAGAATTGCAGTCCGTACAGAGTCGACGCTCATATCGCCCCATTTCTCGACCGACGATGTGATTACCCCTTGTCCAGTGAAAAGCACATTGAACTTGGTTTTGGAAAAGGGCGCCAGTAGGCAAAGTGGTAGCAGGTAGTAGCTTAATCCTCTGCTATTGTTGGAAGCCAGCTCATGCCTTATCACACCTGCCGCGTTTGCGCCGGACCCCGAAGCTGAGCCAGTAATGAGACCGGGTTTGTAGAGGAGGACTGTGCCGGTATAGGATATTTCCATTTGAGAGCCATTTGTCACAGCCTCAATTAGGCGAAGCAGTGAGATCTCCGAGGGTGAGAGACCTGGATTTGTCGGACTTGAAGGACGAATCTGGGAAATGTGTATGGCGCGGCCGAGGAGAGTCGAGAGGACGAGCCGAAGAGGAAGAGAATGGTGGGATGTGAAGCGCAGCGGGGGCTGTTGAGTGCTCATGATTTTGAGAATTTTTGACCTGGCGACTCTACCGGTTCATTGCGACACCGTAGGACTGTAATCTCGCAGACGACGTCAAGGTCAAGTCGCAGATTCGAAGTGAATCAACTTTTTTCCCCGCATGAAAGGCTCAGCCTTGCCAAGCCAAATGACAGCCTCGTTTTTCAGGCAGTGAATGCATTTGAACTACTAGCTTGCCGACCAGGTACCATGGTCTAGGTTGTCCTCGAGCCTTCCCAATGCCGTGCGGTTCTTGAAGTACGTGCTGGAGGGTTTTGATTGACTACCTTCTTCCTCACATATCTCTCGGCAAAGATGATGGCATGTTCGGCGACCTCCGCAACCTCCGCACCAGCGATCCAGCTTCAGAGCGGGCTAGATGTCAAGCATGGGATGATATGTAAATATATAGAACCCGTGAGCTCGGTACAGTGATTGCTTCTTCTTTGTAGCATCAACAGCCGCATCGTCATTGCACCATGAAGCTCCATTCCCTCCTTGTAGCCTCTCCTCTGCCAGGCCTGGTCTGGGCTCAAGGTCAATTCAACTACATTGGCACTTCCTCATCTGAATGTCACGCCATCAATGCAACCCAGGCAGGCACCGTCGTTCAAGCCGCAGCTCTCGAACCAGCCAACATATCTATCCCTGTCAATATAGCAATCACAGATCCATCTGGCCTGGTCCAATCGCGTTGAAACCCATGCCTTACCCTCGATGCGGACATACCTAGCTCGTTGCATTCCTAAGGACAGAGAATGTTTTTTCGGGGTCCATTGATATATCGCAGAACAAGGCTCGGACAGTCTCGCTCTTGAACGGCGCTTTCACCATCGAGACTCTGTACAACAACTTACCCGGTGCGTCACTGTGCCGGATCGAGGAAACCTGCGGCGGGTTGGCTGTCTTTGGAGGTGGCTTGCCGATTTCATCCACGGTTTATTCGTCGGAGCGATTGGGGTCAGTGGTAGGTCAACCGATCAAGACGTACAGATAGCGACAGCTGGTGTATAGGCCATTGGTATTATCTCGGGTAGCCCATGAACAATATTATCAGGGGATTCGTATATAGTAAAAGTCCACGATATGTCCTTGTTAGCGTCAATCCAACGTCGCTTCTTGAACAAGGTGCACATCCCGCCAGCTCCGGTCGATCTTGTTATCGTCCAGATCCGCTTTCCAGACCTGTCTTCACATTAGCGCTGTCGAGCAGAGTCGTGAAACCACTGACCTTGAGCGTCTACGCCGTTCTGTCGTTGGAAGTGGCAACGAGATACCTTACCGGGAGCAAGAAGTAGACCTTCCACCCACCCCGCCCTTCTGGTCCGATAGACACCATCTTCCACACCCAGTCATAGCCGGACTTCGTCTCCAACACATTCCTCACCCGCGGCATCATAGCCACATCCCCCAGCTCCGGAGACCCCAGCTGCGCACGCACATCACACGTCCACCCCTTCTGCCACGGACAGAAAGTCACGCTCCTCAACCTCTGGAACGCTCCCGTGCCCACCACCCAACCCTCGCGACTCGTCTCAAACACAGTCACCTGCACGTGCTTCACCGAAGCCGTCGCCATCAACTGGCGCATGCGCGCCTCAAACAGCTGCCACGCGCTCAAGCAATGCACCTCCCACAGCGCCTCGGCCACAAAGCCGCGCTGTGCGTCCTGACGGACGGGCTTCAACACTGCCGCGTCCTTCCCACCTGCCTTACTCAGCTCCAGCACCCAGTGGTGTTCCGCGCGATACCGACCAGTTTTGTTGCTGGGACAGTAGCAGCCCGAGCGGCAGGTGACGGCAACGCGGTTGCCGTGAAAGGCATAGTGATAGATCAGTTGGCGGATCTCAGGCGGTAATGTAAGGAGCTTGGCGGTGATGGGCGCGAGGCGTGGGTCGCGGTCCGAGGGGGGCATGAACGGCAAGGGCGAGCGGCGGATGAGCGTGTGTGAGTAGTAGGTTGCCTCGGCCGTGGCGGTTTCGGCCATCACCCTTCAGTCACGAAGGAAGATCCGGACTACACCAAATCTGTCGTTGATGTCTTTGCGGATTTTGTCTTGCATTGCTGTGCCGAATCGGGTTCATTAGATATCATTTGCCGACCGTGGGCACCAACAGTCTCACCTTCTGGAAGCCATATCCGCAGAGAGGGCCAAACAGACGATGGACGCGAGGCCTACCCATCCTGGATTGTATCGAGAGATAAGTTGCCATTTGGAAATCCTTCATCCAGAATCACTCATGATCTTCACGGAAACTCCTTTGTTGATGGAAGCCGAAAACGCGTGTACAACGCTCATCGAGGAACCAAACCTCAGGTCTCAGTTGGCACAAGTGCAAATGGCACCTGCGATGGTTCCCTCCGGGCAAATGGTTTCGTTATTGGCAGCATAGATCGAAGATCCACCAGATTAGCGAGCGCTATCATCACGCAAGAATGCTTGCAGATCATTTGCAAGAACATCCGGAAGCCGCACTTCCGTGTTATCGACATCCCAGATGTTCTTTGGCGGACTGTCTGCGCCAATCGTAATGAGAGCGGCAATCCAGCACCACGAATATATCAAACAGCCATGTACCATCTCTTTCTCATCACATCATCGATCTCAGGCCTGAATGAGAAATCCGACGTCCTCGACTTGGTATCGGACATCGATATCGAAGAGATTTTGGACACGAATCTTCCTGGTCACGTCAGGGACTTCTTGATAGTCGTCCGAGGCGTATTCTGGAATCGCCGAACTTTTCAGTCTAGCCTGCACAACACCTCAACAACGCCTTTGGTAGGTCTTGCGCCTCATCACGCAAGGATAGGTGATCAGATCTGCATCCTGTACGGCTGCAGCGTGCCTGTGGTGCTTCGAGCGCTTCCGGACTCTGGCAATGACACCCACAGGCAACTCATTGGCGATGCTTACGTCTATGGGGCCATGGATGGCGAAATGGTGGAATCTAGCTTAGGAGAAGATGCATGCTTCACGCCTGTTGAGTTCATCATCAGATGACCGCCTCAAGATCGTCAGGCTCAATTCTTGACCGCCGTTGCGCGATCGTGGTGGAGAGTCCGCCCACAGCTTTTACCAAAATCGACATCATCATCATCATAAGTCACGAAACATCGAACGAGGTGCCCTTCTCATGGGAGGAAATGCCTGCTGAAATCACAACCCGCCGGCCAGAGAACTGGTAACGCGTTGATTGGCTGCCATCGAGGTTACCAAAATAGGAAGTTCTCTCGCAGTGGAAGGTCCAAGCCGCACACTTGTTCCACCCGGTGAGACATGGCTCCGGACCAGCTTCCAAGAGTGGGTTGAGGACACAATTCTATGATACCAAGTTGACGATGTGGATGCTCTGCTTGCAAAAGCGCCTCGTCGTTGTCTACAACGAATCAGCCCGTATTGATATACCCGCTTCTGTGCCAAGAAGACCGTACTGCTGCAGTGCCGCGCATGTCGAGGTAACATGTGGCTACAATGAGAATTTTGACATACTCGAAAGGTAGTGATTTACAGGGTGGGTTCGGACTTATCGCTTGAAATGCTAGGTGCGGGGTTACAATGACCGAGGGCTTTGGTCACGACGTACGCTCATACTCATATATTGGGGAAAACTCAAGGCTGCCTCAATCAAAGACATGTTCACAGAGCCAACGCCCGTCCAGCGATTTCATACTTCTGTTCACCAACTGTCTTCGTTCACCATGGCCGATGACAGTACGCCACATCACCCACACATCCATCCCTTCATGCCAGAGACTGATCAGATACAGAGGACGTCCCCCTCAAATTCGCGCTCCTCGTCTTCCCCCAATTCGAGCCTCTTGACGCCTTCGGTCCCACCGAAGCAATCCACGGCCTGTCTCGATGGCCCACCTTCCCCTACAGAGACCAGATCGAATTGACCATCATCGGCCCCTCCCTAGATCCTGTGTCTACGGGGCCGATTCTCGAAGACCCAAAGCCATTCAATTCTCGCATCGCGCAAACAATCGTGCCCACGCACACCTTCGACAACCCGCCAGAAGGGATTGATGTGCTGATCGTGCCGGGAGGGTTTGGCGCTGGCCCGTATACCTTCAGCGGTTTCAAGCCGAACGTGGATCCGGAAATCCAGTTCATTAGGGAATGGTATCCGAAGATCAAGCATCTCTTGAGTGAGTAGTCCCTCAACCCGTCAGCCGTGATGGAAAGACTGAATTTTCGGACAGCCGTGTGCACGGGAGCCGGCATCGCTGCCCGAGCTGGCGTTTTGGACGGGCAGCAGGCGACGACGAATAAAGTGGCTTGGTCAACGCAGACGCCGCTAGGTCCGAAAACGCACTGGGTTGCGAAAGCCAGGTAAGCGTGCTCGTTCTTCGCGATGGCTGTGGAGAAGACTGACCGCAGGACTGTAGATGGGTTGTGAGCGACGGCGGAAAGCTGTGGACTGCCTCTGGTGTTTCCGCTGGCATGGATGGCTTCCTGGCACTGGTTGACCAGATCTATGGCAAGGACGAGAGGGGTATGTCGTACGCAGATGCGGTCAGCGATGGCATGGAGTACTCCAGGATCAAGGACAGCGGGGATGATCCATTCGCGGTGAAGAACAGCGTGCAGGATGTATTTCCTCAAGCGTAGATCCAGTGGACACGCTGGATTCGTCGGCCGTTCTATTGGACCTGATCGACCAGCATGGAGCTGATGATGTTGCCCAGTCGTACACCTTGTGGGTTCTCGACTGTGAGACACTGCAGCTCGCCTGGGCTTGAAAGGCTTTGTACGGTAATGCTCAAAAGTTTGCACTGCCGGTGGAAGACGTGCATGCTCATCCATGAGGGTACCGAGCTGCAGTCAGTCAACGGGAATTGCATAACTTCAGCGATGCGCTGTTTGAAGTGCGGGATCAGCATGGTGTAAACAGAGCTGGCAGTTGCTACCACCCCGTATATCTCGTCAGGGTATTCAATAGCGGTTTCGCGAACAGAACTGGTGGTGTTGTCACAATCATCTTCGAAGTCGTTGTAGGCAGAGCTGAGATCAGGTTTCTGGCTGGGCCCCGATAGTAAGGGGTTCAGCCTTGTAGACGGTGAAGTCGGCCATTTGTTCCCCTGTTGATCCGCTTTTGCGCTCTGGTACGTGACCAGGCGGAGTGTGGTAGAGGATTTGACTAAAGCATCCCATCGGCGACAGACTTGTTGAGACCGCACGAGACTTAGTTGATTAAGATTCTGGAGAACGTTTTCCAGTAGTTCTGTGGGAAGCTGTTCCATTTTTTTGCTGTTATATTCCTTGTTCGGCCAATGCTTCAAGGCTGGGGGCAAGGCGCTGGAGATCAGAGGTCAAGTAAGAGTCAGAATAGGAAGGCAGATTATATACACGGCCAGGTCGGCTGTGGAGGTGATACACGGAGACTGGCTGGGCTCTGCAATTGCGTCGGGTCCATTGCAGCAATTCCTGTGTCGTCAACGGATCGCTAAACAATCCGAGCCGTCTCAGCATGGCTGCTCGTTTCGAGGCTAGATCGCTCCTTCAGCGTTGAGCGTCACAATTCAACAACATCGCTTTTTTTCTCCTCGTTATCACTCTAGATAGTTGTGATCGACGGCAAGATTGACGACCAGCCTGTTAATGGACGGATGACGGTATTGTCGCCACAGCTTCGGAACATCCCCCACGACTCCACAAGAGCTTGTCGGTTTGAGCGGCCTAGCAGAGCTTGCGGAAGTCCCAGTGCGTGTGGAGAATATGCAAAAGTGACGTTCGCGTGACCAGCCACGGAATATTCCTTCCAGCCCAATGTCGATGTCTGTCTTACGGGTTCCGACTTGCAGTGAAAGACGAAACCATGATTGCGTTGTCCTAACATCCCAGACACATTCGGCTCGGCTTGGCACCAGCCTTACAACCTGTCACCCCAGTTGGCTCATCAGGAGCGTTTTTCTTGGTCTGTAAATTCAGATTCATCACTTACTGCTACACGATATCTACATCCTCGCCTGCTCAACCAGCGTATCGTCCCTCTTATCATCCAGTAGAGCTACCGCGCGGACCGGGCTTCCGCTGCCACCCACCAGCTTCAGCGGAAACGCCATGAACTTAAACCTCCCCTTCCCAAGCAACGACTCCAGGTTATCAAGACCTTCCATGTGCGTGATACCTCTCTCACCACAAGCATTGTGAGCCTGGAAGTTCAACTCCCCTTCTGGCGCCGGACTGATGGCTTCCACCCCGAATATCTTGCAGCCTCTGTCCGCCAGCCAGTGGACTGACTCGAGGGCGAGGCCCGGGAAGTCGTGCTGCCAGCGTGGATCCGACGTAGAGACCCGCTTGTTGAATGCCATGTAGAGCAATACAGTGTCGCCGTCCTGGATCTCCTCGCCGGACTTGGCTAGTGCTTCCTCCATCTCTGCCACCGAGATCGAAGCTTTGAGCTCCACGTGCGAAAGGTCCAGACAAATGCCTTCAGTATAGAAATCACTCAGAGGCATCTCGTCAACTGACAAAGCTCCTGGCGTGGGATCGAAGTGCTTGGGTGCATCAATGTGGGTGCCGGCGTGGTCGCTCATCGAGATGTAGTAGGATGCTGAGCGAAGTGTGGTGTTGCCGGCCACTTTCGGTTGATGCGTGTCCCACGCAGTCATGACGAACGGTGGATGGAACGGATGGCATGGCGAACGGTGCGATAGCCGGCGCGAAAGATCGATTATGGTGGGCTTGCGGAAAGTTGATGTCAGACGTTGCTGACGGTGAGCTGTAATCCATCCTGGCGTACACTTCGCTGTCTGACGAAGGCTTGCGTGGAAGCTGGAGAAGCCTCGTGATGTGATGGAACTCGCCATTGCGTTGCAATGCTAAGACGAAGAGGCCCAGCGAGACAGTGTCCGCCTAAAATAGGATGGCGTGTTGGTATGCGTTGACTGCCTGTGCGGAGAAGAGCTTGGAGACGTCGATAACGGAGTGGAGATCGACGACTCTACATAGCCGTGACTACCAGGAACTCATGTAGAACTCCCGCACTTCCTACCTCGTGGTTGAGCCGTGGCTTGATGTCAATTGCCGTAGGCGCGCGAGTGGGCTCTGGAAAAATGTCCCTTGGTACGCTGGAGATATTCGTATTTCTTCTTGGTACAGAGAGCCTGCTGTCGTCTATATCTGTGTCGATTTGAACACGAAACCCCCCTTCGTGGTTCCTTCGTGGTGCTCTTCAATCATCGACGTTGAATGCATACCAGAACTGTGACTGGCATATAGTTCTCGAAGTGCTTTCGATGACCTTCCAAATGCAAATCCATTGTCCGTATAACGCCATGCTGTGCCGAAATCTGCTGTACATTACCACCCAAATGCTCGTGCCGCGCTGAGAACCAGAGAACGCAGAGCGATAATGAAAACGTCTCAACCGTCAATCTTCTCCATAAGACCTCGTCTAACCTTCGCGTTCACGACACCGCCGACACCAAACGCAGGTACGATACGACCCATACGCGCGAGAGTGCTGACGCCCCAATCCCGTGCCACTCTGGCAAAGCGCTCGCCGAGACCGAGCTGGCCCTGTCTGTTATACAAGTCCAAGCCAAGCAGATGTATGGGCGTGCTGAGAACCTGCATGGCTGCCGGAGCCACGAACTGCGCAGTATTCAACCGTCCTGACTCTGACGACAGAATGCGGGAGAATCGCTGTCGCACCATTCGTGGGAGCTCAGCCAGCTTGGGCGCGATGACGGAGGGCAGGTTGAACGACGCGAATATGGTCATGCTATCGCGTGCTGCGAAAAGAGCGTAACTGAGACGTGGAATCGTCGATGCCGGAGAAGACGAAGGCTTGCCGAACATGCGCGCAAACTGGCTGTCCTTGTACACACAGAGCGACATGTTGACGGCCGAGGTTGCTACAAACTTACTGCCACCGGACGAGACAGCTGTGGCCGACTTGTTCTTCATAGTGCTTGAGACTGTATCCATGCCATTAGCGGCCAAATATGTCGAGAAGTATAGAGTGAATATGAGAGCGAAAGGTTTCGATGCAAGAAAGGCATGCGGTCGGAGAATGGCAGGCGTGATCGAACGCTTCAAGCATTGGATGAATGAGGTGCCTTTGGCGGCTTTCTCGACGATAGATCTGTTTCAGATCAGTACTTGCATGCGGGTGTCCAATTAATCTTACCGGTCAATGACACAGATAACGGGAGCCACCAAGATAGAAGCAGACGCCGCGGAGGCAGCGTCCGCCCCCAGTCTCGAGCCCAGGCTATTGGTGTTCCATTCTCCTGGTACCTTGGGTATCTTGCGAGGCAGGACTACCTCTGATGGTAGTGAGAGCGACCCAACGACATTGCTCGTCTTCTCTCCAGGCATGGTTGCGCCTCCTCTTCCTCCACACCCCCTAAGCGCGATAAACTGGCGGCCTGTTTCTGGTTCATTGGAATGCCCGCTTGCCGGACAAACGCGTATGACGAAAGTTGACAATGAAGAGATAAGATGGGAGTATCTTTGCACAGTAAACGGCAATCAGCTATAGGATGGTGACTCAGGGCGCAATCGGGCGCACCCATGGCTCTGCTCATTTCCAAACTGCTAGAGATTCCGATCGCCTTTCTCCAAAAAGCGAGAGATTAAGCTTCGGCTAAATCGGTCGATCCGGCGCATCTCGGAGCGACGCCGAACCTCCCCGGGAATACTCCAAGAAAACGCAAGTCCTTTTATGACTGTGCCCGTCTCGACATCATTGCATATTCTTGATGTGTGAGACCATTCCGACATAAAAAAGGCTGCCCATCATTTGTGATACTGTCCTTTGAACCCAGGCAAGATCTCCCTGCCCTCGTCTGGTTCGTACGAATCCCGCTTCTTCTGCTGCCAGGTCTGTTTCAGGTTTGTGAACTCGCCCATGGATGGCACACGGTGGCCATCCCTTTCGAACTCATTCTGAATATATCCTTCTCGCTTGAGCACAGGTGAGTCAATTGTATTGAGTACCAGATCATTCTGTGGTCGCGCGAAGTATAACAATCCGAGACGATCGACCTGACGCTGGTCTTTCGGTGGCACTGAGACCTGCGGAAAACATCAGCCTGTAATCATTGAAGGTAATCTTTGACGAACCCTGTGAACAGTTGACTTGATGTACCCACCCGTCAAAAACGAAAGCGCATCGCACGTGTTGACGGTGAGGCTGGCGTCAAGCGGTTTGGCCCATTTCCACGCACCAGTCTTGTGGTCCTTTATCTGCAGAGCAGCCACCGGCTGTCGAAACAGCAATGTGATTGTACCCAAGTCAGTGTGACCACGAGACCACAAGCCATCGCCGAGCTGTGCAATTTCGGAAGGTGTAAACTTGGAGTATTTCATGTATCGCAGGTGGGATTCGTCATGCACTTCCCATCGGTGCAGCTTGGTGAAGAAGTCCTCCGGCAGCTCCAGGGCGATGGCAATAAGGTTATTGAGCGGGTCAAGCACCTTGTCATGTAAGTCCTTCGCAAAAGTCTCTATCTCTGCGAGATTATCTTTCAGCAGCTCCGGAACAGGCTGTGTGACGCGACCGTCATTGGTCGCCATGTTCCAGACCTCGGTCTTGTCGGGGATGCCACCTCCCAGAAGCCGCCTTCCAGCAGGGCGGTAGCCATTATAGTTGCCGGAGTCAAGATCAGGAACATACTTGAGCTTTTCCTCAAGCGGCAGATCATAGAAGCCTTGACCCAGTGCGAATTGCCTGTCGACTGCTTCTTGAGAGATGCCGAAGTTGGTGACATAGAAAAAGCCCTTGGTACGGATTGCTTCGATCAGAATGCTGGCGAGCTCCCTGTTACCGGACGCCGTGCCATACTTGGAAAGATCAATGTTCGGAACTAACAAAATACTTGTCAGTCCACATCTGCTCTTTGATAGATGTTCGGCTCACGTACGGTCCGCCCAGTCGAGATCCTCCTTTGTCTCCGGCACGTGCGTATACTGGTACAGCTGGGGTGTGGCATGAGGCATCTCGAAGGGTCGTGCTTTGATCACGCAGGCTGTGTTTGTTCTCTGAGGCAGTATCGAACAAAAAGATCGAAGGACTTGATGCAACTCCCTACATCTATATACGCTCTGCTGTTCCGGCAAGTGTCCGTAAGCGCGTGAAGACCCGATCACTACGAGCCCCCTCACGGTTGAGGGGTTGGGGATGGCAGTTGGAGTCGCGCATCTCTTACGCCATACCGTTGATGATGGTGCAATCATGCATACTGCTAGTCAGGTCGGGTCTTTGCGCTACCGGGATAATAGCTTGGTTGTTGGATAGAGAACAGTTGACATTCTAGCACAGGAGCCATGCCGGCTGCAATAGCCCCGAGAATGTCTACGGAGAGGTGATGAGCTGGCGGCGTTATTATTTACAGAATATGTCGGTCATTTAGCATCACCCACATCTTCACGACTTCTTCTCTTTCACGGCCTCGGCGACACGGGTTTCCTTCACAAGTTCGTGCGATCTGCCGGTCACAGGACGGTTCCCGACGGCCTTCTCCCCTCCTATGGCTTTGAATCCATGGTAGAACCCCCATTCGACAGCTTTCTCAACAGGCTCGTCGAACATATACGGCAAGGCAGGCACAACCGCCAGGCCGAGACCGATAGGCCCCCATGTACGGAGCGTTGTATTGGCAGCGTTCTTGAGAGCTCTCCCTGAATATCGTACCACACTGTGAATGGTAAAAGCTGGCAGCCCCATACTAGCCACGCCTTGGAAGATGGCTCGTTGAGCCATGATTGATCGATAATCCTCGATGGCCGGAATATGCATAGGCTGTTGTGTGGGCAGTGCTTTCACACCAGGCATCTCTTGCTTAGTCGTAGCATCATAATGCTCGTTGTTGTGCGGATTTAGCAGTCTCTGGTTGCGCTGGTATGCCTTCCATCCCTCATGGCTCACATCACCGACCAGGTAAGCCCACGAGACGGCGTAGGCGCCTCGCACCATATATGGGTGAGCTATAGGTCGAAATGACTCGCCAATGTCAGAGGTGTATGCGACGTATCGATGCGCGGAGAGCATGATCGTCCTTAGGCGCTGTGCATAGGCGGCATATCTGTAGTTGGTCTCCACCGAGTCGGGACCTCTGTGTGGTGTTAGCTCCATTGTGAAGCAAGAAAAGCATCACATACTGTCCCTCATAGAGATTGTCCATCCAATCATCCTGCCGGTCAACAATCTTCTGAAGGTCCTTGGGCAGCTTCTCCCGGGGGTATTCGGAGTTCAACCCTTTGCTGGCGTTGCTGTCTTTGGCCATATTTGCAACAGGAGGCCACCCAGGCGACGTGCTATGCTCTCACATATATGCTACCTCCGAAGAGGCGAAAAGGAGGCACGCGACAACTGGTGCCTACACTGCCCGACGCCGCCGCTTGTGAACGATCTGCCGACGCTCGCCGCCGCATGACGAAACCGGCTACGTCTCTGGCAGTCTCAGTCGACCCTACAGATATCTTGGCAAGGAAGCTGCAGCAGAGAGCTTCCGACCTCCACGCATCGCGCAGTAAACCACCACCAAAGCCGCATCCTCTCCCTCTCCGCTCCCGACTCCAATATACAGAACCTTCAAGATGGGTGGTGTTGCTATGTACAACGTTTTTGGCCGCCAGGTGGGCGCGCACTGGGTTTGTTGACCCCTGGCTACGATCGCGAAAAGAAATGACTGACTTCTGCATAGCTGTCCATTGCCACGCTCAGTGCCACCGCAGCCATTCCGTTCCTCATGGGCGGCGGCAAGAAGGACGGCGCAAAGAAAACACCTCCCATCAACGCCTCCAGCAAAGACGAAGAGAGCTTCATCCAGTACTAGCGAACCCCGAATTAGCGACTCCAAGCACTAACGGAAACCAGGGAATTCCTACAACAGATCGAGCAAGAAGACAAGGCCAACAAGATATCCGGCAAGGAGGCACACTAGAAATTGTTCTCGGCATGACTTGTACATAAGCGATCAATAAAGAGCGCCGCCAGTGCCTTTCAAGGCCGCAATTCAAACGACTCCCCATCCTCCGTGGGCTTCCCTACCTTGACCTCCGCACACCTCTCATGCAGATTGACGACGATACTGAAGAGCGTTTCGATAGTGCTTTTCTCCGTCTGGGAACGGTTGATGGCACAAGGCCCGTTCTGCTGGTCCTTCAAGACTTCTTTGAGCGCCGCCATGTCCGGCCTCTGCAATCCCTTGAGCAACTCCTGCATCCGCTCCAGCCGGAAGAACGTGTCGGTCAACATAGCGCCAGAGCCCTTGACCTTGTGCTCCTTCACCAGGTGATTGGAATGTGTGATCACTCCTCTCCCATCCTGCTCTAGCACTGCCACGTCCTCACTCGTGCACTCTAGCCCCACGCCGCCAGTCGCTGCATCCGCAATCTGAATGTGACAACTACTAGCCACACCAAATGCCTTCAATGTGCCCTCAGCCTCCTCCCGACTTGCCGAGTCCAGCACCGTCCGAAGCGCCAGATGACACGGCAGCCGACCCCAATCCACGCCCTTTGCAGCAATGGCATTCAACGTCACGCCGACACCACGATCATTCAGCCCAATCTTTCCTAGGATCCCCGCCTCCGTGACCATAGCAATACTCGTCTTCCCCTCTCCCTGCCGCTGAATCCTCACCACAACCAGATTCGGTTTCTGCTCCGCGCTCCAGTCCCAATTCTGCCCGATCCAATTGCCCCCTGCCTCACCATCTCGCCACGCAAACGCCGTGCACCCATCCGTCTGCATCCCGTACGCGATCTCCGTGCGCACATTCAGCGCCAGCACATCCTCATAGTCGATACCCGCGCCCAACGCCAGCCCGCGCATCTCTTCCACCAGGTGCGGAAACCGACTTTCCAGGAAGGGGTGCGCCAGCATAGCCGTGCTCCGCACCTCCGGCCACTGAAGCCCGGCCTTCTTCAGAAAGAAATCGCCGTAGAAGGCCAGCGAGCCGTGCACTTCGGCGTGCGCGAGCGTGCCGTGCTGTTGCCCGATCTCCTTGGGCGTGCCGGAGAGGGTTAGGTGCTTGAGTTTAGTGGTGGCGGCGGGCATGTTGGGTGTTTTCGCTATGTGAAGGACTATCCGCCGATCGATGGGTTGTGATTTCGTATACGGTATGTCCTCGAATACGACTCGAGTGGTCGTGAGCGGTCCTGTATTGAGTTAAGTACAGGTCACGATGCGCTGAACGGTTGATTTGATTTGCCTCGGACATATATAGAAGGTTCGGAGATGCGCACTACTTTTGCTTTCCCTATGGGGTTGATTGGCCAATGGTCGAGATCGGGCTTGCTGCCGCGCTGCCGGCGCTGTACGTTAGCTCAAGGAAACGATATTTGGACGCGGACGAACGTTGCTCGAATTGATAAGCCAAGACATTTACCCCGTAACCTAGGAGCATGGGCTCCATGGGCCGTTGCATTTCACACAGGTGTATCTTGAGAACCACGAAGACTCCTTACCTTGGGTTCCATCGTGGGGGACTCTTAGCATTGTTGTGAGCCTTTCGAATTCAAGTTCATAGATACAGTAAGAATCAAAACTACTACCGGTGTAATCTTTACTTTTGGTATATGTAAATCCAGACTTGGCGCACGCATTCTATACCAGCTCGATCTCGTAAAAAGCACTCCTACAAGTGGCTCTCTCCCTATTCCGTCCCTGGCACAAAGCTCGGAGCAAGACTAACATAACCGGACTTGCGGACTCGTACTTCCTCCGGCGTCTTGGCTCCTGGCGGCCATCGTGCCTCATACTTGAGTTGTTTGCCTTCAACATCGATGACGAGATCAAACTTCACAATTCTACTAGACCGCTTGCTCACTTTCGTGCGCGGGCCTGCATCTGCTTTATCTTCGAGTGGGAATTCCTTCTTGAGTTCGCTGACGTCTATCTCAATGTAGCTAAGCAGTGAGGCGCCTTCAGGAACAGTCAGCAGTCAAGCTTCGAAGCAGCGGTTTGGACTGGGGACCGTCACGTACCTTGATTTTCGGGATGATGGCGCTGAAAGTGCGAGCGATGGTTACGCTGCGAAACATAGAGCTTCTCGACGCAAATCAGCTTGACATCTGTTGTTTCAAACGTGTGACACGAGAGGATTGGCTCGGTCTGATATCGTGACGGCAGCTCTTCACCCTAGTTGCCATATGTTAATGAGCGCCAGAAGGTTAGGTGTACCCCTATGGCTACTCACCGCTTGTATCACCCAGTAGATCGTATCCCGAACGAACTCGACGTGGTCAACATTATCTCTCCTTGGCATGACGCTCGCCTCGTTGTGTTCAGGGAAGTCTCCGAGCGGTTCGTGGCGTAGAAAGCCGAAACTTGACCGCGAGATGCGGCTGGGACCATTTCGCTTATCAAGTGCCCGCAGAACCGCTCCTCTCGCGACCGCCGAGGTTGGGAAGTGTCTCGGCCAGATGGCCTCGATCTCTTCCCCGCTGCCATTAGAGTGGTTCGCGAGAACTTGGCGGATCCGGACGCGCAGTGAAGGAGACTCTCCAAATCCCCCAACGACAATGACCTTGTTGACTATCAAGCCTCTTTCTTCGGCAAGCCTGAGCTGTTTTTCGAGAAGATCGGTTGTGCCCTTTAATGAAGGTTCAAAGACATCCCGTATCTCGGATTCCGTCCATTTGATTAGCTGATTGTTGTGATATTGTCTTCCAAACTTTAGCTGCATCGTCTTTTTGTGGTTAATATCGATACGTGGTTTGTCCACCATGTCCCAGTGGTTGACAAACGCCGTGGCGATCCCGTCGAGGAGGTCGCTACCTCCTGTCGGGTCAATTTCAGTAAGTTTTGCTCGGAGTCGGCGCGAATATCGCTCGGTAATCAGACTGGATCCGCACAGTGCCCCATCAGGCGGTATTACCTCGCCCTGTAGTCTGAGCGGCCCCATCTCGTCGGACGTGACCTTGTAAGTTGTGATGTCCACGGTTCCTCCACCAGCGTCAAGGATAACGAAGACTTCGCCTTGCCTGAGGCGTCCTTCACTGCCGAGAGAGGCCATCACGTATTGGGCCGCGGCCTCTGGCTCCGAAACGATGAAGAGTTCGGTGATAATATTCTGTGCGAGAACGCCCAGCCCGCATGCTTGTATCGCTTTGACCATAGCATCATGCATGGTACGACAGGCGTTCTCCGACCACGACACGGGAACACACAGAACGTACTCCAGTTGTGCTTCTTCGAGAGCCTCCTCTTCTTTAAGCATAACCTTGGCATGCTGCAGAAGGCGGGCAAGATAGTCGCGTAGTATATGATCTCGATCTTGAATGATGTTCTTGGAGCGTAATATTTCGATCTGCTGTGCAAGCTCTTCACGCCTTCTCCGCAGGTCCATATCTTCGCCATCCTCATCACCCAGAGTAAGCTTGATAAGCTCTACTGTTTCTTTCTCGTAGTATCGTGCCATCTCCTGTGGTATCCTTTGCACGTATTGAACACAGTAGCCCCACTTCACAGTCGTTCCTGGTGGTCGTGACCACACGGGCTCTGGCCTTCGTCTTGGGCTCGGCATGAATGACTTTCTACCCCGCTTTCGTCGCCGTCTGTAGCTGCGTTCAGGGACTGGAGTGAGCTGAACATCCAGGTCGCTTAAACTGTCGTTCTCAGGGTCAGATTCGGTATCAGAAAACTCTGAATCAGGTACGCCAGGACCAAGATAGAGAAGTTTTGTCGGAACATTGTCAGCTCGAGCGTTCGCTCGAGCCTCGGAGTTTCCAGTAGCGTTGTCGTAGTTGTTGATGCAGCGTATCTTGCTCATCGGGAGACCTGCTGAATCAACGCCGGGTTCGATTTTCGCATATGACACGGTAGAATACGCCGTTCCGAAATCAACTGCAATAATGAGGCGGGGCCTGTCCTGGACCGGTCCTTTTTGATCAGTAAGGGCTTCTGCCGTGATGCCATCGCCGTCTGTCTGCTGTGGAACATTTAGATCCGGATTGACAGGACTGTGCAGCTGTTGTATGATGCTGTGACCTTCGACTGAGTTAGCTGAGGTATTTTGAGCCACTCGACGAAACACAGGTCCAAGTGTCAATTGGGCCCGTGATGGGCCTTTGACTTGCGCCATTGCTCTTGTTTAGAAAACGAGGCAAAAGACTCGTAATTCTTTTCAGTAGGAGCTTCCAGTGGTTTCAAGAGCCATCTCAAGGAGGGCCAGATAGTGCGAACGCACAACAGATTCGGTTTCTCAACGGCGACCTTATAGCCTTCGTGCAGCCAAGGATAGAAAGCAGTGTCGAATGGTCGGACCATTGTCTTCTCTGGCACGCTACCCAGGTATGAGTAGGCATCCGCCAGGCAGTGTCTGGCTAATGCAAGCCCTGGCACCCTCCTGCATAAGCGCCCACACCCTTGTCGCAAGGCAACGCCAAGAGCTGCAGATGAGACAAGTAGTGCCACCCCCTTCTCTTGCAGAGGATGAATTCTTATTTTTTGAGCTCCGGTCAGCACCGCTGTCGTGACCTCAGCAAACTTCACCAACATGGGTTGCAAGAGGAAAAGGTCGAAGCGAAACGCAGCATTAGGTTCGTCGACCAGGCGTGGCAAGATCTGGCTTGATCATATTGTTGACGAACTGCTGAGTTACTTGGATTCTGAAGTAGCCTTCCTCGACCCTGCATCGGAGACAGCAAGAGAGAGACAATTTGATGACATTGACGAAGAATTAGCACAGCACCTGAACTATACGAGGGACGATGGCAAGAACTCACTCGACCAGGTTCGCAACTTCTCTGCAAAACAAGTCCGAGCGAAGCTTCCTCGGCTGTATGCTACGCGTAGACGGGATGTCCGCAGTGATGATGACTGGACCGTCATCTACAGGGAAGGCTCGAATTGCATAGAGTGGCCAGTCAACAGCGAACGCGAAGCACGAATAGCTCGCAGATCAAAAGAGATCAAGCACGCTTGGAGAATGCATTTCCTCCATTCACCCAGAAAGACGAGAGCGGATTCCCAGATTAGAGGCACCCCTCAGAACTCGCCGCGGAGGGCCAGCCGTGCGCCAGTCAACACCACACGCTTTCACGGGAGGATGGAGGGATCCAGCATGGCTAGCAGTCATCCTCTCAGGCAGAAGCGCACCATTGATGAGTCTCATCACGTAAAGCTCCTCCCGTTCGCTCACAGAACCCAGCTAAGTTTTCAGGTTTTGGACACAGAATCTCTTGCAACAGATGGCGATGGTAGCGCCTTCATCAAAGTTGAGAACGTCACTCAGACGCCGCCTCTCTTGTTGCCTCGAATCTCTAATAATGAGGTTGAACAAGACACACCAGCGCTGCGAGATTCACAAGATCCATCTGAGTCTGAGCCTGAAGCCTTCAACACGCCGCTGAGAGGCCTGAGTCCCGTAACTTGCGGCAATGCTGCATCCAATAAGATCATTGATAGGTCTCGACCGTCACTGGTACTCATGGAGCGCTTGCAAGAGGTCGAGAAGGAGCTTCAGACTGTCAAGAAAGACGCAGCGCTGACCATCGATTTCTGGAAGGCCAACTACTGCAAAGCCAACGACGAACGAGCGAAGTTCATGAAGTCCAAAAGTGCTCTGGTCGTGAAACTAGGTAATCTGCGTGAGACTGGTAGTAACCTTTCCATTGACGATCTCGTCAATTGTCAAGCCGTGGTTGACCAGCTCCTCGATGAGAGGGACTCACAAAAATGCGTCCAAAGCTTGCGGTGCAGCACAGATACACAGCCTGACGATGAGACCATGGCAAGGGTTTCCAAGCTAATGCAAGATATTGGTCATCGTCTTGAGTCGACCTTGAAGAATGTCAAGTTCACGACCGTCTCAGGGCTGCGAACCTTGCCACAAGACCACCCCCTTGGGTCTCTTTTCGAACAAGCCTTTGGGATCGAGTGGAAGTCTCGGGGATCAGTGGATTTGCTTGAACGGTGGTATGACAGACCTTGGTCGCGACGATACACCCTTCTTACTTTGGCTGGAGCTGCTCTCGCGTGTTGGGTTTTTCGACAGACCCAAGCGGATGTGGTTTTTGATCGTTATCAGGGTGTGGCGACCCAAAGCCCGACGAATCGGTACAGAGAAGCCATCCAGCTTGTCGCGCAGAATGGTAAGCATAGTGGCAGTCACGTTGACAAGGTGAGACTGATCGGTCCTAGATCCATCATTCGCGAGAGCCATTGACTTAGTTGTACACAAGAGAATGACTGAAGAGCACTCATACGAGTATTTTCAGAGAAACAAGGCTGATGATCTGGCGCGTAAGCTCCAGCATGCGTTAGCGCCTCTGTGCCAGCTGAGTCCATGTGATGAAGAGGAAACTGACGGCGACGCCGAGGTCGATGAATACGCATTTGGCCAACTGAGCGACGTGTTCTTCGGTGCATTGGATGTGCAATGTCGTCTGGTGCTTACAGGCTGGCGGTACGAATGCGCTTGGTACGAGCCTGGCGCTGCCTTCGACAAGAATACTATGACACCTTACAAGGTGCAGGACGCCGGTGCTGCGGACACATCAACTGTCAGGCTGACGCTGTTGCCTGGAATCATCCACATTCCAAACAGCAAGGTCAACGCCGATTTTGGTGGGTTCGCAGAGCGACGTCGCACGGGTAACGAAGAGGTAGTGTGCTTGGTGCGCTCCGTAGTTCTGCGCGGAAGCGCAGGCTTGCATTAGGCTGTCTGCATTGTCAGGGGTATGAGAGGCTTGTGGCATCGGAGGCAGGTCCGGATGTGGCCGCATTAGTAGCGCGACGAGCCTTGTGGCCCTAACCGCGCGCGAACCACGCGAACCATCTTGACGAGGGTATTCAATCTCTTTTTTTCCTCCAGCATAGCATGAGTTGCAAATGATGTGGCATCCACTCGAAGTTTCTCAGGAGCTGAGACCTGACACGACATGGCTCCGAGAGGAAGACTTCCTCCACAAGAAGCGCTTCTGCTCCAGAAGCTGATCAATGACTGGAAGGTCGATTTCGAATCGGTAACCACGCCGGACGAGTGGGATGCCGGAAGATTGCCCTGCAAGCACATCTTTGAACAGATATTGGAGATCAAGTCCATCACCTTTACCGACTATCCTCGCGTGGAGCATAGCGACAGGGAGGCTGCCAACCAGAAAAAGCTTCTTGTGAGGAGGCTGCAGGCAAATGTGGCTCGATGCAGGAGAGAGAAAGACAACGAGGCAGGGTGGATCAACAACGTTGCCAGTCTCGTGTTTGAGAATCTCGATGGGTTTGAATTTCGATGGTTAGTAAAGACTGGTTGAGGGCTGTTTGTTGCTAACACCCGCGAAGTCAACTTTGTGACGCATATCTGTGGCTCCCGGACTTCGTCGCGTGCCCCAGCGATCCTGTTGCGGCCCAGCGACTGCTTCAAGACCACAGTAGACGAACCATCTGCAGGTGCAGTGCGTTCGAAAGAGCGGCCGTTGTGCGGTGAGTATGCGTGCCTCCAGTGGACGCTTCAGATTTGACAAAGCCAAGTATTCGTCCAGCCTGCCCATCGATATTCTCAAACAAGTCAGATGAGCGGGTGGTCCATAAAAGCACTGGGCTCCATGACGTTAAAATCGATCAGAAATACAAGAGACCTGATCGAGTGTACGGCTTGAGCATTACCAAATCGTTTGACCAGTTTAGAGATCGGCTGGGTACGTATAGTCCCTTCTCTGGGGGACACACATTGTTTCCATTCATGGTCGTGGAAGCAAAGGCAGAGAAATCTGATGCAGGATTTCACGACATTGAGCAACAGACAGCACTCAGCATTCGCACGTGTCTGAAAATCCAGACAGATCTTGAGATGGGATCCAATCAAGTCCTTGACGCTTTGGTGTGGTTCTTTGGATTCCGGGGGGACGAATGGCGCCTATACCTGGCAATGCCGGTCAACGATAGGACAGTAAGCATTTCTCAAGTTTGGGTTCCAATGGAGGCATCGTTAACGCACGCAGAAAGTAGTCGATTGCTGGCACGGGTGCATATCTAAGGCCGATGAGGCATTGCAGCTTTTGCTGATCGTCGACTGGATTTGCTTCTGGGCTAGGGACGTACATCGTAAGTCGGTGCTCAAATGTTTGTCCGGGCTAGAGGCACGCGAGGTGACGCCTGCAGCAACAGTGTTTTCGTCCCACGGAGAATGGCCCACAACGAGGGATGCCGCAAGATCTAGATCTCTAGTTCTTAGGTCTTCAAGACCTGGTGTCATTCGGACTGAAAGTGATGAACAACCCAAGATAAACAGTCCTGAGATCGATCCTGAGGAGCTAGAAGACGCGGTCATGCAGGATGCTTTTAGCAATGACGGCTCCGCGGCCTTGGAGTCTGCCGATGACTCAGACCACGAAGGTGGTGCGAATAGCTCTAACGAAGTTCGCAGTGCTCATGACACTGTGTTCAGGTGGAAATACTTCGCAATTCCCGAAGATGATGTCAGTATGCTGGAATGCTTGAGCGCTGTTGAGACGAGCGATTGTATCCAAAATGCGGCTCGAGCTCTATGGCAGACACTTTCCGATGAGAGCTGTACTGTGAAGATGAGCTTGAGAAGCATATCGAGATTATTGTACAACTCGGGGGGACAGGAAGCGACAGAATCTGCCTGCGAAGAGCCTAGGGCGACATTTCTGGCGTGCCAACGTCGTTTGACCGAGACGAGTTGGCAAGTAATGTGCACCTACTGGTGCATTACTTGTAGCCAAAGAGCGGCGCAGCTGTTGGCAACAATAGCTGGGGTTCCAGATGCCGAGGCATTTTCGATAAATTTCTGGAGAGCACTTGACTGTAACTGCTTGGTTTCAGCAGTCGCAGACCTGCAGAGACTGAGCGGGAAAGCGTCGGCGGCGGCGGCTATTTCGCAGGAAATTTACTGCGTAAGTGCTGGCACTTCGAGACCGACTCAGTGTCATCTTCAATGGGATAAGGGCGATAGGAGCCTCCTCCAGCCCAGGTTGGCAATGCTCGAGGCTCTCTTCAGGCACGTGGAGGGAGCGCAACAGACCAGTCTGCCCGTGGCAGCACTCTGCGCATCTGGTAGAGATACGCCGCCCTGCGAGCTCTTTTCGACGCAAGATCTGGACGGGCTGCCTGGAGTGATTCTTAAAAAGCCGCCGTCGTGGCCAGCTACATGTCCACCGTGGTGTTTTCTCTCATTCGAACGTGGAGGCCGGGAAACTATTGGCCGGCAGATAGCAGAGGCTCAAGAGAAGAGGGCAATCTTCACTGCGGAGGATCTGGAACCCAGCGACGAGCAGTCGATCTCGGAGTGGGCTTTGGCGATGGAAGATGTGATGCAGTCGATCGACGGATCAAGTCAGTGATATGATATCCGGGGCGTGGCAAATGACTGTGTACAGAAAGACAGGTGCAGCTACGGGTGCTCCCTGCTTCGTTAGCGAGGTTGGTATGTGGGGAAGTAGCTTGGGAGGGGCTCAACTGGCACCGCTATGAAGCTCATTGAGCCTCGACCCTCAATGGCGCTCCATCCAGTACGACCATATAGGACATTCTGAGGGGTGCTCCTTTATCATGCGGCTGCAAAAGTAGATATGATGGTGACATGTTTTTGACGATACTTAAGAATTCAGAGGTGACACGTCCAATGCTAAATCTCACACCCTTATTCCTTGTGACTACAGCTTAGCTTTCGCATCGCCCCTCAATTCTGCACCCGCGCCAGCGATGCACAGCTTGCCAGTCTCCTTGACTTTAGTCTGGAACACAACCGTGTTGCCCTCCTTCCACATTTCTGTGACCAGAGTCTGCCCAGGAAGGACGGTACCCGCAAACCGCACCTTGATGTTCTTGAACTGCCCGAACTTTTGTACAATGTGCTTGCCACTGAAGCCAAAGAAGCAAAGACCGTGTAGAATAGGGTCTTTGAAACCACCCACTTTGCTAAACTCGGGATCAATGTGCAGAGGATTGCGGTCACCGTTGAGACGGTAGAGGGCGGCCTGATCACCAGAAGTCTGCTCCTCAACGACAGCATCAGGAACACGCTTCGGCGCTTGATGGATTGTAGTGGCGGCGCCGCGGTTTGCACCCTTCTTGGGACCGCCAAAGCCACCAGAGCCGCGAATGAAGACAGTCGACTCATTGTAGAAGAGATCCTCGCCGGTGTTCGCGTCCTTAGTAGTGATGCCGCTGACCACAATAGCCGCAGCACCCTTGTCGACAACTTCGACCAGCTTGGGGTATGAGATAGTCTTAGCTGTGGTGGGAATAGGGAACTTGCGGATCTCTAGATACTGTTCGCCATGAAGGAGCATCATAGGCGAGAAGTTGGGGACAATGTCGTCCATGCTGAATGGCGATTGTGCGTTGAAGAATGGAATGACACCAAAGGTGGGCAGAACCTGGAAGTTATCGTTGTTCTCGTATACGAGCGGCAACTCAGTTCTCTTCGCGCCCAAAGACATATTGTAGAGGATGACGTCGCGGTCATCCCACGAGAACTCCGTACCGGACGATTTAGCTTGCTTGGCCTTGTCAATGGCGGCAAGATAATCGGTCCTCTCATCACCGTCCGAGGACTTGTTGGCCTTGTTCTCCATGTTGGCCATGATGGATTTGAGACCATCTTGACCACCTTCCGGGTTATCGGCACGACCATCATCGAAATCGTTGATCTTCTTCCAGTGCTTTACTACTTCCTCAGGAACAAGCTTGACATCAATGGGGAAACCATGACCCCCGGATCGTTGCCAGCGTGTCCGAGCTTGCCAGCCACTTCCGACTTCGAAGAGCAGCCCAGTGGGTGGGTCTGGCATCTTGTCCGAGCAAAGGAGAAGGACGAGAGGAGCAACATAATCTGGCTTGAACGCCTGGACGAGCTCCTCGGGGAGGATGCTACGAGTCATCTGTGTGCCAGCGTTGGGAGCAATGGTGTTGACGAAGATGTTGTTCTTACGACCCTCCAGAGCCAACGCACGAGAGAAGCCGAGGATACCAAGTTTCTGTTTTATGTTAGCCACTGCAGCGAGGGCAGTACGATGTGGAAGCAACTAACCGCTGCAGCATAGTTTGCCTGGCCAAAATTGCCATAGATACCGCTTGTGCTTGTGGTGTTGACGATTCTGCCGTACTTTTGCTTCAGCATGTAGGGATAGGCGGCCTTGGTGACCCTGTACGTTCCCTTCAGATGAACATCCAAGACGGGATCCCAGAGGTCATCGGTCATATTCGCGAACGCTTTGTCTTTGAGAATGCCAGCATTGTTGATGATGATGTCAACCCTGCCGAAGTTGTCGATGGCGGTCTTGACCACTGCGTCGCCATCAAGGACTGATGCCTTGTTGCCGACGGCGGTGCCACCAAGCTTCTGGATCTCCTGGACCACGTCGTCAGGGTTCATCAAATCATTGACAACAACCTTCGCACCAAGCTTGGCGAAGGACAGCGAATAGATGCGACCAAGACCGGCGCCACCACCAGTGACGAGCACGACCTTGTCCTTGAAGTCAATAGGCTCGCCGGGGTCGTTTCGAGGCAGCTTGCCAGCTTCCTCAAGCTTGGCCACCATGTCTGCGACGCCAGTGGGATACTCAGGCTGAGAGTAGTCAATCACGTCGTTCCACTTGGCCAGGATAGCGCCAGGCGTCATGGAGTCGTCGGCCTTGAGCAAGGCACCCTTGGCACGCTGCCATCTCAGCTTAGCCACATGCCCACCACCGACTTCGTAGATAGAGCCAGTCTCGGTGTTGGACTTGTGGATAAGTACAGCCACGAGGGGCACAACCCATTCGGGCTTGAGGTTGTCTAGAACATCTGGGGGCATGACGGTCGCAGTCATACGGCTGGCCGCAATCGGGGCGATGACATTGCACATGATGTTGTACTTTTGGCCTTCTTTCGCAAGAGTTTCGGTGAAGCCGACCTGAGATAGTTTGGCAGCCGAGTAATTGCACTGGCCAAAGCTGCCAAAGAGACCAGCAGCTGATGCGGTGTTGATGACTCGGCCATACTTTTGTTTACGGAAATGTGGCCAGGCAGCTCTCGCGCACTTGTATGCACCTTTGACGTGGACGTTGTAGATGAGGTCCCAATCTTGATCTTTCATGTTCTTGAAACTAATATCACGGAGGATACCAGCGTTATTGATGAGGACATCGATGCGGCCGAAAGCATCGATCGCAGTCTGAATGATACGGTCTCCATTCTCGACACTGTCATAGTTGGCCACAGCCTTGCCGCCGGCCTTCTTGATCTCGTTGACGACTTCATCAGCAGCCTGCACATGGTCAGCTTGTGTTTGGGTTCGGAAGCATGTGACAAACTTTTGTGCCCTGTCCCTCACCCTTGAAGGAGCCACCAAGATCGTTGACAACGACGCTGGCACCTCTTGAGCCAAAGAACGTAGCATATGCCTTTCCAAGTCCACCGCCGGCGCCAGTAACCACGACGACCTGGCCGTCGTACCTCAATTCAGACATGACGTAGAGCTCAGTGTGTCTGCATGCGGCTGTAAACGTGGTATGGTGTTTCTCGTTCTTCGCTGGTCGATGGTAGGCTTTTAGGAAGACCGGCAAGAGAGTCAGATGGAAAGACAAAGTATTTGAAGATGTGCCGACGAAGAAGCAGCTTGTTTCGCTACGGACGTTATTAGCATCGGAACGAAGACGACGACTCTTCACCTGCATCCGAACAAAGTGCCGAGGTTGTCCAGTCGGCCTGAAGTAGCGTCGGCGTCACGTGGATCGACGCCCCACAACTTGGCTCCTTTCCCCGTGCCTCGCCCCCCGGATCTCATCAGACGAAGCATGTGAAATATCCTTTGCTGCCCTCGATTGCTGGTCGTCGACGCTTTTGAAACCCAGAGACTGTCCACATAGTACTGCAGGCAGGGACGTCACAGCTAAAATCGTAACCGCGCTTGAATTATGATGCGAGCGTCTTAAGCAAGCTCAGCCAAAGTATCGGCAACCTCTCCGGCTTCGCTGCCCGCGGCAAGCCCATAAAATGTTCATGTCCCACCGAAATCCACATCCCATCAATTGTGAGTCCTCCGAGGCAACTGACTAACCAGCTGTTGCCATCATGAGCGACATTTATGACGACAAATCCCCGGTCGTGATACCATTCATAATCAAGCATCTCGAGGCGCACAGGTCTCAGCATCCGAATGAACCATTTTTCATTGGTCTCAATGGCGTCCAAGGTGCTGGAAAGACCGTTCTTGTCACGTCGCTCAAGTCTACCCTAGCAGACAAGGGCCTCACCACAGCCGTCTTCTCCCTTGACGACCTCTACCTCACTCACTCCGACCAAGAGGCTCTCGCCAAAGCCAATCCCGACAACCCTCTACTCCAACACCGTGGCCAGCCATCAACGCACGACATTCCTCTCGCCCTCTCCATATTTGCCTCGCTTAAAGCCAACAAACCCACGCGTATTGCCAAGTACAACAAAGCTCTGTTCTCCGGCCAGGGCGACCGCCTTCCGCCCTCCGAGTGGGACGAAGTCAACAACCCCGGCGAGCCTACCGTCGACATTGTCCTCTTCGAAGGCTGGTGCGTCGGCTTCCAGCCTCTCACTTCATCCGAGCTCCGGTCAAAACACGCCGCCGCTGTTGAGGCGCTCAATAACCCCACGTCAAAGTATTGTGGTCGCCTGGGTTACAACACGCTAGAGAGCGTACTCACCATCAACGACGCCCTCAAACAATACTCTGAGTTGTGGGCCTACTTCCACACGTTCGTGCATATCGATGCCGCCGACCCGCTCTTCGTATATCGGTGGCGCCTGCAGCAGGAAGCGACCACACGCCGAGAAAAGGGGGCCGGCATGACGGACGAGCAGGTGGAAAATTTTGTGAACGGCTACTATCCCGCCTATGAGCTGTATACAGAAACGCTGAGGCGAGGCGTCTTTCGGCCAGCACGAGAAGGCGATCAGTATCAGACCGGCGGATGGGAAGGCCGTCAGCTGCGATTGGTCGTGGATGAAGGGCGCAAGGTCCACGAGACGATCCTCATATAGGCTCAGAAATAGTGAGCGATACGACGATCTTGGAACTTGGCAGTCACCCCGACAGCCTCTCCGCTCCAAGGAGCCACCCGCCTGCAAATGCTCAGAGCTGGTGACTTCTGGCCAGTGTCGTCCTGCATCATCTGGTCTCGTGCCTCGTAAGACACCACGTCCCAACGGCAGTGCACAATTCCCGATGGTACCATCCTGCATGCGCTTACGGCGCCACCCCTTACTATCCTGCATGCAGCGCTCAAATACTGTAGTTGCGGTCCACGCTCGGTGACAGCACACTGCAAGTAAACACAAATACCGGAAAGTCGGCTATTTGGAGGGCTCTACGCCTAAATTCTTCCTACCCCGGTGCGAAGACGGAGACTAGAGCTTGCTGCGGGCGCTGTCGTGGTCAGCGGAGAGGGACCGGAAAGCACGGGTAGTAAAGATAGTCGGATGGAAAGTCATGCAGGGTGCGTGCACGCTGGTGGCCCATCGATCTCTTGTATCGGCAAACGCCGTGCTTTAGTCTCGCCTTGTAGTTGCTTATTAGCGAGTTTTGATGTTCAGCTACGCATTTCGGATTTTCAACTGGAGACAGCTTGAACATAGTGGCACTTTGTTTTGCGCCCGGATCTGCGCCTGCAGGCGGCCACAGCCGACGATTTCAGGCCCCAGATGCTGTCGTGCATTGTCCAAGGCAATTGTCTTTTCTTGATGGAGAGTCATAGCGTGACATCCGCGAAGCGCCATCGCCACAGATTCTCTAAGGGCCATGATCCCAAAGGCACTGAGATTTTGGCATACCTCGCAGCTGGCTTGTGACTGGTTCGCTCTTGCGTCAACCAGATCTCGTGGTCTGACTGTGCGCATGATCGAGTCAGCTGGGAAGTGTCTCGATTCTGGGCTACGCATGGTTCCGAGACATGTAGCTTGTCCTGTCGTCGTGGCTTGACCGTCCAGAAAGTTGTTGCTCAGGCAGCATGCCAGAATCACAATCCTCCTCGACGTTGATGCTCGACGACCAGCGCATTATAGAGAGACTAGAATTTAGCCGGTCAGCTTGAGGGGCAATGAAGGTACCAGCGCAAGCATTAAGATGCTACTGCTGGTCCAGTCATCAGTAAGAACCTGACGGAACTTGAATCCCGCCGACAGTTCGTCCATCCCTGTGGGCAGAGGCTCGTGTGGGTCTGCGGCGCAAGATCGCAATTCTAGCGACTGGATCCGAGATCTGGGCAGATCACTAGTCCGTTCTGGAGCCTCACACAGGGTAATGCTCCGCACTAGCTAGCACCCTGCACACGTAGTTCTGTTGTAAGTCAGAGAGCGAGTTCCACAGCGTGAGAACCAAAAAAAAAATGAAATGCCCGGACGCAATTCCTTTGGGTGCCAGACCGGATGCTGCAACACCGTGTACTCTCATCTACCTCACAAGCTATCGACAACTCGCGGAAGAGGACCTAGACTCAGTTCCCCAACGCCGGAAGGCTACCCAGGACGGACGGGGGACTGACTTTGCGAGCCACAGCACCCGAGCGAGCAGCTGTGACAAATCAGCCGTCTAGATTCGTGTTTCGGAATGCCCAAGTTGCAACAAAGCAATTCAGCATACGCAGGTGTCTAAACCCATGTTGTCCTCCTGCGGTCAGGAGGCTTCTTCGGCCTATCGGTCGCCTCGGAGTTGCTCGGAGGCCTGAGCCTCATCCATTTGTGCGACTTGCAGCTCCAGGGTTGGCTGTCAACCACAACGAACAAGCAAAAGCATAACAGGAAAGAGATACTGTACGTATACAGAACAGCCGACGGAGGTCTATTTTGTCGGATCTGAGCATGCCGCTGCTTGCGGTCGAGACGCGAATTTTCTAGTGATACGTTGACTTGGCAGACACGTCCATGGTTCGGTCTAGAAATTGGCTCGGAATCGGTATCAATAAAGCGGTCGATTGCAAATTTGCTAGGGTCCCATTTTAGTGCCCCACGGTGCTGTTGAAGCCTGAAGGAGACGAGCCAGGGCCAGCGAAGGCAGGACTATTTTCTCAAACGGCAGCTGTGCACGAGGAAGCTTGGATTTAGCCAAGGCCTAGGGGCATGGTACACACCCCTTTGGCATTGGGGAGTGGCCCTGCCAGCCTGCCGAGATGATATTTGATTGTGAAGTGCCGTACAGTATCATGCCGTGCTCAATTGGCCCCAGACCTTGCTAACAAGTGTTGTGCTGACTGATGCCTGGCCCCTGTGTTCCAGAAGCGCTCCGCCTCCGGCGCAGCGAGTCGATCCTTAGCGACCATTCGCCAACGACCGTATGCTGTGTGACACAGAGAGCGCCATGAATTGGTTATGCTGAACTGAATCGAAATGTAGCCTTCTGCATGCAAAAGATGCGGCACGAATCGAGCCACTTTCCGATGTATTGAGAATGCCGATATAAAAAGTCTGGGTCGCACTACTGCGCTGAATTGTTTCTATAACTTTTCGCTTGATTTCGCAGGTTATTTTTCACGCAGTATAACAAGCACGTCCGCCGCATTACTCTATCTGGGAGTGCCAGAGTCATATTCTCCAGGGATGAGCGCTCAATCTCGCACTGGTTCGTGGAGCAAGGTACGGACTTGGGATCTAAGATCGCTTTGAGCCGAATCGGTTGATCTCTCTGGGTTGAAACAGGAGCACGATCTCCGCCAATTATTGTATGATAGCTCCGGCGGCGCAGGTGCGTTAGGTTAGACCCCGGTCAGCTCGTCCACAGCCCATGGCTCACCGCCACAAGTAACCCTGCCGACGTCGGATGATGCAGCAGATAGATGGGTGCAGCGGCTTGGCAATAGCTTTAAGGATCAAAATCTGACATCAGGTGACGTGGGGGCAATGCGCGATTGGGTGGGTGCGAGATTTTGTGTTGAGAGAGAAGCATCGCCATGGCGAGAGATCGATTTCGTGTCTTTGTCGTTCCGGAGAGGGAACAGTATGACCCGATTTGTCCGGTGAATCTGCAGTTCTTCTCTGCAATCTTCTAAATTTCATCGATCGCCCATGGGTGGTTTGACGATACATTTGCATGCATGGTGTGTCGCTAGTCATATGTCAACAGCGGTAGAAATGCAAATGCTGCTTTCCGAGTCAGGGTAAGGCAAAATGTGCAGCGCATCCCCCATCCCCCTTAGGCGCGGCGTTATCGATACGAGTGTGGGGCAAAGGAGGGGCACTGCATTGTTCAGCTGCAGGTGACAAGAGCGTGAAACCTTAGCAAGTAGAGACAAAGTATTGGATCATACATTAGTGGCTGGAATATAGCCAGCTAGAGGTAGTGACAACATGCCGAGATATGCAAGGAGTCGTGGCAACATGGCGTCTTGGCTATCGCGTCTTTCTTCACAGCGTGGGGCTCACATGCATGAATGCCCGCAAGCGAGTGGCGGCATGCTGCAGCACCAGCCACTACGAATCAACGACGAGGCCGGGTCCAAAGGGCCTCGACCTGTTGCGGGACTCGTGAGCCACTCGTAAGTTATATAGCATCGCCTTTTGACGTACACTTGAATCGGTGGCGCCTTACCAAGGAACGCGGCCGCGACTACCGGGGTTGGCACACGGCAAGCAGCATACGCACGAAACTAGGGACAGGGACTATATTGGACCAACCTGTCACTGGCAGAAGCACGAGCCATCGGGTTAGGCTGCTCGCTAAATGTGCTGCATCACTGGCAATTGCCGGAGCGTCTACGCGAGGTGCGGACAACCGGGGATGATGCAGCTAGAAATTGAATTCATGAATTGATGCCCAAGAGAACTCCATGACGGACTAGAAGCCTGCGTCCGCACGCAATACCACCTCGAAGTGCAGCTAGCCACCCATATGCATGATCCTGGCCGTCTATGGTATGCCTCAGGGCCACATGCAAGTACACAATGCTCTGGTAGTAGCCCAGGCGGCCTACTAAGATCTCCCGTTTATGGCCATTAGCTGAACTTCACTGGAAGGCACACAAGGTGGTCAGCATGAGCGCAAAGTGTGAGGGGACGAGTGCTTGAACGATGGCCCGAGGTCAAGATATCCGCCCGACTTTCCGGAAAAGGCCGATCGAGAAATCGCTGCCGAGCAACGGCGGAGAACAAAGTACCCTAAGTTGCGGCGTCGTATCTCAGGCGGAAATGATCCTCAGATGCTCCTCATGGTGGAGAAGGTGAACCTAAGGGCGTGACTTACAAGAGCAGCGTCGAGTTCGCAGGAATCAAGCCCGGAAAACCACTAAGTAGAAGTCAGCAAAACCATCCATTCCGTATGTCATCACAACATGTGACGAAACTTCTCGGATCCGCGAAGTGGAATTGTCACTGCCACACAGTTTCGCCTGCATGCTTGAGAATGCAGATGGGCGTTCTTACCGTTCGCCGTAAGCCATGTTACTGGATGCTTGTCAGTCACCGTCGCCTCTGATCGCCGCGGCTAAAATGGAAGGTGTGGTCGTTGAAGCGCAGATCAGACTTACCCAGGAATGGTCAGCACAGCTTTCTCACCCAGAGACATTTGCGGCACGCCTTGATCCCACCCTTGAAGTCCAAGTCAGTTTTGTGTTCCGTCTGGTTTACCGACGCAGATTACCTTGGATGACCCTGCCAACGCCGATTGGGACTTCGAAGGGGGTACCTTTGTCCACTGATGAGTCAAACCTGGTGCTACCGTCAGCCTCCAAGTCGCCAGTTGGAATCTGGGAATCGCTCAACATACTTGTTGCCTCGGTTATTAGGCTGGCTGGGATCATAGAGCCAGCCGGTATAGTGCATGGTAACCCTGTCGCCCTTCTTTGGGTAATTGGTCTTGTCACCCTCCCTAAGAACGTCCTTCCTGAATTGAGAAGCCATAGCAAAGTGAGGTGTACGAATTGTGCGACAGTACAGTAGGGTGGATTGTAGCAGAATAGCTCAAGGCGAGGAAGGGGGAGGTGAGTAGAAGATATAGACTCTCGAGCCAGTGAAGGAGGTGAGTTGAGACTTTTGGGGTGGGGTGAGCAATACAGTCAAGAAGGGTGTCAAAGCAGATTCGACAACTCAATAGTGAAAAGATTCTTTCCGAGGGCCATGGGTCCGTAAGGTCGATCTGAGTGGATAATTGTCATGAAAGGCTGACGGGCGCGCTGTGGATGGGCAGTCCAATGCTCCCCTGCCTGGCGTCCCAAGGGGAATATACTTTCTTAGCTCTGCGGCCGATTCAAGACAGGGTTCAACCCATCACCCAGGCGGTGATCAGCCTGCGCAACAGTACGGCCACAGTTGCCGTCGAGCCTGAGCTGGGGAAGAGGGCCGTTTTTCTCCGGGGATGGGAAGGGAGAGTTCTCGAGTAGCACAGCACCGCCGCTTCGGGAAACCAGCGACTGTTTCCGAAATTTCCTTGCAGCTTGTTGGCGTTCCGAGCAACGAACGCGAGGCGGGATGGTCTGGCCAAGGAAAATCTTCACACCGATTGTCTGGTGCAACGTGGACTCCAGATCTGCAGTCCGTCATTACCGAAAACTTTGCTGCGTCCTGCAACTTAGATCTCACTGGGCGCGGTAACCTAGGGCAGACGGCTCGATGAAGCGCGGGAAAGTCCATCCTGGATCTTGGCGGGGTTCGAGCCTGAGGTGGGGCGTTGCGCGAACACGGCACATCCACCATGACACTAAGTATGATGATTGGGTTGGGCCTGCCGGTACCGGCTTAATCTCTTTTCCATTGACGTACTGAGATACGATGGTTCCTCGCGCTTAATCCCATGTTGCCAAGTTAGAGAACGCGTCATTTAACCCGACCCACCTCGGATGGTCCTGCTAGAGGCGGAGACATGAGAACATTGGATGCAACTGCCGAACGAACCACGTGTACGACAAAAGGACGTGGGAGGCACAATATCGCTGGCTAAGCACCGTCACACATCCTCGGACTGGCTTATGTGGACGAGTACCGAAACTCAGACTGACGGACTCTGTTGTGCAACTTGGTGGTCAGGGCACCGAGCTATCAATTCGCACTGTGAAAGCTATGAATCTCGGATCGCGCGTGCAAATAGTGTATTTGTTGTGTGACTCTTTTATGCATATCGCACATAGCCTGGCAGAGCGGCCTGTCTCAGGTCCACATTAGATCGTTCACATTCGCTAAGCTCATCTCAAGTGTCGGGAATCTGGGATCCGCGATTGTCGAGGCCTTGTCAGTATGTTTCACGAAGTATAAATGTGAGATTTGACATCTCTGCAAGAATAACCGAGCCTCTAAATAGCCAAAAGCGATTTGACTGACCCCATGGCTATCGTCTGAGAGGCAGAAACCGATTCCCTTGTCCTGGGCCGCCTGTAAATGGCGGTCAGTAAACGTCCATTCGGCTGAAATCACAACTCACCTGACAGATTTCCTGCTTCGGATATGGTTCAGCCATCCCTTTTCTCAGAGCTGCCGTGTTGATCTCCAAAATCCCACCGTACGTGGCCACAAAATCCAGGTTCCGCACGATTCGTTGCCACACCCCAGGCATGTGGCGGAACGAGCCGTTGGGATTAGCGCTCTTTAACCGGATCAAATCAAAATGGCCAACCACGGGTGGCTTGATTGCTTGCAGCATCTCGAGCTGGGCGTCAAAGTAGTCTTGGAACAGCAGCTCGTCCGAATCACCAGATCTCTGACGTGCAGCATCATACATGCCCTGGTCGTAATCGATCGGAATAGTGTGGACGTGGTGCACAGACCCGACAAAGTAGTCATAAGGATGACTTGTGATGCTTCTCTCGATGAGCTCGCGAGACTCTGGTCGGATCCAGTCGCTTTCAAAGCCAATCGGTAAACTGATCCGGTCCTTGTACTTTTCCCGTAACCGAATAGCTTCGGCAATGTATGCAGCCTCGTTCTCGAAATGGCTTTCGAGGCTGGCTCCCGTGTCTTTTTCCTCGGGGTAAAAGTCGACCTCGTGTCTCGGCATATGCTCACTCAGGCCAAAGACACGAAGCTTACGCGAGATGGCTGTCAGAACGACTTCTTCAAGCGTGTTGACGGCATGGCCCGGACAGAATTGCCCGGAGTGGCTGTGATGGGAGAACGGCATACCGAATTTGAAATGTGACCTGTTCAACGAAAATCTCCAAGAGCACGATAAATGACGTGTACAGCTTCGTTTGAGCCGCGTCGGTCCGACCAGGCGCAGAAGCAATGATACGTCGTATGCGTGTGAAGTCTGATGTCCTGCGTCAACGCGGGTTCCGTTTCAAAAGATCGTGACGGCGTTTGTCCTTGATATTTCTGTGTTCTTGGCGATACAAAATACGCGAGGAACTGGACCAATGCTATCTCTCGATGATTTGGTGTCACGGGTGGGGAAGCGCTTCGAAGCATCTCAGGGTAGAATATCGTACAAAATACTTCTGAGGAGAGAAAGAGTCTCGAATGAAGCCGAGAAGCTGCCAACCCTGATCTGGCATACGGTAGCGGGTGGTGAACGGCGGGGCTTTGGCACCATCTTGACCCTTGTACAGGCAATGCACAAGCGGGACTCTAGCCATTAGAGAAGACTTTAGCAGCCGACACTTCAAGCCTAAATATAGTCCGATAGTGTGATATATATTTTATAGCCTCAAAAAATTGCGCTAAAATTTGTGCTGAAATGCGCACACATTCCGATCCAGCTTTCGGGTATGGCAGGGGGGATTGGCGCAATGGTAGCGCGTGGCTCTCCTACTCGGCTCGTGAGGGTTCATTTAGCAAAGCCAAGGCTGTGGGTTCGAGTGTTCGTTTTATCCTGCTCTCATTCCCGTATATTCATCTGACAGCATTTAGCCCATGTTCCTCGATAAGCACCAGCATGACTTTTTGTTTTTGTCTAGTGAGGGGCTGTAAGGGCACAGCCCCGCACCTCGCGCCAAGATCTAACGATATTTTTCAGGATCCGGTAACAAGATCGCCGAGCTGGAACAAGAATCCCTGGCGCTTCAAACCCGCTTGCACCTACGCATCAACGGATAGCAGTATGGAGCAGTTGGCGAGGGCGGCGTTGCCTAGCAAGGTAATGAGGCCAGGTAAGTCCAGCGGCCTCATTGCGAAGTTGATCTGCGACACTTCCGGGACGCCGGTCTCAGTCAGGCTCACTTAATTCACTACCTTCTGGCTGCCACGCGATTTACTTCACTGTCCTTGTTCCGATGCTGAGGTGTGCACTTCAATCTCCGGCTTAGGCGCACCGCTGTGATGACGCGAGTTGGCATGATTGTCCGATCAGAGAAGCCATAGCCTATGAAGATAGTCCGTAGATTCGCACTCCTGACTATATATGTCACTAATCTCACGCGTTGGAGTAGCTGAGAGCCTAGAATATAGTGTGTCCTAGCCAAGTGACGGTGCCCGGGTCCAAACAGCGAAGATGTCCTTCGGGGAGATAAAGAGGACGAAGGCCGAGGTCGAGGATTTCGGGTTGATCTCCGAAGTTGATGATTGGCTGGCACTGAGCGTTCGGTGCCTGATCCGACGCACTCCAGACCTTGCCTAGCTGGGGGCCTTCTAGCTCTGGGGCCCCAATCACATCCATGACAACCGTCGCAATGGCACTGAGCCCCGGATCGTGCTCGGGGTTGGATCCGAAGGTAGCATATAAGGTGGCTGCCCCACAAGACACCTGCAGTGCGAGATCAAGACCATCTAAAACCCTCTGCTATCAGCCAATATGTCGCCACCTAGAAAGTCGTTCGAGATAGCAATCGTGGGTGGTGGTATAGCTGGCTTGACTCTCGCAATAGCGTTGCGTAATCGCGATGTTGCTGTCAAGATTTATGAGCAGGCACCCAGATTTGGAGAGATCGGGGCGGGCGTCTCCTTTACGGCGAATGCTATCCAGGCTATGGACATTTGCGGACCTGGTGTCTACCAAGCCTTCGACAAAGTGGCAACCCGCAATGGTTGGACAAGCAAATCTAAAGTCTGGTTCGATTATCTCGACGGCACTAAATCGGAAACATCGGTAGATGGCAAGCCGATCCATCAGAAGCCAGAATTCGTAATCAAAAGCGAGATTGGCCAGAATGGTGTTCATAGAGCTCACTTTCTCGACGAGCTGGTCAAGCTCGTACCAGCAGATATAGCCGCCTTCGGTAAAAAGCTCATCTCTCTGGATGACAGCCAGTCAGCAAAAGGTGGCAAGCTTATCATGAACTTCGAGGACGGGACGGCTGCGGAGGCTGATGCTGTCGTTGGTTGCGATGGGATCAAAAGTCGAGTCCGAGCAGCCATGTTCGGAGACGATCATCCTGCGACAAGACCAGTATACACTCACAAGTATGCCTATCGAGCACTGGTACCAATTGACAAGGCAGTCGAAGTGCTCGGTGAAGAGAACGCGAAGAACGCTTGTATGCATGTAGGTCATCCCCGAGACGGTTTGAGCAAAATCGCTAACAAGGCCATAGATGGGCCCTGGAGCTCACGTTCTGACTTTCCTTGTCCAACATGGTGAATTTATGAATGTAGTCGCGTTCAAGACGAACCCCGATGACTGGCCCGACTACACTCGTTTGACGCGGCCTGCGAAGCGGGAAGATGCCCTTCGCGACTTTGGCGACTTTGGCCCAAGCATCATTGCGCTGCTGAAGTTAGCCAAACCAGAACTTGACTGTGTACGTGCTTGTTGCAACTTTGTTGAAATATGGACTGACCTCAACAGTGGGCCATCTTTGATCTTCACGACAATCCAGTCCCTTCAGTCAACAAGGGCCGTATACTGCTGGCCGGTGATGCGGCACATGCAACGTCGCCGCACAAAGGGTCTGGTGCGGGCTTGGCAATTGAGGACAGTGCTGTGCTTGCTGAGCTGCTTGCGGACGAGAAGGTTACCAGTGCAGCAGATCTCGACACCGTCTTTACCACCTTCAACAAGCTGCGCAAGGAGCGTGGACAGTGGTTGGTCAAAGCTAGTCGCCGCGCTGGTGACCTTTACGAGTGGCGTGCTGAAAATGTTGGCAAGAACTTCGAGAACATTGAGGAGGAAATCAACCGGAGTAACGCAGTCATCTCCCAGGTGAACGTCCGTGAGATGTGTAATGAGGCCACTGAGGCCTTGGCCAGTGCCCTGGGCAGTCAGCAGAAGGCGCAGCTGTAGAAGTGACCTTTCGAGCATGGAATTCTTGATTCATACTCTAGCGTACTACGAGACCCATGCGCTTCAGTTCTTGAACGTCATGCATGAGCCAGGCGCTGCTCAGGGCCGTAGATTCGGATCCGATCGAAAGCCAGGTAGCTGTCCCGTCCCTACCCACGCGGCTTATACAGTCAACACTTACAGCGTGTTCTCCCGTCGTCGCTGGGTTAGCTTCCAATTCGTCACAGATCCCGTTGAGAATACATTGTGCGGCGTGAATGGGTTGGGCAAAGTCCTTGTGCAACTCCAGCATAGTAGTAGCCTTTTTGAGATGTATCTGGAGCAACTGCTCCGATACGAGCTCGTCGCTGTCGGCGACATCCACATGAGTGGCAGGTACCTTTGCAAGAGTCCAGTTGCGTCCCACAAGTAAGCATACAGCGGCTGTGAAGATGCGAGAAGCGGTGAACCAGGGCGACAAGTGGTTGATCATGGTGTGCTGATCGTAGATAGCAGCAATCAACGAAGTCGCAGATTGGATAGCAGTTTCTGAGGCGCGAGCCACCAGCTGATAGTCCAGTGAGTTTGCCCGAGCGAACCGACTCAGGCTCATCTCGGCACACATCCGGAACAGTAAAGGTCGGTGCAATGCCAGTCGCGCATGCCATAACCGAGTTCGCAGAATGTCGCCATGGAGTTCGTATACAGTAGTTGTCCTCTGTCGAGAAAGATTGAACTCGCAAGCCAACAACCCGTTCTCTGCTCGGAGGGACAGCAGCTGTTCGAATTCGAAGTACTCGAGATCTCTGCCAATCCTTAAAATGTGCTGAAGAAGTGCGTCACGCATTCTACTCGACGACGAATCCGCCACACCATGATCCGCCGATGTCGTATGGCTTGCGACCATGGAGCAAATCTCTGTGGTTGCATGGTTGAGAGATATTGCTAAGGTGAATGCAAGCAGGTAGGACTTCTGCTGCGCCGGCTGAACGCCCTCGCCTGATGGTAGAAGATATTCATCGTCAATGGATGAGGGTGGTAAGACTTCAGTATCTGAGACTGCGGCTGGTCGGTTGAACGCCAGGGATAACAGGCGGTCCATGATGACACAATCGTACCAAAGCCTCCGGCCGACCTCTCTATCAAGCTGGCTTGGTTGGGCTCGATGCGTTTGTTCAAGATGTAGACCAAGGCCGTGGGCGGCTCTGACAGCCAGGCCGACGACGTTCCAAGTACGGGCGGCATTGGGAGTGGATTTCAAGTAGATGCTGGTCAGCAACAGAGTCTGGAGTTGTTGAACAGATGCGGTATCAATGAGTTCAACTGTACATAGACGGTTAGCCCGAGCGTAGAACTCTGCAGCTAGAGAGGCTCTTCGGGAAGGCTCAACAGTGTGGCTCAGTTGAGAGCCGATGGCAAAGACAAGATTGACAGCTGTCCAGAACAGAGGTGTATCGGTGAACTCAATGGGTATGTCTCGAGTGGTAGAAGGTGCCCAGAGGCTGTTGTAACCCGTGAGGAATGTGGGCTTATGAACCACGGGCCACAATGGGTGCACAATCAGGAAGAAAGCATCCACGAAACTATCGGCCAAGCGGCGTGGGGGAAGAACCATCGCACTTGGATCCAATGCTGTGGGATGTGGCCCCTCGTTGTGAGGCCGCGCAGCGGCCCAACTGCCTCTCAAGCTCTCGTCACTTGTAGTCTCTGGGTTCGTTAGGAGATATGAGCCTGCTGGCGCAGAGCCGTGCTGACTCCTGATATCAGATGGGGAACCAGAGCTGTTGACCGCCGCAGTAATGGAAAGAGTTGATGCTCTCCGGGACGAGGTCGAATTTGCCGGATTACTCTCAGCAGGGCTGACATTGGTCCGCTCGAGGTCCTTGATCCGCTGTTCGAGCTCAGTAACATATCGTTGAGTCCTCAATGCAGAGTTTTCGTACATGCACTCCTGAGACCGTCCTCGTCGTTGACAAGGCGTACACGACGGTTGTTGACCATCGCAACGTGTTTTACGGTCTCGGCAATAGTTGCAGGCCAGCTGCGCCTTGCGCCGTTTCACAGGGCGCCCGTCACCGAGTCGAAGTGAGCTTTGTGTCTCCATGATAACTAGAGAATGGTCGAGTAGCCAAAGTGCAAATAGCTCTCTCCTGCCTAACGCCGGGTGATTCTTCCAATGTAGCGCGTGTAGGTGCTCGATCCGAGAAAATCGGAAAAGATCCCGATGGCTATCGCGAAGACCCCAAGCCGTGCATGTAGTGAGCCACAGACATTGTGGATTCGATCGCGATGATAGTGCACTAGGGAGCCTTGGAAGCTTGTAGCCTAGTCGCGCGAAGCCAAAGCCATAGGTGATATGGGCGGGTGAATAGGGAGGACAGCAAGCCGGAATAAGTCGTATTGACTGCTTAGTTGTGGTTGGTCTCGGCATCGTTGACCGCGTCTTCATTGGGTCGAGAGCTCGTCTTCCACAACTCTCGACAACGACAAGGGCGGTCTAGTCAAGTTTCACGAAGATGCTGTCGCCACATCGTGAGCAGCCTCTATCCTCTAGGTAGGTACTAGCTTGAACGTCACATCGACATCTCCTTTTCCAAGCTCGACCTTCTCTGAATTATGATCCCACAACGTCCTCTCAAAGAAGCGCACATTCATGTCATGGTCGACCAACACCACACTCTGTTTCTGGGTTGCGTAGATGCCGTCCACTCCCAACTGTTTGATGTCGAACTTGGACTGCCCATCCACGACTTTCACCTTCTCCTGATCATTCGCCGAACGTAGTTTGTCTCCGTCGAGGCTCGCTTTGCTCTTCCTTCCTAGCGGTGGCACGAATATGGTATTGCGCAGCTCTGTAATATAGGTATCAAGCCCGCCTTCAGCCAGGTCCCCATCACGAGGAAGGGTATCGTGGCTCAGTATTGTAAGCAATCGCTTGATAAGCTGGTCCTCGGTTTCTTTCTTGGCCACGCTTTTCCTGATTGCCTCGACAGTCATTTCCTCGCCCATGAGGACCTTCTTCCACGTGCGATCAGTGAAGGCAGCATTGCTGAGACCCACAGTTTGCACAATATCACCTGCGATCCATGGCACCTCGCCGCCTGCCTTTGCTCGGTTGGAGATGACGGCAAGCTGCTCGCCTAGCTGTCCACAGACCAGACTGAAGCCACCGGCGTCTTTTGCGACACCCGTGTTGACGATGTTCTTGACAAATTCGTCGGTGCTGCCCACGTCTTCGGTTAGAAACTTCTTTATAATAGCTCCACGCGACGTGGCTTTGGGGTCAACATAGTCTTCTTTATAGTTTGTAAGCACTGCCACTTTGCCCGACCTCGTTGCCCCTAGCCATGTGCCTTGCGTCGATCTCAATAGATCTCTTGACCCAAATACGTCCGGAAAGGAAGGCCAGAACGATGCTGTCGATGTAGGCCTGTTGAGAAATTCATCACGGTTGTCGAGCAATATCAGCCGATACTTAGGGTGGGCTGTAGATATGATGGCGATGCACATGGCCTGTCAAATGAGTGCTTTGCTTTGAATTGTATTATGTTATTGTTGTCTTGTCTTGACCATCCTCTGGCCGATGGCGGTCAAGAAGAGTAAATTCATGACGGTACCAAGCCGGAATATATATGCCGCAGAACGACAACGGGTGCTACTGTGGCATGATGCCTGCCACGTCGCTACTACCAGCACAGCACATGGATGACTCAAGATAAACTGTTCGGATGTTCCAGTTGGCGGAAGAAGACTTCGGACAGCCTGGGTTGCTTCGATAGCAGCCTTGTGTTGTGCTGAAATGTTCCATGTAGGACACCGGATGGTGAGCCTCGGCTACGCTTGAGCCAGGCCGTTGAAAGCGCGGCCCGCGATGTGGCTTAAGGCGATCAGCACGCCTATCGATACAGCACTCTTAAGCGGACTTTTCGGCTCGAGGCTGACGCGGATACCCCACCAATCTTCAGCTTGGAACATCTAGCTGCGATCCTCCCGCTGTCGTGTGTTCAGCTGCGCGAGCTACATGGTTCTACTGCGGCGGCCACTTGTACTTTTATCGTGCCGCAAGTCTTCCTATTCTTCCCTTCGATGTGAGTATCCCAAATCGACCTCACTCTCTAGTATCTGGCTGCAGTCTCAGCGCCATTCTTGTCTCTCGCTGCCTCGCCTCGACCAGCCTAGTCACTAGAAGCGCGCCAGGTGCTATTCAACATGTTTGGCTTCGTGGCAGACCTCATCTCGTGAGTGGTTTTACTCGCCTCATCGTCCCTACTGACACACTCCAGCTCTGTGACCTGCATCATTCTACCTGCCTATATCTCATACAAAGCCCTCCGCAGTCGAGACCCCGCCCAGTCGCACCCATGGCTGATCTACTTCACCGTTCTCTCGCTCGTCCAGCTTGCTGATGCTTACACCGTTTTCATAACGGGCTGGATACCCTTCTTTGGCATTGTTCGTCTATTCTTTATGCTATACCTTGTTCTGCCGCAGACGCAGGGCGCCAAAATCATCTACCTTAACTACCTCGAGCCTTACGTTGTGCACCACGAGAACCAGATCGACGAATTTATCACTTTGGTCCACAATCAGCTCAATTCCGTGGGCTTCGGTTACCTCAATGTCATCATTGAGTTTGTAAGAGAGAAGGTTCTCCGTCAACAATCTCCCCAACCACCCCCGCAACAGACTGGTGCAGGGAACTATAGCAGCTACGCAAACGACTTGATGTCGCGGTTCCTCATGCCTCAGGCCCGCCCCTCTGCGGATCAACCAGTCGGTGGCATCTACGGTGCCCTGTCCGGCTTCGCATCTTCTGCCCTAGCTGGCACGGCCGGTGGCCGAACCCGTGGCATGGATGATGCAGCCTCAGTCCCGGATTCGCTAGCTACAGATGCCAGCAACAAGGACTCATCCCAGCGTGCTAAGTACATCTCCGATCAACGCGAACGTCTGACCGGTATCTTAAGACAGCTTGAAAGCGAACAGCAGAACATTGATCTGGCGTACGGCTCCGCTGGAAGCATGCCCAAATCTCGCTCCGCAACCTCCTTCGTCAATGTCGACCATGATGACTTCCAGCCGCCACCACCTGTAACTGGCAAGAACAGCAGTAGGAACAGCAGCGGCGGCAATTGGGGCCAGGCTGCGCAAGCGGCAGCAGGATTCTTTGGCGGCGATGATAAAAAAGGGGGCAGAGAGTCGAGTGGGTGGAGTGCTGCACGCGATATTACCGCTGCTATCTCTAGTGGCCTGGACAGAGACGACAATAAGGGCGACAGGCGGAGATAGCATCCCTCTCTGCCAAAAATGCTGAGTATTGATGTGAGGCGCGAGGATGGGCAGCTGTTGGACGAACGGAAGGTGCGCGATCAGCGTCGGGATTCGAATGCATCTGTCGAGGAGAACCATTCAAACGTCGGTCTTAGTGCTCACGATCGAGGCCAAGGCACTTTTCAAGCAGACCTGAGCAAGACTTCGACCTATGTCAATACTGAAAGTCCGGATCAGAGTCCGCCATTCACGCCGCGCCTGCAGCCGACCAAACAAGTCGATCCGAGGCTGAGCGTCAGCACCAGTGTGAGAGCTTGGAGACAGCTTGACGATTGACGTTCACGAAGGATGCATGGTTCTGTCCGTAGCGACTTCGTTGTACCAAAAGCGTAGTGTTTTAAGCCTTGTCCTACTCAGGCAGTGAGTATACATTATCACCCATGCTCCGTTGGTGGCGTACATGGCGCTGTCAAGAAACTTGGGTCCATCTCCTCGAATCAACCGCTATTGACTCGCTTGAAATGATCATAAAGTACTACAGCCACAGGCTATTGTCCGTCATAAACCTCCCATGAGTTCCCGTTTGTGAACATGTCCATTTCAATATAGTTGTCAGACTGGCCTGCCTGATACATGCTCCCGACTTCGAATTTGTCCCAGCGTCAACCCATCGTCCTGCGGGCGTGCCTGGGCCGCGTCAGCCCTCCTCTCCGTCCTAACCCTCAACCTTTCCCTCAAACGCCTCGCCAGACCCCGACTCTCTTCCACCTCCTCAGCTGCGCCCGTGGACGTTCCGGCCTCGCCTTGTCTCTCCTGTCGACGCTGTTCCCTGAATCTCCTCAACGCCATCACCCTCTCTTCCCGCGATCCAGCCAGTGCTCTCCTCAAGCCAGCCAGAGCGCCTTCTCCGGCTCCCTCTGCGCCCACACCCGCGCCCACACCAACGGCACTGTGGCGCCTCGCCCCCCTGCTCCGCCCACTTCTCAGGCTGAACGCCATCAGGTGGTCCTCGCCAGGCCGAAAACCAGCAGTCGTACTCACACCATAGTGAAAATGCCTATCGTCGGCAGGCAGTGTGCCACTCGCAGTCGTAGCACCGTCACCACTGTTCCCCGTTGCATCTCCCTCTTCTCCGGTACCTCCTAACCCGCCCTCTCCGGCGCCGTTCTCCTTGGGCCGTAGATCGATGCGGCACAATGGGCATGTACCGGAGACGTTGAGCAGCCATGGATCCACGCACTCCGGGTGAAATCGGTGGTTACAGGGCAACACTCGCACGTCGGAGCCTACAACGAAATCCTCGGTGCAGATTGAGCAGGACGGGGCGTTCTCTTCAGAGGCGCCTGCTATTGGTGTGGGGCCATCGGTAGGCTTGGGGGCGTCTTGGTCTGGCGGTGATGTGGTGAACGGCTCGGTTGCAGGAGAGGATGACTTTCCAGCGGTGGCTGCCGCTTCGGCACCCACCGCAGTCGCTTGAGTCAGAGCGCCAGTAGATGTATCAGTACCGCTGGCGTTGGAGCCATTGCTGTTGGGCATCTCGGCTGTCATCTCGATATCTCGCCCACGGTCACCGTTCGTCGCGTCCGCTTCGCTGCCGGCCGCTACACTACCGCTTTTCTGGGCAGCCCCCGCGGTACCGCCATCGCCATCCCGGTCCCCAAACTTCACAATAGGGAGCGTGTCCAGCATCGCCCTCGCCACACCGCGCGCGCGGCTCTGTCTGCCTCGCCCGCCAAGACCCGCTCCCACCCGCGGTCCATATCTCTCCGGATGCCTGTGCGCACGAATGGCACCCGTGATAATGATTGTTACAAACAGTGCTGTGATAACACCTGTAATGCTGTACAGAATGATCATTGCGACGGCGGTCGTAGGGGAGCCATTAGGTCCACGCGACCCCCAGCCGCCATTATGGTTGTCGGAGGTGGCATTTGTATAGGCATTCAGGTCTGGGAGCAGAGTGGCGGTAGCCGTAGAGGAGTTTGTGGACGTGGGAGTAGAGGCACTGAGCATGGATGCAACCATCGGCTCTGTTGTGGTGAGGAGTGTGGCAAGTTGGGGAAGGGAGTGGATGCCGGTGGCAGTGCAGTGGTTCGAGATACGGGAGAAGAGGATGATAAGGAAGGCCTGACGGTTCGTTAGCTGACTGAACAATGAGACGGCAACTTGCGGATGCAGTGAGCAGGGGTGACAGCGACATAAGCTGCGTACGAGAGACATACATCCGAGTTTGACGCTGCAATGGTGAACACATTGTTGGCATTGAGGTTTCCCTCGTAGTCGTCTGGATCGCACGACAAGTAGAAGAAGTTCCGTGGTGGCTCATCGAAGTTCGAGTTGGCATTGCTGGCATCTACACGGACAAGACGCCCCGTCACGTCGGTCTGCGTGAAATCTGAATGCGACATCTCTGCGTACTGGCCGAGAGGCGCCAGCCGGATGGCCGGCATGTCTGTGAACTCGGTGCCATTGAGGAGGAAACGGGGGGACGTGGACGCCGGGTAGAGATCTTGTGATGAGTTGGAAGGCGATATGGTTTGTGCGACAGTTGAGGCGATCAAGAAGATGCCGGTAGCCAGCGGGTGGCTACTGAGAAACATTTGTGCTACCGGGTTGGTCGGCAGGTGTACATCAGGTCAACTTGTGGTATATATGTACAAGAACTTTCCGCTTAGTAGAGGGCGGAGGGTGTTCAGGTGGTTGCCACTGATAAGGGCTGTGATTTGGTCATCACCGGGAACGCCGTGCAATGTCGCGCTGGACTCGAGCCGCAGCCGCCGTCACTACCGTGAAGCTGGCTTTGGGTGGAAGGAGGGGTAGACGTCTCGAACGCACGGTGTTTCGTGTTCGCTTTCGCTGTTGTTTTCAGAAGAAGACATTAAACTTCGGCTCACTGTGACAGGCATGCGACAGTGTGGCGGAGTAAATGGCTGTCAGCTTAGGAGAAGCAAAGCGCACCCACGCCAACCTTGGCCAACTCGCCGAACGGGACTTCTACATGTCACCATCATGCTGACGAGCTGCAAGTGTGGGAGCGTGGGGCGTCCGATTGGCAACCAGCGGGACCCTGCGCGGGGGAATGGATCCAGCGAGCCGAGGGTGCCGAGAATGCCTAACTATGCCTAGGCGATTGGGAATCAGGGCTATGGAACTCCGTAGAGCTAGGCTTGCACGAGCAATTGTCCCTGTGAACCGATGAATGCCTGGCTCAGCATTTTATGTCTTGCGTTTGACCAGACCTTTGAAGAAATCAAAGCTGTTAGCATCACTCTGCAGTTCAAACCGCTTGCCCGTCGGGCGGTCTTCCCAGCCGAGTTCCTCCGCTATAAGCAGCCCATAGTCACGCGTGACGCCCTTTACCCGCGCTCTCTGACCAGACTCCGCCTCCAACGTAACGATCTGGTCCATGTGCAGCCAGTCTTTGTAATACAGTTCCTCCATAAACCCATCGAAACCAGTCTGCAGGAAGGTTGAGTACAATTCGTCGAAGACGGTCAAAATGCGGGCAAGTAACTTCTCCAGCGCGAAGGGAGGCAGATTCTTCCTCTTGAGGTGAGGAACGAGTTGGTTGAGTGAAGTCGTGGGAGCCGCATTCGCTGTGTTGATGCCACAACCGCAGACCGCAATGTACTCTTTGGCATTGTAGTGAGAATTGACCAAGATTCCACCAATCTTGACGTAATTTTCACGGCCAATCGTGTCCTCTTTGCCAGGCTCCAGCGCGTATATGTCGTTAGGCCATTTGAGCTTGACTGGCATATCGCGATAGAGGTTACCTTCGTATGTCTTTATGCCACGGACGATGGCCATAGCCGCCAGATACTGGACGAAGACCACTGGAGCAGTCTGCATCTGAGCCATTGGATGCCTGATGACTGTGCTGAAAATCAGCTGGCCGGCCGGTGACACCCATACATTGGATCCGCGGCCTCGTCCAGCAACTTGAACAGTGGCCGTAGCAGTGAAGCCTTGGGGCAGGTTGCGCAGGATGTGTGTGTTTTTTTCGAGCATGGTATTGGTCGATGTCACCACTTCTCCGTATAGAAGATGTGTGCCGAATGATGATGTTCTCGTTCTCGTTTGCGATTGATAGTGTTTGAGGTTCGCAAAAAATGCATGATGATTGAAGTAAGGGGTTGCTTTCGAATCTGGGATGTCGTCTTCGTGCAATAACAACTGTTTGACGACCAGGTTATAGTCGACTATCGTTTCGGTGCTACGGCCAGAATGGTCAGCCGGCTCCCCTTCTGTGGGCAATGCTTCGGCAAGCTCAAGCAGCTTCCATGTCGAAGGTTTGACAACATGGAACGTATCGTTCTCATCTTTGAGCATCTGCTCGCCGCTCTCATCTGGTTTGATGAGGCCGGAGAGGGATTCGAAGATATTGGTGACATTGGATGGATCGGTAGAGGATAAGTGGAGACGAGAGAGGGACGGTACATTTTGTTCCTCACTGACCGTTAATCCCAGCTTAACCAGGATCGCCTTGAGAAAGTCGATGCGGTGCTTCTCGTCGGCTGCTAGCGCTTTGATAACGTCCGAGAAGCCGGGTACACTTGGCTTTTCCTCCATATTGGCCGAGGCAAACCTGGGTTTCGTCAGCGCCCAGTCATCTGCTGCCTTGCCTAGGTAGACAAACTCTGGATGAGGGCCTGTGAGTAAGGCAGCTCCTTTCCCGACTTTGCAATAGACTATCGCAGCGGACCCTTCTCCAGAGTCAACGGCCACGTCAGCTGAGTAGCTTGCCAACACTTCAACGCCCTTGTCTGCGAGCTTCGGAGCATCTACGAAAACGCCACCTCCGTTGTAGTATGATTTGAAAACGTTGGGAACAGATCCTGCTGCCAGGAACGCCTTATCAGACTCTAGCTCCACAGCCCGAGCGCCTTTCTCGCTGTGGTAGACAAAGCCAGGAAATGCACAGCCTCGTGCCACACCAGGATAGAAGGCCAGTTCGCGGTCACCAATCACCTCAAGAGATTTGTTGCCAACTTCAAACTCACATCGTTTGCTGCCGTAGTAGCCACCGGCACAAAAGCCAATATACAAGCCGCCGTTCTCAACAAATTGTCGTATGCGTCGATTGCCAGCGCCATTCAGAGTGCGACAGTAGCCTTGATCAGCACCGCCAGGAAAGACAATGGCGGCACATGTGGCTGTCCAGGGTTCCTTGATAATCATGTCACCTGTGACCGGAATAACCGCATAGTTGGGGGAAAGAAGCCGGCGAAGGGTGTAGAGGCAGTGCCGGACCGATTCCACCGTACTGCCATCACCTGGAGCGAGCATTAGATTTTCATTTCGGCGCCATTGTTCGTAAGTCAGCGCACCGGAGTAGACTAGAATGTTCAACCGTTTGGAAGACATGGTAGTGAATGTGGCGTGAGGTGATATCTACACCGTGTCCGAGCCAGAATGTTCTTGTCCTCCTTGGTACCACCCACAAAGATGAGCAAAGTGGAACAGCCTGCCAATACAAAGGAGGAAGATGAGGAGCTCGACGACTGGTAGGCTATCGCACTTCGCCAACGTACTGGTAGGATTGACAAGATTCTTAGGGACAAGAGGATTTTCAGCACCGGATGCGCTGGTACTGTTGCATCGTCAAGACAACGTTGTTTCAGACACTGATGGCCATAGATGAACAGCTCAAGATGAATGATTGTTACTACGACAAGAAAGATTGGAGACTCTGTCGGAAAGAGGTGAGCGCGGTGTTGCTGTTGAGTCCCAACCGCCGAGTGAAAATGCCTCGGGGTGGAATCAAGCGCCTTACTCCGGCGAGATGGCTGACACGCAATGCAGATGGAGCTTTTCAGAGAATGCTGGAAGCGCAATGGCAACGAACAGAGGACGCAGAGTAAGGGAGCCAAGTAGATGCTGCTGGTTGCACGCAGTGCAAATGTACGATCTATGGGTGGTGGCCAGTGAGCAGCAAGTCACGGGGTTTGGTGTCGCCCAGCGTGGCCAGGCAAAGCAGCTTTACCGCGACCGCGATTTAAATTGCATTTCTTCACCATCAGATATTCCATTCTCTCGACTTCGTCTTTGCGTGCCGTTGTTCGGCCGTAACTCGAACATAGACTGTTCTTTGAACATATCACTACTAAATCACCATGGCCTCAAAATCCCCAGCCGTCCGAGTCCTGAGCATGGTGCGCAGCTCGCCTGCTAACCCACGCTATGCCCAGTTTCAGCATCGCCTCTCTACTCGCACTGTCTTCACAAAATCTACGCCACGTCAAGCTCAGCCTGCTCCTTCACCTGCAACGTCTGCCACCTCGCCGAAGGCGCATGCGCCCCCGTCCGCATCGAAACCCGCCGACGTTGCTCTCAATTTCGAGGACGAACCGATCAAGCTACAAGAAGATGATCCGAGTGGAATTGACTGGTCTTCGTCATTCAACGGCCTGTCCGTACAACCATTCTCAAAAGAAGCCGCAGATGTCCTCCTCGCTCCATTAGTCAAGAATGATGTCGAGATCAAGCCCGATGGCATCATCTACCTTCCCGAGATCAAGTATCGTCGCATTCTGAATAAGGCGTTTGGGCCTGGAGGCTGGGGACTGGCACCGAGAGGCGAGACAATCGTCACCGACAAATCTGTAACAAGAGAGTATGCATTACTGGCCCTAGGGAGGTTGGTGTCCATCGCTCGTGGCGAGCAGGACTACTTCAACAAGGATGGTATTCCTACGGCCTCCGAGGGATGCAAATCAAACGCTTTGATGCGATGCTGCAAAGACCTGGGCGTCGCAAGCGAGCTTTGGGATCCCCGATTTATCCGAGAATTCAAGGCAAGTCATGCTCGCGAGGCCTTTGTGGAGCATGTGGTCAACAAGAAGAAGACCAAGATTTGGCTGCGCAAAGGCGATGCCGTACAATATCCATATAAGGAAACCAAGTTTGGTGCTGCATCAGCCTGAGCGTGGCTCGGCTCTAGGCATCGGCGGTGACATGTCTGATGTTCTGCGGCGGAAATGAGCTGGACAAGCACTGGCCCCTTCCGCCCCCGCCACCACCTCCACTCCAGCCTCGTGTGCTCTTAACAATTTGTCGCACGGCGCTCAACAAGTCCCAGAAAGATACTTGCACACGGACCTCACGAAAAAGATCCAGGACTGGCAGAACAGGATTCGTCGATTGGACGCATCATGCACGATGTCTCACGGCGAGACCAGCGGTAGGCCAGCTCAGCCATGAACAGCGGACTCTACATGCATCCGGAGCTTGATAGATGTGCGAATCATGGAAACCCGAAGGCCTTTCCGACGAATGGGATGCAGTCATATCCCTGCATTCGGCCTGATCAGCCACTTGGTCTCGGAGCTTATTGTCTCCAGCCATGTAGTTTGGAAGCCAATTCTTATAGTCGTTAACGTCACCACACCTATGTTTGGAATGTCCACCTCTCATAGCCGTTCATTCTGGATACTCATCAACCTTCTCATTAGCATCTGCGCGCCAGTCCCTGCCATCGTGGAATAACGACTCCCTTTCCGAGCAATGGACCTGACGATCTATGCCAGGAACAGCGTGGAGTACATCCGCCCCGACTCCGAATAATCAGGCCTGGCCGTTCGAAAGCGCACTGGAACACCCGCCATGAATCCTGAACCAAAATTCGCAGCTACGGACAAAGTCAAGCATGTTGGCATGCAAGGTTCCCGGGGTGGTGTACAAGCAATGGCTGGTTGTGGTACGTAGACTTAAAAACTGGTTGGTTCGCACTTCGATCAGCGACGCTGTACTTCTGCCCTCTTTTTCCTCGTGTCACCCACTGATCGCCTAGCCATGCTCCCATCACTCTCTGTTTGGGCGACGCTCGCCGTGAGTTCCCTGGCGGCCCCATCACGCTCGTGGAACTCGTGGGGAGATAGCAACGCATGCACACCAGACAAGGTCCAGGTTCGACGCGATTTCGACAAACTCGCCCCCGAAGAGCGCAAAGCCTTCACCGATGCTATCAACTGCATGCGGGAGCAACCCTCAAGCTTGGACCAACAGAAGTACTCCGCCGCCATCAACCGCTTCTTCGATTATGCAGTCGTTCATACCAACCGAACCAACGTCGTTCATCTGGATGGCTTCTTTCTGACATGGCATCGGTATTTCGTGCACCTATTCGAGAAGGACCTCCAGGATAAGTGTGGCTGGGATGGCACTATGCCATACTGGAATTGGCCGGGCACAGCTGGTCAGCTTGAAAGCGCACCTATTTTCGACGGTAGCGCCTATTCCATGTCTGGTAACGGCGAGTTCCTTGATGTTGGCCCGTACCAACTTGGCCCCAACTTCTCTTTGCCCCATGGCTCGGGTGGCGGTTGCATCCAAGGCGGTCCTTTTGAAGGCATGAATTATACCATGCAAGTCATTCCCAGCAATCTACTGTCGACCGGCGCCCCTCTACCTCCCACGACGTTCGTGAAGAACGAAACCTGCCTAACGCGAGATTTGAATGATCCCGTGTCTGCGATGTATCTGAATGAGACTGCATACAAAGCAGCTGTCGCTGCGCCTGATCAGGCCACATTCTCGACCCTCATCAACGGTGTGTTCGGTGGTGCTGCTTTGGGTTTGCACTCGGGCGCTCATTTTTCAGTCGGGCCACCCTTCTCGTCCATCTTTGTTTCGCCGCAGGACCCTATCTGGTACCCAGCGCACGCTATGCTCGACGTCCTCTATTCACAATGGCAGGACGCTCATCCCGAGATTTACGACCAGGTCTACGGTACTATGACGGCTGCCAACGTTCCTCCGAGCGCGAACGTCACTCTCGATAGCGTCCTCCCCGATTTTGGGTACTTCTATGAAGCCCCTCTGACTATCCGAGAGCTGATCAGCACTACTGCTGGTCCGTTTTGCTACAAGTACGAATATCCATGAGGAGGACTTGATCTGGGATCTCGTGAGATGGCGCATGTAAATATTTTACATAACAACTCCCAAACGTGGAGTATAAGCTACCAATAATTCTAATGAATGCTGCTTCACCTGCTCTATCTTTCCTGAATCCTTGCAGCTTGCATCACCTGAGCTATTCACACTGGCAATTGCTGGCGGGGCGGCTGGTGCTAAAATTCTTGGTACCAGTGGTGGCTGCCGCCTAGCACTGCGGGGTTTGTCGCGCGTACTCGCCGATCCAGAATTGAATGCTTGACCGTCAACCAAGCAGTGCTCATCCGACAGGGACCTCTCCGGCCAAGCAGTTACTAGACAACGTTGCCGACGACTATTTCCTCATGCTCGAAACCACTTACCGTCGCAGCTTCCTCATGTCCACACGTGTCCAGTCCTCAGACCTCATGCAATTGCATGCTGGATGATCGCCCGTGTCACGCCACAGCGCGATCTGTGTCAGAGAAGCATCACCGCCCCTTTATAACCGGAAGCCAGCACGTGTCAACGAAGCGAAATCACTCACGCGAGGAGGGCAACAAGCACACGACTTTGCACTGCCTCATCTGACCCAGCAAATCTTCCCAACTTCGAGGCTCCAAGCCGCCCCAAGCCTAGACCTCTTTGTCCCCGCATTTTTCAACCTGTCATTGCTCCGAAACTCAACTTCCAAAGATGACAGCAGCCGCAGCTGCGAACCGGCCACCACAAGATCTCCCCGCGTCTGCCAAGTCGCCCAAAGAGGTGGAAAACCAAGAGCTTGGGTTTGGCCAGGTGTGGGAGGGTGCGGCTCAGCCTCCCTCGAATGGTGCTGCCAGACCCAACCTAGAAGACTACGGCCGCCGCAGATCAACTGTTCAATTCTCCACGGCACATGCTGAAGATACGATAAGACGAGAAAGCATTGTAAATCCGATCAAAGTACCGTCTCGAGAGTCCTCCAAAAGAATGGCGTCTCCGCCGCCTCCCTCTCACTACAGTCGTGGTGTGTCCTTCGATACCTTCGATAACAAAGGTGCCACTACCGAGGGTTTCACCCTAAGGTACAAACATCGTGACTATGCCAACTCTGCACGAAGCCGCACGTTCCTTTGCGGAACAGATGCCAAAGACTACTCTGAGTACGCTTTGGAATGGATGATAGATGAGATGGTAGACGATGGCGATGAGATCGTGTGCTTGCGAGTCATCGAAAAAGAGGACAAGGCTTCCATCACAACCAAGTATCGGCAGGAAGCCGAGAAGCTCCTCGACAGTGTCATAAAAAAGAACAGCACGGAGGACAAGGCGATCAGCATGATTATGGAGCTCGCCATCGGCAAGGTGCAGGAAGTTTTCCAGAGAATGGTAAGTTTCAGCGAAGGAGGTGAGATTCTCACTGACTCAAGACAGATTGGCCTGTATGAACCTTCTGCTCTGGTAGTCGGTACTCGAGGTCGCAACCTCGGCGGTATGCAGGGCCTGATACCTGGCTCAGTATCCAAGTACTGCCTGCAGCACTCACCTGTTCCTGTCATTGTTGTTCGGCCTACCTCTAAGAGATTGAAGAAAAAGATGAAGCGTCAGCAAGAGACAGGAAGAAGTTTGTACAGCTCCATGGTTGAGCAAGCGCAGCATGTTGGTGGTAGACATCTTCGTGACAAGGATGTTGTGCAGACCTCTCTGGCCAACGTTGCTACCGAACAGGAAGCCGATGCAGTCGCCAAAGCTATCGGCACCAACAAACGCGGCAAGGGTATTCTGAAAAACTATGGTGGGCCACTGGCCAGAGTAACCTCTAACACCACGGACGTCACGTCTGACGAAGACGATGTGCCAGCTCCTGGTTTTTCTCTGCCTATTGGATACCTTAGCACGGAGGCGGCACCGAGAGCCGATCTCGCGATGAAGAGTCCAAGTATTGCCATGCTGGAAGAGGATTGGGATGATACCCCGACGAGAAGCAGATCACCAGCGCCTGCAGCGAATGGAGGAAAGCACGAACGAAGCGGGAGCGACGCCTTCTCGGAGGGCGACGAGGACTTGCTTGGACCTGCAAAGATTGTCGAACATCGGCGGCCAAGTATGCGCGAAACAACACCTTGGCTTGCCGACATTCTGAGAGACAAGCCCCCGCCTCGTAATCGCAGTGGGAGCCGACAAAGGGACAGTAGGTAGGGGCGGAGTCCAGCAAGGTGCGCATTACGCTGAGCAGGAAACGACGATTGGCTGTCCGGCTCGACGATGCTTCGGCAGCCGTTGATAGTTGGGCGCTTGCCAATGGCCCGACCGACATGATCCAGCAAAGCTCGATCAAAACGACACAGAATGTCTTATGCCGACGTGTCATATTGCAATTCGGCGTACAAGTCGTCACTTGGCACCACTTCGTCTTTGTCAGGAGCGAGGAGGTCGCAGACATAGCACGGTCATACGCCATGTACACAGCGAGCTGATTAGAGGGGCACGCTCGTTGCTCGCCAATTTTCCTATCCGGTCAACGAGAAGGGCCATACCAGTGCCAATTCAGGGCCATCAAGTTCGCAACGGTCATTTGAGCCGCAAGGTCGGACAGCAAGAGGAATGATGGGAATCAGACTGGACATTGTCGCTGTGGCACATGCAACGCAACCCATACCCGCACGAGGAGACGGCAAACATGGCCGTGCAAACGACTCCGTGGGAATTTCAGGTGTATGAACTGGGCACAGTCGTACCTGTATTCGACGCAGCTTGGAAAGACGCTCACCCAGGTTGTATATATTTGTCGTACCGCTCTCTGAATGAGACATGTTCGTTGCCAGCTCTGTGAAGACCTACGCATATGTGACAAGCCACACGCAAACGAAAAAGGCGCATTGCAAGACTCAAATTCGGGTACAGATACGGAGCAGCTCTAGAGTAGTTACGCTGTTGACACAGTGACGCAACTTGTGACAATTCTGGACCCCTGCAGCTCCAACGTGCCAGGCCTCGTCTGCTCCGCCGCCCTTGCCGCGTGCGCCCGCCCCCCCTCGACAACGTCCTCATTCCTTTCCACCACGAGACCAGTGGCATACGCAACCCATCACAAGCCGTCTATCTCTTACATTGCTTCGACTGACTTAGCCCCTACGATGTTCAGCCATTTTGTGCACTGCTGAGCCCTTGGTCCTGAACCCCGCCACGATGATACCTTCGGTCGACAATTGCGAAGAGTGCACGCCGCCTAATGACCATTTCGGACCCAAGGCCGCGTTCTCGACAGTGCCATTCATCTCTACGTTCGCTCTCGTCACCTTGGTCGCCTATCGCAAGGTGCACCCGCTCCTTGCTGGTCCAGGTGCAAGCACCAACGTTTCCTCCAAGTCACGTCTGCCGACACCCGCAGTCTACCATGAACCGCCGACTCAAGTCATCATCCGGCGTATCGCCGCTCTTACCTTCTCGTTCACTATTGCTCTTTCCGCCGTCCTTACAGAACTCCTCCTCTGCGAAATCTCAAACTCTTTCAACCCCACGGCACGCAGCCTCGCCCTCCAAGTGACAGTCGTGTCGTTGTTGGGACTGCTGGTCATCGCCATACCTATCCTCGGAATCCATACAGTTGTTACAAGCTCTGGTGAACGAACCAAGAATGCTAGCACCCGAAAGAGGCGGATTGCGTGGTTTATCGAGGCTTTAGGGTATGCCCTCTTCCTAGGCCTATTCTGGGCTTTGGGAGCACTTCTGCCTGCGGCTACTCCGACTACTATAGTTGCAAAGCAAAGGCTGAATCTGTTTCAGGCATGTCTTGATCGGCTTGGTATCACAGGTGTCACACTTATGGCTTTGCTCAGTGGGTTTGCGTCTGTGAGTGCCATCTGGCAGACCTTTGGGCCGAAGGTCAAACTGGTCATGGAAAGCGACATCAGCAGAAAGCAGGCCGGCTACGACGCGACGGTGGAGATGATCGCGGAGAAGAAGCAGCGGCTGAACGCCATCCAACGGAGAATGACCGAAACACCGACAAGCAATACCGGGTTCTGGAGTAGGGCCGGGTCTCTGCTCCCGCTGTCCAAGAGTGGCGACACGCAGGAGAAGCAAACGCTAGAAGTGGAGATATCAGGTCTTGAAACCATGGCATCGTCGCTCGAAGCTAGTCTTTCGGTGCTCCGCGGTCGCCATGCCGATCAAGCCAAAGAAAAAACCACACTCGGCCGCCTGCAACTCGGCTTTGGCTTCGCCTTTTCGTGTTACTGCGTCTACCGGATCATCGCCACGTCAACCAACATTTTCCGTCGCACAGTACTGGCGCAACATGTCAAAAGCGAGACAGACCCTATCACCTACGGAATTGCACTGTTTGCGCGTCATATCTATCCGAGCCTTGATCAGGCGAGTTGGGCGCACCAGATCTCGTTTCTTCTGTCGGGGGCGATGCTCCTGGCGAGTTTCAACGCTGTGACGCAGACTTTCTATTTGTTCACAAGACTCGTGCCCGGCGTGCTACATGCGACCAGGACGAATTTCGCACTATTGATCAGCCAGGTGAGCGGCATGTACGTTATCAGTTCAGCATTGATGTTGCGCGGTATGATGCCCGAGAAGGTCGGGAGTGTGATCAACAGTGCTCTCGGAGCAGGACTGCTTGATCCCCATTGGGTGCAGAGGTGGTTTGAAGGGTGGTATTTGATGGCAGTCGTTGTCACAGTGATAGGCATAGGCTTGACAAGAAGTTGGCAATGGGACGATAATACGAGCTCTGATAGAGATGTCGAGATGAAAGGGGCCTAGATGCTCCCGTATGTATCCTTAATGATAGATTTGTACGACCAGGAACATTCACTGCCTGACATCTGATCAGATCCACCAATCAGATCGTTGCGTCATCAGCGGACTCAAGATTCCAGAGGCCACTTCCAACAAGCTGTGCCTCCGTAACAGGCCAGTCACGCGCCAGAATTGTATTACACCGTGCCGCATCGCATGCAAAGAAGACTGCAATATTGCTCTTAGCGACCTCGAACGCGTTATAAGATAGCTTGAGCGTGCCTTCCCGGAGGAAATGGATATCACGCCCGCGCTCTCCGCAATCCTCGTCCAGTCTCACTCCGCGAAGGCCATTTCGCAGGAGACCAAGCGTCTCACGCAGACCCTCGATGCCTTCCTGAAAGAAGCCTACCAAATCGTTCGCATCATCACAACTTCCACGAAACCTAGCTGACTTCTGTAGAACTCGTCACTAAACTCGCTCCTTACATACCTTCGAGCAATTCGCCAACCTTACCTTTCATCGGCTCTTCCCCCGCGGCGCTCTCACCAAGCTGCTTCCACCGGTGTTGGACCTCTCCAAGACATCCCGACGCATCTCACAGACCCTCAGCGTACTGCCATCGATGAGTCGACATCCTCCCTCCTCCGAGATCTCAATGGGAGCATTGTCAACCTGTCATCCGCGGCAGACCTACAGCATGACACCGCATCGAAGATGTTGCAGAAGAAGTACGGTCGACCCACATCGATACTATTGCGATGGGCTGCCGGCAGCGACGGGCCCGACCGGGACGCGGGAAAGTCGGACGAGCAGATTCAAGAAGAGGGAAGGGTGCGCACAACCACGGACTTTCGGAGCGCCGTACTTTGGTATCTGCGCATGAAGCTGGAAGTGGCGGCACGGACACAGGGCGGCATGGTCGATCAACGCGTGGAACGGGAACGACATAAGCAACTTAGTCGACTCAGCGATGTGCGAAATAAAGGGATACGGAGCACATCCCTGCCAACAAAGCAGGGCAACGGGGAGGACGGTGGCGTTGGAGACACTGGTGACAGCTATGGTGCTATTGACCTGAGAGGCCACGACAGATACGATCCCACGCACGACAGCTCCAATGGCGACAAGAACGCCTTGCAGCTCTCGGAAGAACAAGTCCAACTCTTCGAGACCGAAAATGCGGGACTCTTCTCCCACTTCAACGAACAGCTCTCCAAGATTACCGTGGCGGAGAAGTCTCTCCTCGAGATCTCCAGTCTGCAGCAGACGCTATTGGGCCATCTAAGCGTGCAAGGTGAGCAAATCGAGAGTTTAGTGGACAATGCCGCGCAAACTGGAGAGGACCTCAAGAAGGGAAACAAAGAGCTGAAGAGGGCTGGCGAAAGGGGGAGTACAGCGAAGATGGTCTTTTGGGGGACGGCAGGGCTTTGTGGGTTTCTGGTGACTTGGGATTTGATCTTCTGAGGACAATTCTGTACAGAGGACGAGAGAGGTTCAGGCCACCGAAAAGACGTGTTTCTCGCGGAGCTTTAGAGGATAGTTATGACAAGACTGCCATTGGGCAAAACAAATGAAGCAAGCAAACGACAGACTGTTCAAGACTGCATCTTACGTCTTTATTTTGTCTATCCTACACATCCTGCATTGCTGGGTCTAGGAAGATGTCGCTCATGCCGTGTAGTACACTCTGTACTCACAATCTCCCGCGTCCGAAAACCCTTGGTCGTACGCAGAAGCTCCCCGGCAGCCAAAGCTATCGTCATATCGTCACAGCGCTGCACGCTCTCGCGTGCGCGAAATCCTGATAATCTCATGTCGTCCGCTTACCGCAAAGACTCTGTCACCGCGGCTCGCGCTCACTTCGCGCCTCTCACCACGTCATCCACGGCTTGGGCAAAGTAGGAGACGTTGCCCTCATTGAGCCCGGCCATGCTGATGCGACCATTCTTCGTCAGATACACGTGCCACTTGCTCCGCAGCTCCAGTACCTGCTTCTCGCTCAAGCCGGTGAAACTGAACATACCAATCTGGCTCGTGATATGGTCCCATGTACCGGGTGTCTGTAGACGATCAAGCTCGCTCTTGAGGGCTTTGCGCATGGCGATGATACGTCCGGACATGGTGCGCAGGTCCTCTTCCCAGTCCGCAAAGAGGGATTGGTCGTTCAAGACAATGCTAGCAATGCGAGCACCGTAGATGGGTGGGTTGCTGATTTCGGACCGCTGCAAGATTGCGAGTTGGCTGGCCACACGCTTTATGACGTCCTTTGCATCTGCTGAGGGTGAGGCGACGAAATGGAATGCGCCTGCGCGCTGACCGTAGAGACCGAAGTTCTTGGCGAAGGATTGCGCAATAACCATCTCGAAACCCTCGAGGAGGAAATGACGGATGGCGAAGTTGTCAGTGGAGAGCGAGCCGGAGGCGAAGCCCTGATACGCGCAATCAAAGAATGGGAACAGCTTGCGCTCTTTCATGATTGTGGCAATCTCTTTCCACTGTGACTCCGTGGGGTCGACGCCGGTAGGGTTGTGTGCGCAAGCATGTAGAAGGATAATGCTGTTAGCTGCGGCGCTCTTGAGAGTAGAAATCATGCCATCGAAGTCGAGGCCCTTGGTGGAGGCAGACCAGTAGGGGTAGGTGGCTGTAGGGAGGTGCACATTGTCGAAGATCTGCTGGTGGTTTGCCCAAGTCGGAGTACTGAGGTAGATTTTGGGGGACGAGAGGAATTTGGACAGGAAAAGACCGCCCAGATGGACGGCACCGGTACCAGAGACGGTCTGTAGAGAGCACACGCGGCCATCCTTGATTGCGGGGGAATCAGGTCCCAGTATCAGCTTTTGAGCACCCGCTGTGAATTCGGCGAGACCAGCGATGGGCAGGTATTCGTTGTTGATTTGACCGCTTTCAAGCTGCGAGGTGTAGATCTTGTCCGCCTGCTGTGTGTAAGTGAAGGATTGCAGTGGCGTGGGGTGATGTAGACTAACCTTCTTGACAACGGGCAGAATCCACGGTTTGGCATTGTTGTCACGGTAGGCACCGATACCCAGATCGACTTTCTTATCAGAGGTGTCGGCGCGGTAGGCAGCCATAAGACCGAAGAGGGGATCCTCGGGTGCTTGTGGCACCGTCTTCTCGGTGAATAAAGTGGGGGATGCCATGATGGAGTGAGGCGGGGAAGTGTGCAGGGAGATCTGGGATAAACGAGAAGACGCGGACGAAGTTGACTGTGCGGATAAAGACAGAGGAGGAGATAAGGATGTAGAAGGTGAGGAAGACAAATGGCGGTGGTCAGGCGGTGTGAACTTCATATTGGTGGAACGCGTGTGAAGCAGCTCTTGCAGTGAATATGCGGGCGGCCTCCAGTTTCGGCGCTCCCTCCGCCCTGCGATGCGGCGGCCCCAGATTTTTATGTGTTGCTCCGAATCTTGCGCCCGGTCTCATCTTCCAATGACATGCAACCCGTTGGCGAGCTCTCATCATCGAAATGGCCAAACTACCTCGGCTCATTTGTTGTCCTTGCATTTGAGAGAGATAACAACTACAGACATATGACTTTCATGACCTATTCACCTTGAAGAGCCAGAGAGGTCATTTCGCACAGAGTAGGCCATCGCAGATGAGCCGCTGTCAGGAGCTTCGCCGTGCTTCCCTGTCCCCGAAAACTTCCTTCGTCCCGAAGTCCGGTGCTGCTCCATTGTGGCGTCTGCGAAAGGGCCATGTGAAGCTCAAAGTCCATATTGTCTCGTGGAGACAATATTGGGAAGTAAGCAGTAGGGTTGTGCTTTTCGACTCTGCTTACACCAATTTTACTTTGAACGTCAGCACGCTTGCTGCCGAACTGCACGGCCTCTGATAAATGCCATACAGACTGATCGATCGAACGAAATCTGCCGTCACCACCTCGGAACTCCGCGACTCTCCCATCCGCTGTTTCATGTTGCTGCCACAGACAGTCTTCCCTTTCTGTTTCCGCCTCTTGTATTCTGGCATGATGTCCTCACATGAAACAGTGGCAGTGCGTCCATGAAAAGCCTGGCTCAAGAAGTTCCCATCCTCCTCGGACATATGTTGTGTCAACTCGAAGTAGATGAGCCAACAAATGTCCCAAACACTATGCTTTCCTATCGTGATCTTATCGACAAGCCAACTGGTCTGCCCACGCAGAGCCTTCCGAAGGTGCCGCTGCACAAAGCTCAGATAGTCTTGTTGTTCTTCTGAAAGATGGTGAGCATAGGTTAACAGCTTTTGGGCGGCGTTTTCTAAAACGTAGAGAATTCTTTCGGGCGATTGAGCATGACGAAGTTCCACAGGTCGATGCGTGTCGGAGCTTGATAGTAGCCGCGGATAGTCAAGCTCGCATAGATCTCCGGTGTCTGTCTCGCTTTCAGTGGTTTCCTCTTCTGCAGAGTCGAAGTTCTCGACGATTGAAGGCACATCGGCGTCATTCAACTCGATCTCGGCCCGGTCGCGGCGATAGGTCCCAGGTGGCCGTTGTGCATCGGTGCTGGGGCTTTTTGGAGTGGGCGTATCCTCCTCTTGCACTGTGTCGACTCTCTCGATACCGCGTCCCGCTGTGGATTGGGCAGTAGATCATGATTGCCAAAGCTGCTGCATCAAGGGCGCTTGTTGAAGAGGGTCATCCACCGACGATCGCTCCTCGAGGTCTCGTGCGGTGTGCTGGAGTTTGTGAAGTGAAGAATGCTCTTCAGTAGAGAATGCCACCTCGGATCCAAGCAATGACTGCAGATGACAGCCAAGAGATCGCGCCATGAGAACAGCAGGAGACACTGATTGGCTCTTGTCGACAACATCGCTTGTTACGGTGTAGTACAGAAAACTGTTGCGTATGCCCAGGAATGGAGTCAGATGCACAGCGACTGGCATACTCAAACTGTGGCCGTTGTCGATAAACTTTCCAAGGTAGAATTGTATACGGAGTGTTTCTGAGGCGTCCGTGGCTGCTTTGCCTGTTGCGTATTCGTCACACGGCAACTTCTGCAGGAGGTCCTTGAGATCAGACACGTTTGATAAAGTTGCCTTCGGAAAGGCCGGTGTTTGGCATGGATTCGTATCGTCAAAGTTTGGTTCAGGCTCTGGCTCGGAGGCAGGAGATGACGGAGAGAAGTTATCTTCAGTACGTTGGAAATCAATAGCGAGGAAATTCCCAGAGCAGGCGATCAGGTCTCGGAAGCTTGTAACAGAAGTGTTGATGCGGCGGCAACACCCGTTGAGGAGTGAACCAGCCGCAGAGACAGGTTCAATATTGAGGATCAATGTTTTCCGATCGGTTCAACTGACACATTGTTTTGGGCCCCTGAAGGGCCAGAAGACAGGGCTGCCGAAGTGCAGCCATCAGTGAAGCCACGCTCGTAGGCACCAATATGGCAAGCGCTGGAGGTGAGGTATTCGATGTTGTGGACTGTGCAGATCCGCTTGACGCTTTGCATGCCGTACTCGAGGGTGCAACTGGGGCACGGTGTGTGACTTTGATGCTCCAGATCATGGCATTGACATCGCGAAACCTTGCTGTACTGCAGTGCCGGGTATACTTATGTCTTCCAAACCCTGGCAGGAGGGCTCGATTCTTCCTCCGGATCATTGCCCATGTCGCAGGTATTGTTGTAAAGTTTAGTTCGAGCTAGGCCAAGGCAAGTTTCGTTGGGAGGGTGCTCTTCGTAGCCAGAGAACGTCACAAGGCCGTTGTAGTATTCGTGATCATCGCTGTGACAAGTGTCGGGAGTTATGCCAAGGAAGTGCTCACCACTTGTATAGAGGGTGGTACATCGTGGAGGATTGTCCGTAGTCGTCTCAGCCATTGGAGCTAATAGTAAGCGGCCGGCCTGCTGCGAGAGACAATGAGAGGCGATGAGTAAGAAAGGGAATTCATTCTTCGGTTCCATTCGTGAATGTGCAATAGCTAGTAGACGGAGCGAAAAGCATTGATGGGAACACTGTGACATCGTACGGGTTGGCAACTCTTTCATCTGGAGGTGCAAACGACTGCAAAGAGCAGGCTCTGAAATCTGAGAAGGATCTATACTCATCTTGACCAGGGCGGCAAGGCTCTGGCATGTAGGCCGGGTTCATGAATGGCTGCCTGCTGGAACGCCTTCAGGGCTCAAATCGCTGCCCTATAAGTCTAAACAGTCTCCCGGTCCAATGCCGCAGCTATCATTTACCAAAGAAAAAGATACTTCTCCGCTCGCATGGTGCAGCCAGCTGCATGCACGTGTAATCAACGGTCTGCATTCTGCCCCGGTGTTTAGCAAGGAAGCGTGCAGACGGCCATCGCTAGGATTTGTCACTGCTTAAAAGTCAAACAGTGGAGCTTAACGAGCGTCACCATGGTTGATATCTTTGCATATACTGGCAGGATCGGATAATGAAGTGAACAAAGCCGAGGAAAGAAAAACGACGTTGGTTTTGAGCTTCGCAGGCCAAGGCGCGGCGGGCCAGAACCTCCGCAATTACAGAAAGGGCTCTCGTACCACGTCGCGCCTTTCACAGCATTGCATCGCACCACAAAGCCCGACGGTGCGCTCGCATAAGCAGAGTAACCACGTCCATACTCACGCGTTAGGGCTATTCCTATGTGTCAGGTCTCGATGTAAGTGCAATATTGTCGTGCCGAAGGGCGTATGAGTCAGAGTTGTGGTACAAGTACTCGCCATTTTCCTCACTGGCAAGCATCTTCACCCTTTCCGACCTTGATTATGACCGACCCTCTTGTTGCCCCGGTCGCAAGACCTGTCACTGACATAGATCGGGCCATCGACATCGTCAGCGAAGCCTTCCGTGCCGTTCCTTTGACCAATACCTTCATTGCCGAGATCGACAACACCCCACCCCCGTACCCCTCGCCCTCTATTGATGCCACCCGTCGCCGTCGACACTTCGCTCAAGGGATCAAAGACGGTTTCGAGAGTGGTTCTATATGTTTGGAAGCAGGAGACTGGTCCGCTGTTGCGATATGGGAAGCGCCGGAGTTTAGGGGCAAGCCCTTCACCCATTTGGGCAGTGCTGGCCCACTCCGCTCAGGGTGGAGAGAAAGAGTCAGTGCCGCCAAAGCGAAGCATCTTGGAGACAGACCGTTCTGGCACCTCGCATTTCTTGCTCGGAATCCCGATGTGCCCCTGGCGAAGGGTGCTGTGTCTGCGGTTGTGAAGCCGATACTCGAACGCGCTCAAGCCGAGGGCCATCCTGTCTGGCTGGAAGCTGTAGACGAGCGCGGCGTTGCTATCTACAAGCACTTTGGGTTCCAACTCGTCGATCATGTTGTGCTTGGTAAAGGAACTCACAATCCGTCAGGATGGCCCGAGGAGGGCGGCAGCGGCACTGCCGGCTATTGCATGATCTACGATCCTTGAGATTCTGTGGTTTTAGGACTATGCGCGCTGGAGCAAGTCTCACAGAACTTAAAGTGCCGGAGAAACCTGACGAATGCATTCAGACACAAGAGATAGACGGTGCTGCGGGGGCATCGGGATTGAGGCTGGCGTCGCTGACTGCTGGAGATGAAGACCGGCAGTAAATGCTTGGAGGCTGGCAAAATGATCCTATTATGCCCAGCATCCAGCCTGCACCAGGCGGTTCCCAATCTTCTTCGCCGTACCTGCATGAAAAAGCTTCTTCCAAAGGCATATTCAGATCTTGTCCGATCGTCCATAGGCTCTTGATGTCATACTGACCCCGCCCTACATTATGCATCTCCATCTCCCGAGGCACCCTCTAGACCACCGGCGCCGTGTTCACTTCTCTGCCTTCGGTCCGCAGCGCGCCTTACTACAGTCACGACCAACATGGCGCCGCGATCCGGCAATACGCTACCAAGACATGTGGTGATAGTCGGTGGTTCACTCGCTGGTCTCTTCACGGGTGTTGCCCTGAAATCTCATGGGTTCAATACCACAATCCTAGAAAGAACTCCCACGCCGATTCTCGAGAATCAAGGAGCCGGTATCGTCGCGGGTGGAGACACTTTGCGCTTCTTCCAGACCTATGACCGCTCTGGTAGGGACGTTGCCATCGCCTCGCAGAAGCGCCTCTACTTGAATCAAGCCGGCGACGTTGTCCACGAAGAGGTCATGAAACAGACGATGACCTCCTGGGATCTCACGTACTATCTTCTTCGAGCCAACTATGACGGAGTCAAAAGCGACTACCTCCTTGGCCAAGATCCCAAAAAACTGGGCCAAATCAGCCGATGGGAGCATCGACTACCGTTACGGCTGTACAGTAACCGGCTACAACATCTCAGGTGACCAAGTCCATGTGAAGTACACCACTTCCGACAACAAGCAAGAATCTGTGGCTGGCGAATTGCTAGTTGGGGCCGATGGTCCATCCTCAACAATGCGTAAAATCCTATCGCCAGATGTCGAACGGAAATACTGCGGCTATGTTGTGATCCGCGGAACGGTGCCGGAGGATGAAGCCACCGAGGAGGCACGAAAAGTGTTTGTGGAGCGCTTCTGCTTCTTTCATGGGCCGGGAGTTCAGAATTTGACGTATACGATACCGGGAGTACATGGTACGACGGACAAAGGTGGTCGCTTGCTCAACTTTGTGTGGTACACGAATTTCGAGGATGGTAGCGCGCAGCTGGACAAGGTACTGACGGACAAGGAAGGCAAGCGCAGAAGAATCACGATACCGCCAGGCATGATGACGGAGGATGCGTGGGAGATGGTCAAGGAGCGAGGAAGGGACAAGCTACCACCACAGATGGCTGAAATGGTGCAGAAGTCGAGGAACCCATTCGTGCAGGCGATCACGGATGTGATGAGCCCCACGAGTCTGTGGGAGAACGGGAAGGTGGTGCTGGTAGGGGATGCTTTGGCCGGCTTTCGGCCGCATACGGTGGCAAGCACGAGTCAGGCGGCATTTGATGTGTTGCTGCTGGTAGAGTGGTTGGAAGGGCGCATGGATATGAAAGAATGGGAACGCAGGACTGTAGAGTATGCAAGGAAAGTGCAGAGTATGGGGATGTATATTGGAAACAGGAGCCAGTTCGAGGAGCGGGATCTGAAGGAGTACGTAGAAGACCGGAACTGGATGAGCACACCAAGGGAGAAGTTGGACTTTCCGGAGTGGACTCAAGTGAGATAGGGGTCAGGAGCCTTGGGCTTAGACTTCTGCTGCGGTTTAGTTCCATAGCGGATCGATCTGCCTCGCTTTGCTATGCTCACGCCTTTATACTTCTTCGCCATCGGGCAGTACACTGCTCGCTATTGCCTGGTTGCTCTGGTCTCATTGGGGAGCGTTCCCGCCTCGGGCGCGAACCAGGAGTACACCTTTGCCAGGAGAGCGTGTCAGTGGTGTTTGTCCCGCATTGGATTTCAAGCCCCCCAGCGTAGCTGCAATGCCTCCGATGTCAAAAGCACATCGAGGCGGTCGTTGTCGACAATGAAGTTCCCAGCGCCTGCATACAAGGAAGCAAAGCGTGCAAGTCAAGCCCAGGGACAAGAACAGTAGCATTGGGGACATATGCCTTGATATCCTTGACTGCTGTTGCGGCATTCTCAAAATCGAAAGCTACTGGACGACCTTAGCTCAATGCTGGACGAATAGCATGGCTGAGTCTTTGCCCAGGCCATTACTACGGCAGTCTGGAAGATAACCTTGCCCGGAAGCTCGGGGTGCTTGTGTATATGTCGCATACCGGAGTGCGGAGGAGGAAGTCGAAGATCTTGGTGCATGTGCTTTGCATACGCTTGTTTTCGAAGACATCAAGACCTAGAGCAGAAACTCATGCACACGTATACTCCCGCTTCACCTTTGCTACGGCCGAAGGACGGGTCGAGTGAGTCCTGTTCCTGGGAGCATATCGGCGGCAGCGCATCAAAGACCCTGCCGATCTGTTGTACCCCTTCAAGCCTTCGAGGTAGTTCTCGCATGGCTACGGTGTATAGCAGAGGCTCTTGTGTGTGATCTGCCGTGGGTTTGGGGGACCTCGCGTTGATATCAATCCCTGTTGAAGACGACCATGGTAGTCTGATGGTCTATGCGACGGTCCAGCCGTTACTAGAATTGGAGGTCGACATCTGAACCATGTCACTCTGACTCATGCTTTGAGTCTTCGGCGGCGACGCAGAAGACTCTGTTGGTAGTGGTCTAGAGCTATGAGTGCCCCATTCAAGCAATTCAAAGTGTTCCCTTACCTCAGACGTCCTGTTGGAGAACCCGATCCTATTGGTTTAGTCTTCTCCCCAGATCCGAAAGTAACTTTACCCCCTCCTCGGGTAATGTCCATGTGCTTCCCCACCCGGTACTTCATGACGAATCCAGTACAACTAGTTGACAACTCCTTGCAATTACCCAAGTACTGCTAGCTCACACCTCGTCAGCAATCGTAATGTCCGACATGGCTAGCAGGCTTGCCACGGCAACTGTGCCGGCGTTCAAGTGCCCTCAAGGAACCAAAATGCATATCCTCAACCTTGGTATTTTGAATGTCGATGAGGGATGGTAAGTCCACTGCTTCCAATGTGTCCTCCTGGGACCAAGGCATGGCCAACCTTTGTATCTCATGCAGGCTCTTGCGAGGCGCCAACGGTGGCTCCAGTGCTGATCCGAACCCAACGAACAAGCGCCGAGATCTCGCCCTGATAGCAGGGCTCATCCATCATCCGACCGCTGGGCTCATCCTCTTCGAGACCGGCTGTGCCGAGGACGTTGAGGTTAAGTGGGGAGCCCCAATCACTGACGTTTTCCCGCGCACTACGTACAACGAGGAGCATAAATTACCAGCCGCCATCAAAGCTGCCGGATACGATATCAAGGATGTAAAGGCAGTAGTGATCGGTCATTTGCACTTGGATCATGCGGGGGGTTTGGAGCATTTCATTGGGACAAAGACACCAATCTATGTCCACGAAGAAGAGTTCAAACATGCATGCTGGGCGGTAGCTACGGAGGCTGATTTGGGAGTGTACCTGGGACACTACATGGATCTGGAGAAGTAAGGCCCTGTCACGTTCACTGGCGTACACCTCCTAACAGTGACACAGGCTCAATTGGCAGACTTTCGACGAAGAGCATTATGATGTGGCGGAGGGCATTACGTTGCACTTTTCCCCAGGCCACACTCCCGGTCTGTGTGCCATGCAAGTCAATCTGGAGAAAGACGGGGCCTTCATCTGGACGACTGACCAGTTCCATGTCAAGGAGAACTTCGAAATGACTCATCCACATGGCTGGCTAACGAGAGACTACAATGCATGGGTAAAGAGCACGAAGATGTTACGCAAGCTTAAAGAGCAATTTAACGCGAAAATGATCTACGGACACGACTTGGACACAGTGGAGGCCTTGGGGTATAACAGAAAGGTGTTCGAATGAGTGTAAAACTAGAAAATGTTCAGGAAACCTTGACATCCCCGTCTCCCAGATATTCAACGATGCTAGGACACAATGATGTTTATACATTAGCGACAGTCGGTGTCGAACGTCGTTGTCTTTGACTGGCCACATTGCTTATTGCCGACCTTGTCCCCAGCCAAGATGCATTGCTGCCGCTATCGCTCATGTTCTTCTCGCAGCCCACATCTGTTCTAGTGGCTACGTCCTTGCTTGTCTTGCGCCGAAGAACCCAAAGCACCAGGCCGAACAGTTCAACAACAGCGACAGTAACGGCAACACCGATGCCACCGGCTGCAGCGTTCGAGAGACTTCTGTCAGACTTGGAGCCAGAAGATGAGGGGGCATTCGTTTGTTCGCGGCAACACAGAAAGCTTCCATCGATGCACACGTAGAGCATCAGTCATTAAGGCCTCTAATGGAATGTGCGCCTAATTCTTCGACGAATTGTGAATATGGCATATCAAGTTCCGAGTTTCCGAAGAGTGGAAAGGCTGCCAAATTTTGATCTCCATCAATGCCGTTTCGGAAGAGAAAGCGAACCATCAGTTGATCTGGAATGAAGGTGCGTTCTTCGGTAAAGAGCTCAAAGGCCATGCTAGCAGCGTAGTTTGGGAGGCCCATGAAATTGGCACTTGCGGCAGTAGGATTCACGAAGCCGAAGAAGGACAGGAAAGTGTCGTAGGAGCCGGCCATCAGGCTGAACTTTAGACCGGCATTGCTTTGGACAATAGTCTCGAGCTAGTTGAGGATGCCACCCGCAAGAGTCATGCCGCCAATGCAGCGGCCGGCCTGGGATTCATTAAAGTTGTGACCCCACTCCCATTCATCTGCGTAGAAGCGAACTTGGTCGAGGTCTGCGGAATCAACGGAGAATGCTTCATCCTCGATTGCTGCTGTGACCACAGTCCTATTATAAATGGAAGCAGTATTATGTAGATCAAAAACATCGTAAGCTTTTACGTAGGACACACTCTTCGCTCCCAGGATCGAGCCAAGTGTGCCCTCGGCCTTGCATATAGCTCTGCCGAAGACTCGAGGGTGGCTTGGTACTCAGCGCTTTGGCGATAAGATTTTGAGGCGGCATCGTAGTTCAGACAGGAATCATCGCCTTTGATCCAGATGGCGTCGGAATCTGAGTCTCCTCGGCCATGCACAAGAACAAATTGGTAGCCTTCAAGAGGTCCTTCGGCGTCTGTACCATTGTTCAGATTCTCTGTGGCAAGCGAACTGTTTACAAGTGGCGGATAGAAGCCCTGGAGAAAGTTCGTGGAGGTTTGATAGAGTACATGTTCAGTTGGAGCAGAAGCCCACAACTGCGAGGAGACCACTCTGTCGGGCGAGATGCCCTCGATGGGATAATTGCCAGTAAGATATCTTTCACGGTAGAATTGACCCGACTGGAACATTTGCTTGGCCGCGAGATTGGTCATCTCATAGCCTTTGTATAATTTGGCGGTACGATCGCCATATCGAGTGAAACAAGTGCACTATGAAGGTAGTGTGCGTTTGTGACTGTCAAGGCTGTCGCGAGAAGCGCAAGTGTCGAGACAGCAGGCATGTTAACTTTACAGGTCGCCAAGCAAGGCCGTCTGAAAGCTCCTCGTGTCCTCCTATCGATGATTTTGAACCGCGCAGATTACCCCTCTCTGCGGTGGTTACTTCGCGCCCTGTAGAAGTGCCAAGGTTTGGATATGCACGGTCGTCCTTCTCGAGAGAGCACACTGGTTGCGGAAGAGATCAAGCTATGCCAAGAAGCATCTGTGCGAACAGCAGAAGGAGAAATAGCGGTACAAAGGCGGGGAGAGACCTGTCGACGTGAGGAATTGCGGGCCCGGTTCATGTTGTCTCGACCACTTCTATCACGGTACCATCGCGCTGAGGTCGATCAATCTTCTGGGTTGTGAAACTGCAATGCATAGCATGGTCAGTCCCACACTGTATCATTTCAGCCTGCAGAACACAGCCCAGATGACAAGGAGAAGTAGCGTCATAACAGTTACAACGTCGAGGAGCCTGGCAATACCAAACGCATCGGCCATAAAGCCTACAATAAGTGGAGCTAGGGCGCCTCCCACTTGGCCCATGGCTGCAGCAGCTGACACAGCACCGACATGTGCTTGAACTGGTAGCTTCTTTGCAAGCAAGACAATTCCAGAAGGGAAAAAGGGACCGAAGAAGAACCCTGTCGTGGCAAGTATTGCGAAGAGGACAGTCACATTCGTGATGAACCTGAAGGCCGCCTGCGCAATTGCTGAAAGGAGGATGTAGACCGCAACGGAAGCTTGCAAGCCGAAGTGCTCGGTGATTGGACTGAGGATGATTCTGCCCGTGACCATACCGATCCAGAATGTGGATGATGCGCTTACAGCGATATTTCGTTCGACATGCCGGACCCGGCCCATGTAGGTCACAATCCAGTCGCCGTAAGAAGCTTTACTGTGAGAAAAGGCACAAGCAAGCACCAGAATGACTTACATTCAATCCCAACATAGATAAACCAGTAGAATCCGCACATCCATGTGCTTTTCAGTCGCAATGGGTCAAATAAGCTTGTCTGCCTGTCGTTGTCATCGTCAAGAATTGCTCGATATTGCTTTGCATCGTCATTTCGGAATGATACTACAAGAGCTAGGCATTCAACCACGCAAAGTGTTATCTGAGGATGTGTCAGTCCAAGCATTTCAACGTTCGAGTGCCATACCAGAACGCGGTAGAAAGCAAACCAAGCGAGCCCTTTCTGTGAGAGTAGTACAACGACCGCTGGTCCAAGGACGCATCCCGTTGACCAAGAGCCATGCATTATCCCCTGAGTAACATTTGTATAAGGCACGCCACTGCCCCAAGCACAGAATCCTGCATCGGTGAGGCCTGTTCCGAGGCCAAAGACAAAGTAGCCCAGCAAAGCTACTGGGAATGGCGGGCCCCATAGCAGCACAAGCACACCAGTGATACGCAGGATAGGGCCAAGGAAGGCGATACCCCGTCGTCCGAAACGGAGGTGGATAGTCTGAATAGTGCACACTGCGATGAGATAGCCGGCGAGTGCAGCAGGGAAAATGAACGCAGTGGGCCCGTTCTTCAGGCCGTAATACTCTTCTATCTGCAGCCGTAGAGGCAGTGGTTAGTGTACGGTATGAGATAGACCGAGATACGCACGTCTGGAATCATTGCCTACGATCAGTCAGTGAGTTAGGGGCGGGTCATCGCACGGGGTTCTTACACCTATGGCACTTTGAGCCAAGCCAGTCGCCCCAAAGTTGAGGACAACGGCACTGAATTTGAATACCAGGTCAAAAGAAACATGTCGTACATTATCGAAATTTGTCGGCGGTGGACGCTGGGAGCTCGGAGATTCTGCGCGACCAACTTCATTTGAAAGAAGCTGCTGCCTTTCTCCCTCCTGAGTGCTCGGCAACATCGTGGTACCTGCAATAGCTCAGAAAAGGGAGCGACTGCACTCTGTTCGGTATTCGACGTCGGACTCCACCTCATGTAGGTTCAGAGGCTGATGAGAGGCATGACACAGTCATATGTATATTAAAATGCACTAACCTTGGTGGCAGAGAAGGAGAGATCAGAGAACTCTGAGAGGCAGTCGGCCCGGATACCAGATCAGTTACACATAAGGGCCGCTTGATGCTTGGCGATAACACACGCCAACGGGCCACCAGGCGACATGGAACCTTGGTACTGTAGCTAGGAGCAATTGTATATCCCCGCAAGTTAGAAGCTATTCTCTACTACTCGTCGTAGCTAACCTCAAGCGCATCATCCACGCTATCCTCGCGGTTCTCACCGACTTCATCGTCCCGCTCCTGCATTTCCTCATCAGCTTCCGCAGGGATAGTGGTGTTCTCTTAGAAAATGTAGGTAGGATAGTTGAAGGGTAAGAAGGACGATCGCAGGGTTGGAGGTCAGCATTCACGAAGCGGATGAGACTTGGTGAATTCATCAATAAGGGGATCTATTGCAATGACTATAACTTCAGTCTCAACTCGATTCAAAAGTCCTTCTGCGGAGCGTCACCGGTGCCGCTGCCGTATTGCCTTACAGATTCCTTCGCTGCATTTTTGTCGGCAGCGAACTGCTGGACCTCTGGTGCATCCATGTTCTTTGCCACATTGTCGGCTTGCCACTTCTTGAAACTAAAGCCAACGCCTTCGTCTGCGAGGATCAGTCAATGCACAGTGTTTCCCGAGTTACTTACGGGAATAATCCTTGTCGTTGGCCTGATCTTTGTGATACTTCACTTGAATGAAATCGCTGTCGACAGTGCCCGGGTCAAGGCTGAGACTGACGAGGGCATTGATAGTAGCAGTCTTTGGAATGACCTTGAATGTCCAGCTCTGTTCATTCTTGAACTGTATCAGATCCCGATCATTCTTGATGATTTCGTAGCCCTCGTTCTTAGAATCCTTGAACAACTTAGGCAGGGCAAACCACTGGCCCGCCATCTTGTATCTATCGTTCGCGTAAACGAATTGGTCGTCATAGACGCAATCAGCAGTGTAGCGCTTGACGCGTTCAACAGTCGGCTGGCAGGAATAGAGCGCAATAATGTCGTCCTGGATTGGTTAGCAGGCACGCAATAGAGCCAAACCCTACCGTACGATCAATCTCTGTCGAGGACCATCAAGTGGGATTGACTTAGATGGGTCGGGCTTGTAGTCTTCGCTTGTAGAAGTCTGACGTGGCTCGAACTGCTCGCCGGGAGTGTTGGAATTGTTCTTCGGGAAGTTGGTCGTCGAGTCGACCTTGGGTTCGTTCGGATTAGACATTCTGAAACTTTGGGCTATGCTGAGGAATTTCGAAGAGGTCCTGCTTATCTGTCGAAGATTGGAAAGCGAAATACAATGCAAGCGAGTTACACAGAACATCAGGATCTCTTGCCTTTTCTCTCAGCAACCCACTCCAGGTCGCGTCTCTTCATGAAGGCACGATAAGTCCGGAGTGTGTCGGGCCGCATGACGTGCTACAATGGGCTCTGTGAGAGGTCATGATCTCACTTGCCACGAGGTGCTGCGCGTGTTCGCCGGCAGACGCCAATGCGGGTGCACGCACCGTGATGATGCAGGAAGGATTCAGAGAATCAGCGCGTCATCTTGACGAAAGCGTGGACGGTGATATCGCTGCTTAACTCCTGTTACGCGGCAAGCTTGCCAAACACTGACGGGGTTCCCGACCTTCTTGCCCCAAGCTAGGTGACCAGCCCCAGAGGTGAGCAACGTATTGGACAGCGACGAGACACGAAGACAACGATGGATACAGGGTGCTGAGTTTGGGGCACTCTGCTGGGTCACGTCTGGCCGTGCCGGTATGGCAGATACTGTCAAGTGGTCCATCTGATTTCCATAATGAACAGGTCCATTGGTCCATCCGACTAGTATCTGCAAAAAAGGCCATATGACTCGTTGGTGATTACGGTTTGTGCAGGTCTCGTCTGTGTCGTTTACTTGGTATGGTGCATGTTGTCGATGGGACCGTCAGTTTTAGGACCGAAGCGCCAACTGCGACCAGCATTGACAACAAATTGCGCAGAGCTAAGCCCTCCTGCTCCTCATTCTCTGGACAATGCTGGTCATTCTCACAGTATTTCCCTTGCGCAGGCTTTCTGTTCCAGATCAAGAAGTCCTCGTCCAGACCGCGACGAACTTCCCTAGGGCTGAGTTGAAGCCCTCGACAGTGGCTATGAGATACTGAATGATGTTAAGCCATTCTTACTCACGGGACGGGCGAATCGAATCCTGATCCAATTTAGTTCGAAGAAGACTACGTGTGTCCGAAGTACGACATCCCGCCAACGACGATTCTGCACTGCGCGGAAGCGACCGCCGCAACGGCAAGCACCTCCTATATGTTCAGCAAAATGATGCTCTTCATTGTGGAAGCGAGCACCATGCCGCCGGCTAACATGAAGTCGAGCAGCCCACGGTGAAGTCGCTCATCGTGAATTTCGAACCGAGCACTGTGGAGATGAGCACGGTAACGCAGTCAGGCACAGCCAAACCGAGCTCGCCCTTCACAGTGTGTTGTATTGTGGCACAATGCCATTTTTATCAACTAGCGATACGGAGACCCATTCGCAGGTCAGGAAACCCCGCACCATCGCTGTTGGAGACTGAGGGGCAACACTTTCCCCAAATCTGAACCGAGGTGGGTGACCTCCCTGAAGGGCACGAATAAAAACATCGGCAGGTTCTCGTTGCATGCTGACTGTAAACCAAACCAACCACCGATCCAACCTCGCAATATGTCGTTCAAAACCGAGTTGTTCATCAACGGGAAGGTACGGTCCCTATATGCTCACTGTCCAGCACTGATAATCCCAGTACGTTCCGTCGTCCTCCGGTGAAACCCTCAGCATCCAAAGTCCCAATGATGATTCCCTCGTAACCGACAAGATCCAAGTTGCCGGCGAGGCCGATGTCGACAACGCCGTCAAGGCCGCGAAGGCAGCTTTTCCCGCCTGGAAAGCCACCGCAGGCCACAAGCGAGCTGCTATCATGAACAAGTTCGCAGATCTACTTGAGAAGAACACGGATAAGTTGGCTCAGCTCGAGTCTGCTGCCATGGGCCAACCCGTCAGCGTCAGCAAGAGGATGATTGCTGGTCCCATAGCGCTCTGGAGATACTATGCTGGCTATGCTGGCAAGGTTGCAGGAGAAAGCTATCCACCGGATGAGGATGGAACGTACAAGATCGTTCAATACGAACCTCTTGGTGTCTGTGCCGGGATCTGTGCCTGGAACGGCTCCCACGTCCTCGCCGCATGGAAAATGGCCCCAGCCATGGCTGCAGGCAACACATTCATCTTAAAGTCCAGCGAGAAGTCACCAATTTCTCTTGCGCAGTACGGTGAGCTTGTCAATGAAGCGGGTTTCCCACCTGGTGTCATCAACGTCCTCACTGGAGCTGGTACAACAGGATCGCTCCTCGCCAGTCACATGGACATCGCCAAGATTGCATTCACCGGATCTGCTGCTGCGGGTCGAGCTGTTCAGATTGCAGCGGCAAAGTCCAACCTCAAGCGCGTGACACTTGAGCTGGGTGGCAAAAGTCCAGGCATCATCTTCGAAGATGCCGACATACCCAATGCCGTCTTTCACAGTAGTGATAGCTTCCTCCGGAATTCGGGCCAGATCTGCTTTGCTGCATCCAGGGTGCTTGTCCAGGAAAGCATTGCCCCAGAATTCATCAAGCAGGTCAAACTCGCCTTCGAGCATGCTGCGGACGCAATGGGTGATCCATCACTGGCAGAAACCAAGTTTGGGCCACTCGCGGACAAGAAGCAGTTCGATCGTGTTATGGGCTTTCTTGAGGACGCCAAGAAGGAGGGTATTGAGATTGGTGCAGGAGGTGGTCGCAAGGGAGACAAGGGCACATATGTGCAACCCACCGTTCTAATCAACCCGGGATTGGATAGCAAAGTGTACACGCAGGAGATTTTCGGACCTGTCATCAGTGTACGGACATTCAAGGACGAAGAGGAAGCCATCAAGTTGGCGAATGACACGACTTACGGCCTTGGCTCAACCGTCTACACCTCAGATATTGCACGTGCTCTACGTGTTGCAGGACAGATCGAGGCTGGCACGGTCGGCATCAATTCAGCTTTTAACACGAGCCCCCAGACCCCCTTCGGAGGCTGGAAGTCAAGTGGCTACGGTCGTGAGAGCGGCATTGAAGGTATCAAGAACTGTAGGTTATACTCCTCTCTCCATGACATTTGTGCTAATGTGTACAGACACTCAACCAAAAACAATCCATATTAATATGACCTTACCTGCCAAGAAGTAACGGGGCGGCGTAAATCCCTAAAGGAGATGCTGGAGGCCTTCCTATAACCGAGTTGCGAGCCAAATACCATATTTAGGTCTATATATTAAGTAACTATATGCCTGATCTCTACATTATAGACTCTACGGAGGATGGCTCCGAGCCAGAAACAGAGTTCCTGGACTTGGAGGATGAAGAGTACTACAATGCCAAGCAGCAAAGACGTATTCAAGAGCGTGAAGACCGAGAAGCCGATATGCGCCTAAGCACGCGGGCCAAGTTCTTCAAGGAATGGAAGAAGTGCTGGACAGGACCGGGATCACCTGAAAAGCGGAAGGAAGACCAAGAATTCAAAGAGCAAGAGTAGCATCATAAGATAGCTAGAGAGGCAGTTCGCGAGTACCTCAGGATTAAACGTAAAAAGGCCAGATAGGCGTCACACTAGGAACGCTCCTAGAACGAGAAAGTTAGTGACCGGCAACTTTGTTAAGAGAGACTAACTGGATGTTGGTCAAATTCCTTAGGGATCGCATAATAACACGTCTGATCTCACAACATTAATTACGACCGCTCTAATAAAGGGTCACACATGGTAAGCAGCAGGTTTAGAATCAAATTCCTTGCTTTAGACAATTTGAACCATATATGTCTCTCACTTGCTATAGTATGGTCTAAGACGCAGGACACGCTTTGCTGTTGTCAGTAGTTAACGACATCAATCTTGACTCAAGCTCAAGTAAAGTGGACGTCAAAGACTTTGATCAGGCAGCTTTGCTGAGAATCAGATATCGTGTCTATTGATATAAGAATTCTTAGTCCTTCCACTTATGAGACAGAGATATAAAGCTTAGTATGTCGCTGTTGAAAAACTCTAGCAAATGGCCTTTGGTTGTGTGTAGTAGCCTCATGTTAATAGACTTCGATTATACTAGTGTTTGATGATGTAGAAAGAATGAAACATTTCAGTAAGACTGAGTTTCTATAGCCGAGGACTCGAGAAGCTGCTGCTGTATGCCGCCACCAAAGTACCTCGAGCCCTGGCATCCGGACGTCTAGCCATTCGGGGAACTAACATGCCCCAGCGTCGGTGGTTAGCGTCCACGGTAGATGCGGGCCATGACGCAGCGCTAGGGTTGGATTGTGCTATCGTGGCTGTGCAGGTATTTTTATTGCACTAATGCCTCCTTGCGTGGCGGTCTAGGTTGTCGAATTCTATTGAAGTGCGACGATGCCTTCAGGGCGACGAAAGTTTGGAGAATTCCGTATGCAAAACTGGCGTCGGTCTTTTGCACTCGGCCATGGGCACTGGGATGCGTGCCTGAGTATCAGCAAGTAAGTCTACTTGATTTTCCACTATTATGACTCGGACATGCTGCGGTTCTCCTAGGCCTTCGTAAGGTCGTATTGGTTATCTATAACACAGGCGCCACACAGCATAGGCGAGCAAATCCCTGCTGACATTCAATAACCCCTAAACCACCTCCGCGACAAGAGCTAGCTCTTGAATGGAGCACAGATTATGTACGCGGTTTCATCCCGTAGACTACAACACTAGCTGTCTGTCAGTAGTCTGTGATCTGAGTCTGGAGTAGAGGCAGACGATCCAGGAGGCCTACTGGCCTGCCTCACCTAATCAAGGTTGGGAGGCTCAGGGGCACTGCTTTGGCTCTTGGCCTTCTTTGTCTCTTCGCATCTGGTATTTGGGACAGCTGTAGTATTTCACATGGCTCAGCGCGAACTCCACGGGCCAGTTGTTTCGGTTATACCCTGTACTATGTCAGCATGCGATCCCGAGGAACATCTGTCGGCTGCAGGCAGCAATATCGAGAGGGAAGTCATCTCAATCGTTTGTCGAAGGAACCATCCTTTCCTACAATGATTCAATATCCTACGGAAGTATTGCAACTGGGCAGAAAACCCATTTCGATTGTCTCTGTAAGGTGGATACCTTTTGCCTTACACAAGCCTAGCTCATGCAATGACATAGAGCCAGGAACACAATCGGATATGCTTGCGCCCTCCATATTAGCAATTTCCAAACACTTTATAAAGCCACTTTCGCCCTAGGTAGTTATATTTGTGACGTGCAAAGGGTTGTGGCTAACTGCATGAGATGGGTAGCTCGAAGCAAGCAAGCATATAAGCATTACGAAACTAATGGACTTCATATTCGTTATGCGGCCCGCAAGTCCGACGCCTGGAGATAAACAATGACGCACGTCCTGCACCCGTCTCGAAACCGTGTACTGGAGGATCAGCTTAGGTCATGATCTTGTGCGGTGGTTTTAGGCATGAATTTCCGTCCGAAAGCCCTCGGAAGCGGATCTTTTATCGGAAGGATTCTCACAGGCTTCAATCTTGCGAGCCGAGGACTAGAGTTCCGGAATATTGCCCGTATGTAATGCCACATCAGGCCGGCACGTAGCGGGGTATAGCCGATCACCGGAACTATTCCGGATCCATAGATCTATTATCTTCAGAACATACGTTCTAGGATGTACGATAGCAAGGTGATCTTGCTGGCTCACAAAGGCAGTCTTGATGCTGCATTCTGTGAACTCGACTTCTAATTTAAGCGAGATACATTGACTTTTTTAACTATTCATTGACTCTCAAAGGTTCTCCCAAAATGTCAACAAAAGCTATTGAGCGACTGGTCCCTACCATCTCGCTGCGAGGTGAGAATACGCGTGACGATCTTTTGACAGCCGAATTGTTCTGATGTGCCCCATCTAGATTTCAATCAGCGCAAGGAAGAGATCACAAAGCAGCTTGTTGATGCGGCAGAGAATTCCGGTTTCTTGATGCTTGTAGACCACGGGATCTCGATCGATGAGATAAATCAACAGTTTGCTATATCCAAGGCTTTTTTTCAGCTGCCGCATGAAATAAAGGGCAAAACTGCTTACGATATTAACCAAGGCTTGGGCTGGGAATACAAGGTAAGTGGGATCATCCGGGGTTCGTTATGTTCTCACAAGAAAGTAGGCCCAAACCAGACGTCTCACTGGGACCGATCAAAAAGAGTCACTGTGGCTAAAATATGGCTCACAGTGGCCGAGTGATGAAGATGTCCCTGGCTTTGAAGCATCGACAAGGAATTTCATGGCCAAATGCCGAGGCATTTCTATGCAAGTTTGTGAGTTGTTATTCCCGAAAGAAAAGGAAAATCTAACGAAGGCCTTGTAAAAGTGGAATGTTTTGCCGGAGCCCTGAATTTCGACAAAAACTACTTTCAGATACCAATGGACGCTACCAAGCCGGATTCTCTGAGTCGACTCCGCATGCTTCATTACCCTCCTTCAGAAAACAAACCTGGGAGCTGGGGTGCAGGTGCCCATACGGATGTGGGAGCTCTGACTCTTCTCTTCCAAAGGGATGGGGAAGAAGGCCTCGAAATCTGTCCTGGCAGGGAGAATGTGACTAGCAAAGCGATAGGAGACAACTTCTTTTCTCTTCCCGCCAAGACTGGTCCTATTGTTGTCAACCTTGGTGATATGCTAAGTAAGCTACAATCTTCTGCTCGCTCTCCCCAGGACACTAATAATGTGAACAGTGTCCTGGTCAGATGATCGGTTCAAAGCGACATACCACCGAGTCCGTGCTATGGAGGGTGATGCTCCAAGTCGCTACTCTATTGCCTATTTCAACCAAGGGCTAAAAGACTTCATCTTCCAGGGGCCGCAGAAGAAGTAGTGAGTTGAAACCTGAGCATTGATACAATGTCAGCTGACTAGCCTCTTAGCCCTGCTATTAGCTGTGGTGAATACATCCAAGGTTATACAAATCAACAATTTGGGTATGTATTTTCAAATCCGAATGCTTCCAGAGATATGGCTAATCGATTCGGTGTAGAGACAAGGGCAACAAGATTGGTGGGGTGCTCGACACTCAACAGCCTGCTTGGGCGGCTGTGAAGAATTGATCTCCTCGGAATGATATTTAGATAATGGGTTCAATGAGTTCTCAGGGACCCTGTGATGAACTTAGCACTGGGTTCTGACCTTTCTTAAAGTCATATGTGCTTTCATGTCTAGACGGGCTATGCCTTCTTTTTTGTGGTGTCCATTAATTGCTTATATGTCGGCCTTTTCTGAGTAGCAGGTTTGAGAATCGATGTACTGTACCACTCATCAGGTCAAGTGGTTAGCCTTGAGAAGGTCTTCCTGTACCTTGACTCTAGTGTGCTTCGCTTCGCAGACAGTGGACTATAAGCAGGGAATGCTGGTCGGTTAGAAGTTATCGGTCGCGATGGGCTCGACTATGCCTTCAGCAAAGTCGCTACCTCGTCTACAATGTCACAGTACAGGCCCTGCGCCGAAAGTTATCTGCCGTTTTGTAAGACTACCTTATTCTTGGCCGCGAAACTCTAGTCTACATGTAGACCAGATCCAAGAGAGCCTAATGGATCCTAGGCAAAGGGACTTCCTCGAAGACTTGCGAGCATCAAGAGCTTTGTGCTAATCGTAGATAGGGTAACTACCAAACAAGATTGCACCAATAAACGAGATATGCGCTCTGGCCAGGATTCTGGGTATCTTCGCCAAGATTCTCAAATCGGATGTGATGACGGAGAAGTTCCGAGGGGCCGATTCCGAAAGCTCCGAAAAGGGAAGTTATATCGTAGTGGCCTCCACAGATAGCACTGGAGAAGTCGTGATAAGGATTGCCCACGATTTACTCTTGTGGGGACCCCTCAGACTCCGGCTCCAGATTAGAGCCAGGGCCTAGACAATGCATCTTATACATAACAGACAGGACTTCAGATGTAATCTAGATGAATCGTGTCTTTCGCGATCTAATCACCTGTACGCATGGCGACAATCAAGGAAGAACCATTGTCCACCATCGCGGTGCGCTCTGATATTGAAGCTGTAAGCCCTGCTGTCACTTTACGCTGCTACCAAATTAGCTAACTATGCAGACGAAAGATGTTGGCAGCTCCGACAAAGCGCTCGCCTCGGCAGGAGTCGATGTTCAAGCAGCCCACAAAGACAAGGCTTTAGCGTTACTCGCAAAAGTCGATATTGAATTTGATCCTAGTTCAGAAACTGCGAAACGCGTCCTCAGAAAGATCGACAGCAGAATTTTGCCATTGGTATATAGTATTTACATCTTCATGTTGATTGTGAGTCATTGCACGTATAACGTTTCTCCTTCAGCCACCAACCTTCACTTTATAGGACAAGAACAGCATGTCTTATGCAGCTATCATGGGAATTAGGACCGACTGCAACCTCACCGATAGCCAGTATTCCTGGCTCGGCTCTCTTGTCTAGTGGGTAGCCTCAGAGAGAGATTCTCGTTACAGACAATTACTAACACCACGTCAGTTTTGGCTACCTCGCTGGCGATATTCCATCAATGTGGTTCATGCAGAACTATCCTCTTGCTAAAGTGTTTGCGAGTGTCATCATACTCTGGGGTGTTGTGCATGCCTTACATGCCGCAGCTGTCGACTTTGCGAGCCTTGGCGTCCTTCGATTTTTCCTAGGATTTTTCGAGGTTTATACAGCGCCCGCTATTATCATCATCTTCGGTGCCTGGTACACCAAGAAAGAACAAGTTTCCCGTTTGACGATCTGGTACACCTGCTACGGATCCTCCAACATTCTTAGTGGCTTACTTGGATGGGCAATAAATCAGGCCGCGGGCTTTCGCTGGCAAGCCCTATTCATCTTCTATGGTGTTGTTACAGTGGTCATCGGCGCCCTCTCCTGGGTTTTTCTAGCCGCGTCACCGACGGATGCTTGGTGGCTGACGGACGAGGAAAAGACGATTGCGCTGGAGAGAGTCCGACACAATAAAACCGGTACAGAGGTGTGGCGGTTCAATCGTGCCCAGCTTAAGGAAGCATTTCTCGACGTTCGCTTCTGGATTATATTCCTGCTCGATGTCTCACTTGGCTTACCGCTCGGCGGTGTAGCTCTCTTTGGTATGCCACTCTAATCCCATTCCCCACATGACGATCGTTGACATAGAGTCTCCTATATAGGACCCACCATTATTCGGAATCTTGGATTCAGCTCCTCAGAATCGATGCTTCTTAACATGGCGCCTGGAGGAGTGTCCATCATAATAGTTCTCCTTGCATTTCCCCTGGCAAGACTCACTAATAGAACAGTTGCTGGTGTCAGCATCTTCATCATCTCAATCATAGGTTGCGTTATGATGCTTACCATTCCCGCTGACTATAACGCCGCTCGTTATGGAGGCTACGTTCTTACTATACAATGTGAGTTTCTTCGCACTCCGTCTGTATACAAGTCGATGGTCATTAACTTAACTTTGTACAGTCCCGAATTGCGTCCCATTTATTGTCACGATGATGACAGCCGGCGTTGGCGGTACGACGAAGAAATTCGCGTTTTCTTCTGCGTATCAGTTGGGCTATACCGTCGGGAACCTTATTGGGCCACAGACCTATCGAGCTTCAGACGCGCCAAACTATTACGTAGGTCTGACTTCCAAATATGAGAAGCAACTTGCTAAGTCATACCTTTTTGCATCTACAGACCGCAAAGTACACGATGCTGGCGTTTCTAGTACTTTGTGCCCTTCTGTTCGGCAGTCTGGGTTTGATACATAAGCATTGGAATTCGAAGAGGAATGCAAAAGATGCCGCTGACGCTCAAGGTCTGTTTCCTCTAGCTATACCACATCGATTCTTTGATTCACAGACTGACGGGCCCAATTATAGACGGTGTTGTCCACTTGGCTGTGGAAAACCAAGAATTTGCCGATCTCACTGACTTCAACATAAAGTCATTCAGATATCCCATCTGAGCATAGCTTCCAACTTCAGCCGCAATCTACCACATACCAACGTACTTAGCTTGAACAAGGACGCTGGAAAGTACGAGAACGCCAGGTAGAGAAACAGTTGGTGAGACAGTGTTGGTAAAAGAGTTTAAGGATTCATTTGGTAGCCCTAAGTTGTCTCTTTCAAGCAAGTAGAAACATATTGGCTCCAAGAGCTCATTGCGTAAGGATGAAATAACATCAGGAATCTCTCTGAAAACTTTGTATCTATTTGCAACTATTCCAATCTACCGTCAAGGGACAGGACATTGTGCTGAAGCTCTTGAGTAGCCACCAGAGGAGAACAACAAGACTTCGAATATCTGTACATCGGCCGCCGCTTTCAGCATATTGCTCGCTGAAATAGAAACGTAGGGCCACTTTGATGCCATAAAATTCGAGTCGCAGAATGAGTGAGACTTTCTTGACGATGTACTGTGGCTTCTATAGCGAGACCCGCAGATTGCCTTGCCTTGCGGTTAAAGCTCCTTGGTGTCGTGGCAATGGTCTCGATCATTATAAAGTTATAACCGCGCTTGTACCAGATATGAGGTTGAAGGTCCACAATACGGATTTATCAATGCATACGTTGAGGTTTCAATCATCGAACCCAGACTAAATGAGTATGAGCCTTGCATACTATGTCCATTGATGGTATCACTATGCTGTTCCTGATAGCAGTGTTGGCAGTTGCGTATTTCCTATTGTGGCGTCTTTCTTAGCCCTAGCATTGAGCCTATATTGGAAGAGAACTATTAGGGCTTTTCTCTCGAGGAAGGAGAGGTACACAGGGATTCGTCACTCACTCAAAGAACGATGCCAGATGTTCGTGCACGTATTCACCGCAGGTGATTGGTTTGCTGGTAACACGTTAGATCTAGCCGCTGGCTCCGTACAAGGAAAGCATCGTCTTACTATTTTCTTTGAGGTCCTTGAAATGTAAAATTCTCTCTCCCTTGGTTAAAATAGGCAATAGAATATCTCGAATGAGGGCCTTGAGTTGTCCGCACTCGATGAAAGGTGGCTTTAAAACGATCATCAGACCAAGACACTATTGGACATGTCATTTTCGGAGACCAGGTACATTTAGATCGATCGCTAGCTCTGTGAGTGACTCTGCGGGACAACGTACTCAGCATGTCCCCGAGATTAACCACAATCGTTCCTGATTTGGCGGGTACTGGGAAAAATGTATCACCCATCGCGCCACTTGTATGAGACTCTCGGCCAGGGCAAATTTCCAAGCCATCACCCTTGTCCAGCTGGAATAGGAGTGTAAGGCATCCAAAATCAGTGTGAGTCCCGGCACCGAATGTAGGATCACCATTCTCATGCTGTGTCACTGACTCTTTCGACCCAGGGTAATGGAGGAATCGTAGCTGGTTGAGGGAGTCTGGCTTCTTGTCATCCATAGCATCCCTAAAATAGTCTTCAGGAAATCCCAGGGTAGTCGCAAAGCAGCTTACTAGCGTTTCGGGACACCATTCAGCACTGACTTATTCACTGTTACAGTACGTAGGAGTAGAGAAAGACTGTGGTAGCAACTTACAGACTTGTTGCGAGATCTTGGCGCATTTTTCCAGGAAGCTCTGGGTTGTCTCATGGAATCCAGGAGCAATTTCATTGCTGGGCCAGTAGTTGTGGTGATTTGGTTGGATCAATAGGGATTCTTTTTGATCGGTACCGGTGGCGATACGTTTTTGACTCTGGAACAACCTACGTTAGAAGTTGGGTGACCCACGAGAATGTTTCGGCTGGCGGTTCAGTTATAACTTACTTTGTATTCATATCCAAGACTAGTCGTCTTATCAAACCTCACGCTGTGCTTGGTCATGGCCGGGAGATCGAAAAAATTTCTTGAAATGGCAAACTGAGCCTCAATCTCGTCCAAAGTAAGTTCATGGTTCACCAAGGTAAAGAATCCCGAATTCTCGGCTGCATCAACGAGCTGCTTGGTTATCTCCTCTTTGCGATGCTCAAAATCTGGACGGAATTAGCGAAAGCTTTCGAAGCCGAGGCGCAGAGAAGCAGAGCAGCTGATTTTACCGTGGAGCGAAATTGATGGCACAAGCCTCTCCGACATTTTTTCTGAATATGCGAGGCAAGCTGCTTCGAACGTAAAAAGGATTTAGACGACGACTGAAACCCTTTTGAAGTCTTAATCGCAAACGTGAGACCGGTTCCCTTGTTTGTGGAATCCCTTTGTAACCTTCACAGCTCTGAGGTATAGGTCAAGCAGTTGTACTTGGTATTAGCATTAACTAGCAGGGAACCTGTCTCGGCTCGGAGATAATGAGGATAAATGTTTACGCCGCACCGGGCAAGGCCGCGGATACTTGCCGCGGAACTTGAACCATCTGTCTTGGCCAGAAGGCTTCCACGTCCATGTCTGTCACATGTGCTGATTACACTATGTTGTGGGCATTTCTTCGGAAGGTGGACCGAAGAACGGCTTCAGCTCCATTATGAATATTCATTTAGGGTTCGGTGGCGGCTTCACTCAACTCGGCCTGCTTCATTCACTCTCTGACCAGGAAAATTTATCACCAACAGTTCAAAGTTGCTCTCAGCCTTCGTCTACATTATCTACAATTCATCGCAAACCTGCAGAACCCTCGATATGGCGCCCATGGCTGTGGATGTCGCAGCTGACGCCGTTGGCATTGTTGTGGATATCAAGTTGCCGGTCGGGAAACACAGTGATACACATAACGGAATTGGCTCCAGATCTCAACTAGAACAGAGTATCAAGGATCACGGACTGACAGCCTTATGGAATGTGGGACGCAATGTGACTCTGCCAGAACCTAGAACCAAACATGTGCCTAGCGTATGGCGGTACAAGGATACGAAAGCACACCTGCTAAGAGCCGCCGCCTTGGTCCCCCCGGAAGAGGCAGAGCGAAGAGCACTGATTATGATTAATCCAGGCCCCCAAATGCCGCCACACACATCGGATACTCTTCTCTCGGCGCATCAGCTGCTTCTTCCTGGAGAACGAGCATTGTGTCATCGCCATACTCCATTCGCCGTACGATTTCTTATCGAGGGACATCATGGTTTCACGGCTATAGCAGGAAAGAAGATGTATATGGAGCCAGGAGACATGATTATAACACCTCAGTGGCACTGGCATGACCACGGGAACGACGGCAACGAAAATGTTATCTGGTTAGACGGGCTGAATATTCCCTTCTTCAACCTGAACCCTATCGACTTCCTCGACGAGTACAAAGATTTGCACGGAACCATCACACATGAATCAAAAGTGGTCGTCGACGAAGACTGTACGGAGATGAAGTTTCCATGGAAGTCTACCAAGGCACACCTCGATGCTTCTGATGCAAGCCATGCGATACATGAGTACCGACTTCCGGATGGAGGGCAGGTCAACTCCATCATTGCTGCTTCAGCTGAGCGTATCTTGCCAGGTACGATAACTGCACCACGACAAGACACTTGTAATAGAATCTATCAAGTCCACTCTGGCAGCGGGACTGCGGTCGTTACAGCGCCGAGGGGGGATAAGACCTTCGACTTGAAATGGTCTCATGCTGATACCTTTGTGATCCCCAGCTGGTACAAGTTCACGATTCAGGCCAGCGGAGACGAGACTGCTTATCTCTTCACATTCTCGGACTTAGCACTGCTGGAGAATCTGGAAATCTACAGGGCAAATGAATTTGCTGAGTCTACTATGCCATGAAAAGGAAAGATCTTTGGAAGCAAAGCTAGCTATAGACATCCCTTGAGAATACTCGCCAGACAGACTTTGGATCTAAACATTGCATTGTCAGACTCTCGTTAATCTTCTTCAAGCTTAAGCTGCACGATTTTTCAAGAGAGATCTTGCTAAGTTTGACTAAACAGTGTACTTTCGGAAAAGGTTGGTTACAGCCTACGCAAGCGATTTAGTGACCTCAAAGTCGGAGATGAAATAGGAGCTCGTTTTTGCAGAAACTTGCGAATGAGAACTGATAAGGACGGGGTATTCGAGGCATAGTACAAGCCTCTGCATGGCGACTCTTGTCGGATATGGCAGGTCTCCGAGCCAATCGGAAGTGTCACCGTTGGAAGATTGCGACAATAACGCGTTAAAAGAAGGGTTTCTGCGCATGAGACCGGCTCCCAATATTCCTATCACCCCCGTCGATTTCGTCTAGGGAATGATGGGTTAGGGTTAGGGTTAGGGTTAGGGTTAGGGTTAGGGTTAGGGTTAGGGTTAGGGTTAGGGTTAGGGTTAGGGTTAGGGTTAGGGTTAGGGTTAGGGTT